GTTCTTTCACATTATCATACAAGAACACTTATTTTTTTATGGAAAGTTTTTAACAATTTTTGTTTTGCTTGCGTCATTGTCTATTAAGTGAACAGCTTAAAAGCCTTAGAAAACGATCAATAGTAGCAAATAATAGTACCTAATAGTAAAACTAAGTAAGTTTATACAGATGGATATTTTTTTTACTTTACTTCATTTTTCAAAATATTGTAAAATTGTAATATATTTAATATATTTTTTATTTTTTTTTTTACAAGTTTTTAAATTTTCCACAATGGAATCCTAAAAACAATTTCAAACAGAATAAAAAGGAAAACTACTTTTCAAAAGTCTTTTAATATTTTATTGAATCTTCCGCTGGTGTTGCTTTGTTGTCATCTTTTAAAGATATTTCTTATTGGGCTTTCCCTTGATTCATTGGTTCTCATTCACTTTTTGTTTAAGAATCGACTTTAGCCATTTGCGTATTTGAAATCGTTGTTTGCATCTGGACTTATTGTATGACTGTATGGAGTTTTTGTATCTGCATTATTCATGGTTGACGTGCAACTTGGCAACTTGGCATGGAGATAAAAATAAAGTAAAAAAGAGCTGCCGTTTTGGGTCATGATGACGTCCACTTGGAAGCCGCGTGCCGGCTTCAATTCACTGGATTCGATTCCATTTCATTTGAATGCAATGTGCACTTGGCCATGCAACGGCGACGTGAAAGAGAGTGCACCACAGAAAAAGATGGAGAGAGCGGCACAATCGCGCCAAAATGGCACATGGCAGAAACTTTTAGGCTGATGACTAAGCCAAGAGTAACAGAAGAACTAAACGTTCGAGAGTCTCAAGAGATACTACTTAATTGGAATCTAAGAGTATATTTATATGAAGAGAAAATCATCCGAAAGCTTTCTTCTCTGTTTTATTCTGTGGTGAAATGAAAAATTTAAACGTATTTAAGAGTAGTGTCGAGAGAAAACCGTTAAAAAAGCTACTTTAATAATTTTGATTCTTTTGATTTTTTAGGGGAAACTAATTTTTTTCGATTGAAAATTATAAACTTTTTTAGTTTAAACAAAAACAAAAAAAAACATTATTAAATTGACGACCAAATTGGTTTTTTTATTCGTTTACATTTATACTTGCACAAAGAATTTGATCACACTCATAGAAATTTTCCGGTAAAATCGCCCTAAAAACAAGGAAAATCGCCCTAAAACGGGGGTCAATGGCGACTAGGCAACAAAATAAGGGCAAATTGCCCTAAAAATACGGGTGAATTTGTCATACATTTAGGACGATTTTTCGTAGATCTAGGGCGATTTTTCTATTTTCAAAGGTAATTGCCCTAAAAATAAGAAATGAGACCCTTAAACTAAAGGCAGTTTCCTTTAAATCCAGGGCGATTTTTTTGGACTTATAGGCGAATTGCCCTGGAAATCGGGAAAAATACCTTTAAACTAAAGGCAATTTTTTATAAATCTAGGGTGTTTTTCTGGATTTTAAGGCGAATTGCCCTAGAAATAAGGAAAAATATCCTAAAACTAAAGGCAGATTTTCATAAATCTAGGGCATTTTCCCTGGATTTATAGGTGAATTGCCCTAAAATATGCAAAATGCTCCCCAAAATTTCACGGCCATTTTTCATAAATAAAAATACAATTTTAATATATATTTTTTTTGGAATGGATTATATCGGATTTAAAAATTATAAATAATAAATAACTTTAAAAGAAACGGCTTCCCGAGTCTGCAATGGTGAGCTTCGTGTTCTTGCTCCCGGCGTCCTTTTTTCTTCTTGCTGTCGGCACCAACACTGAATGGATCGCAAGCCAATTTAAAGTTGATTGTATCTCTATTAAATGAAAACAGTCTAATTATTATATGATAATAGAAAAAAAGAGAAGCACTTACCTTCAGAGCTTTCCAAAAATTTGAGCAGGTTTATTTCCTGTTGCTTCCTTACTCCTGCTTTTATTAAGTCCGAAAAGTGGTTTGCGAAAGCTGGATCTGAAAAGCGTTCTCGATCTTAAAAAAAAAAGAAAAAAATGTTAGAAATTAATATAAAAATGCACAACCAACACACACAATTTTCATTTAGCCTGCGGTTGCGTTTGCTGCTACTCCTAGAAAAAAAAAGAAGCAGAAAAAGCAAATTTCGAGCACTGACGAAATGTCGCAATACAAATTTGGGGGCTGTTTTGGCATATGCACTTATGAATGCGGTTTGTCCGGTGCATAAATACAGATTTCTTGTAAATATATACATATGTATGTGTGTATTCTGTTGCATCATCTTTTTAACTCAAGCATTATTTACATATACACATACATATATGTATACTCTTATTAATGATCTTACTTTGTTCCGCCACACTTCCAAAACTTCCGCTTCTGGACCGACTAGTTGAACAGGAATTTCTCCTCGTAGCTGCTTCCACTCAAATTTTTTAAAGTTTCCGCTGCATTTTCCTTTGTTACAGATATGTAAATTCAATTAGTTATTAATATCCAAATTGCACAATTATATATGTATGTACTCACCAGAAATCAGAAAAAGAATCGCCTCCCAAGTCCCTTAATAGCGTTTACATTTTTCACTTTTTCACAAACAAAAGGTTTCATACAAACACGTCTTTCACTGCCAAGCGCCCGAAAAATTATGACAAAGTCTAGACAATGCAACTCTTTCTACCCCCACCCTTGCCACTGCAACGGACGAAAAGTAGCAAAGAAGAAGAAAAAGGGTGGACTTCTCTAAAGTCAAATGCGCTCAGCATCAAAATTCATAGAAAAAGGTCCGCCCTAATATACACACACATTCACTTGTTTTGACCTGTCAACCACACACACATACACACATGTATTACATATGTATCCATTAATTGCGTCTTAAAATTTCGTTTGACTCTTCCTTGTTTTTAGGGCAATTTCAGAACATTTTTTTTGCTATTTTGTTCTACGTTTTAGGGCGATTTCGCCCTAAAAAGAAGGAATTACTTTTGGAGTCGACTCATAAAAATTCGCCCTAAAAATCACGGAAAATTTGCCTTTTTGAAAAAACTAACCCTAAAAAATATTTTCCATGGCGATTTTTCGTATATTTAGGGCTAGCCACCCGTATAATAAGAAAATTTTCCTTAGTTTTAGGGCGACCTCGGTTTTAGGGCGACTTTCCTAGTATTTAGGTAAAAATTTCTATGAGTGCAGATATTATTTTTTAATTCACTTCTATTACAGAGTTTTCTTTTTAAATGATACTGATACACAACTAAGATAACTAATAGTTAAGAATAATAATGAGGATCCACTAGTTACTAAACAAACTTAACAAGAGCTAACAAAGATAGAATCAATTTAGCAGATTTAGGGCCGTTTTTACGTCCGTTTGTTAAATTTAAAGTAGGGTTAAAACCTTCAAATCGTATGGGAAATCAAAGTTTTAACCCTACTTTAAATTTAACAGACGGTCGAGAAAACGGCCCTTAAGGTATACAATTATTCTAAGTCAAATATTAAGTAGAAAACCTTTTATTTCTTAATTCCAAATTTTCAATTTAAAGCATAAAATCGCACAGTAATGATAATACGAACACCAAAAATACAACCTAGCATACTAAAACCCAATTAAGTGGTGACGGGAAATACCACCCTTATCGTCAGATTTGTTTGGCCAATGGCCTGGGCAACCTCGAACTCAATCAGATTCCGGTCGAAGATAAGTATCCTCAGATAACCCCACACATCGCAATTAAATGGCACTGATACCCTTTATCGCATCTTGTGCTATCAGGTTTCGCCGGAATATACAAAGTATCTGGCAGATACGATTCTTTTGTTTCTCCGCCAGCAACTGTACTGCGTTTTGTGGGGTGCTTTGCCTTTTGGATGCCGATGTCGATGTCCCACCCCCTCGGAAACCCATCGCGTTCTCCGATAGCGGCGGCAATCGACGACCTTGACCGTGAAATTTAAATTTAGAAGGTACGGCGGCGGCTAAGACGTAAAAAATAAAATACCACCAAGCTTTCCGAAGCTATCTTCGCCGGTGTGTTAGTCATTGTGTGTTCTGGTAATTGCAGAAAAAAAGCTGCGCTCTATCACAGGTAATTCCTTTCGGCTCCCAACACTCCCTCAATAATAAATACTCAGAAAACAGAAAAAATTCGACCATTCCACGAGTCCGCCGCATGTGACTTATGTAAATATTCAAGTGCGGCGGATACCTATTTTTAAAAGCGATTTAATTGAAACATGAACTTGCGTACTGGCGCCGTCGCGACTTGGGCAATGATGTAAATCCGTCTAATTATGTGAAATTGAGCGCAGGGCGAATTTAGCTAGCATAAGGTTAAAAATAATGCCTTTCTTTTTAACTAGCTGCTTATTGGCTGAGTTTGAACATGCCGCCATAACAAAGTGTTGGGTAACAAGCTTATGGCACTTGGTATTTTTAATACCAAACGGTCGGCCAATTGGATTTTTCCTAAATTCTCCTATCAGATTAATTAGTTGGAACAGAGTTTTCAGTTATCATATATAGCATTACAACAACCAATTGAAGTTAATGTAAAAAGGTTTTTGTACTGATAGCAACTAATTTTGAAAGTACATTTTGTTTTCAGGTTTTTACCGAAGTTAATTTATTAAATTAAATTATTTAGAAACATAACAGCTAATCAGTATATTTTTGCTTTTTAAATTGACCGCCTTGGCTATCGATATGTCGCATCAGCTGATGAGACGCAGAAAGTTCAAGAACTCTCATCCCTAATAAACATTTGCGCGATATAAAAATATTCTAGAAATCGCTTAAAATTGCTGTTAAACAGTTAAATTAAACTAAATTAATACAAGGGAAAAGCTTTAAACCTCCGACTAAGTATAGTTTCTCTTATAAAGTTTAAACTTTGATTAAAGAAGAGCCGGTTTTGTTAGCACGTGGAGCACGTGGATCAGAGATATTGTTTATGCCAAATCTTTAAACAATTTCATCACAAAAACTTGAGATAATGGTGGCTGAGGCATTTAGTGAATATTATATTTGCAATTTTAACGATGCAGTAACTGTAGAAGGTAAACTATTACCAAGAATAATGTTTCACATGTAATATTTATCGAAATTACTTCATTCAGATCTTCCAGCCGATGAGCAACTGCGTCAATTATGGACTCGCCAGAATCTGTGGACAGTGGAGGATCTTCGGGAGATTCTTCAACGCTGGCGGGAAAAGAGCAAACCCAATATTAAAGAAGATCCCACATCCCAACTGAAGGATTTCCTGCTTCTGATCTTTGCTTTTGTTCAGAACAATTTTACTGGACCCTTTGACAAACTTGAAGATTTCCAGCAGATACATAGTCAACTAAACCTGGAGGATCTGGATGCCCAGGAGAAACTTAAGGCCAGCGGTGAGGAGCTGAATCCTAATGTAAAGACTGCAGAACTTTTACTTGTAGCCAGGGAAATACTTCAGGAATTGTTGGAAATCTATCCAGAATCCAAGGTTAGTTAGCATTTTAATTATTAATTTGTATAGTTATAACTAACCTTTTTATGCAGGTACTAATTTGGTGGCACTTGCGGCTGATCTGCCTACACCAGCACATCCTCGACGACTTGGCGGCATCTCTATATGAACAATTTAAAGCGGCAGCTGGACTTCTTCAGGCTCAAATCAACCAGTTTGAGAGCAGGGAACTGCAATCGCTGCTGCTCTTGGAATTGGCCAATGGCTACCTGCAGTTTCACCGTTCGGAAATAGCCTCCCAGTTGCTGGACGATCTGTGCAACCATCTGCAGGTGGAGCTGAAGGTTGAGGGCTTGCTGGGAGTACGCACCAAGTTCCAGCAGAAAGCTCTCCCGCAGCTCTGCCTTAAAGTTGAGCACCTAAAGGAGCAGCAATCCCTTCCCCCGGCCAGTCGTACAAATGAGAAGACCCAGTTGCCCAAGCTGCTCCTTCTGGAGGATGACACGCGACTGGAGCGCATTCGCTTTGTAGAGCTCAAGGACAATGAGGTGATGACGTTGCCCAGCGTGCTCCAAGCTCTGGTGCTGGCCAAGGTGTGAGTATGATGGAGTATCAATGGATTGTACTTATATTACCCCCATTTTCTTCTTTAAAAAGAAAACAATTGAAACGCTCGCAGCCCAAGGATCGCCTGGCGGATGAGCAACTGGAGCCCTATACACAAACCCTGCTCTACCAGGAGCATGGACCTCTGCAGGTGCGCCAGGCAGCCCTTCTGCTTAACTGCCTGCAGGAATCGAACCAGCGGAGAACCGTCGAACGCAGCTGGAAGCAGTGCGAGGAGTGCGTCAAGCTGCTGGACAGCTCAGAGAAGGAGCTCTCGCTCCGCTCGCGACTATCCTACGGCTTTGCCGCCCACCTGAGGCCCAAGTGGCAGGTGCAGCTGCAACTGGTGGACCTGCTGCGCTCGCTGGGCATGACCAAGACCGCTCTGGACATCTGCCTGCGCATCCACGCCTGGCAGCAGGTCATCGAGTGCTACACGAGTCTGGAGCTGCGGCACAAGGCGGCCGAGATCATCCGGCAGGAGCTGGAGAAGAAACCCACTGCTTTGCTCTACTGCCTCCTCGGCGACGCCATCGATGAGCCCAAGTTCTACGAGCAGGCTTGGCTGCATTCCAAGCAGACGAGTGGCAAGGCGCAGGCCTATTGGGGCAACTACTTTTACAGGACTGCGGACTACACCCAGGCAATGGAGCACTTTGAGATCTCCCTGGAGATAAACAACCTGCAGGAGGCCATCCTGCTGCGCTGCGGCTACTGCGCCATTCAATTGGAGCGCTGGGAGGCGGCTGTTAAGCATTATCTGGCCTACACTCACTTGGAACCGAATGGATTCGAGTCGTGGAACAATTTGGCCAAGGCCTTGATTAAGCTGGGCGACAAACAGCGGGCCCATCGCGTTTTGGGTGAAGCCCTGAAGTGCAACTATAGCAACTGGAAGGTTTGGGAGAACTACATGCTGGTGGCCGTGGACACTTCGCACTGGGAGGATGCCATGCGGGCCTATCAGCGAATGGCGGAGCTAAAGCAGCACTATCTGGATCAAGAGGTGCTCACCCGCATTGTCTACGGCATTTCCAAGGAGGATCCCGTTGGTTCAGGAAGTCTAATAAAGAGACTTATAAAGCTGCTGGGTCAGCAGAGCATCCAGCACGGAAACGAGCCTCTTGTCTGGGAATTGGCTGCCTTGGTGGCCCCAACGCCACTGAAAAAGGCCGAGAAACTCGTGAAATCCTATCGTGCTTATACCCCAAAACATTTGGGCTGGGAAACCAAGTCGGAGCATGCCCTAAAAGCTCTAGATCTTTGCTTGGAGGTCTGCGAACTCTCGGTGGCGGCCATTAAAGAGCACATCCCGGAGGAGAGTGAGGTGATGATAACCTCTCAGCTGAATTCCGCCCGACTGGCGGGCACTTCTTGTCTGAATGCCCTGAAAAGGGCCATCAATGTGGATGTGCCGGCCGAGCAGAGGGAGAAGGTGGAGCAGCTGGAAAAGCGTATAGAAGAACTGACAAAAATAGTCCAGCAGCGAATGAATGTGCCGAGATCTTAGTTGACTTAATATCTTTTTAACAAATAAAGAGCTATTTTATTTTATAGAGGAAAGTTTATTTTTGTACGCTAGTTTTGATTTGTAATGTGGTTCAGGTTGAAAATTCAGTTTGTGTGAATAAGTTGAAGTTCTAACATTCGCAATTAAATTCTCTATTATATTGATAAATATATAAACCTAAGCATTTACCCATGAACCCATATCACATGTATGAGGCGATTCTCTTGGTTTCTTCTTAGTAAGTGTTCAATTTGGTGGTGATCAAAACACGAACGCTCTGATCGAAGGCTCCGCAGACGGCCAGGCCCAGTTTGTCCGGATGCCAGTCGAAGCAGTGAACGGGCTGAGTGCTCATGGTGGCTGCGCTGACCAAGTTCAGTGACCCGGCCACTCCCAGCTTGGTGCCGTCCGAATCGTCGATGACCCTCCTGTCGGGATACTCGTACTGCCACAGGCGAATCGATCCAGTTCCGCCGCCCGTTAGGAAGAGATCCCTGTTCTGCGGCAGATGGCGAACCACCCAAACGGTGGCCTTTGGACCGCTGATCACGCCATTTGTGCCGACGCTTCGCCCGGCGTTGCGCTCCTCCACATAACTAAATCCCTTGGTCGGGTGCTGGGTTCTCATGTCGTAGACGAGCAGACCGCCCTCCAAAGTGGTCACCGCCAGCTTGTTCATGGGAATGTCCCGGCGATCGAACTCCAGGCCGCAGATGCCGTTCTTCATGGTGGCCTCCCAGCGCACGGAAAGCGAGCGTAGGTCGAATATCTTGAGATCCCCATTATCATAGCCCGCGGCCACGATGCGCTCCTCGGAGTTGTAGGTATTCCCGAAGGCCACGGCCCAGCAGTCCCGACGAGCGTTGCTCTGGTTGACGCCATCGCCCATCTGCGGTGGCGGCGACATGTCCACCACCGGAGCCTGTCCCTGGCGGATGTCCCACACCTTCACGGCTCCATCTCGGCTGCCAGTGACGATTTCAGGGGCTCCACAATCGATCTGAGTGCCGCCGATGGCGTCGATGGTGTTGATGATGCCGCTGTGGGCCTTCACATTGTACACCGGCAGATCTGGCTGCTCCATGTCCCTGAAATTGATACCTATAAGAGGGGTTTCCATGGGTTTTAAGTCAGATTTTACTTACAGAACCTGCAGCCTGCCCTCGAAATCCCCGATGGCCATGTGGCGGTTGCGCAGCGAGGCTGCTCCAAAGGTGCCGCACTTGAAGGCCACCTTCTTCTCCACGGACTTCACCTTCTCCAGCTTGTCCTGGTTCAGTTCGTAGATGTCCATAATCCCATGCCCGTTGGCCTTGGAGCCCAAAACCACGAACTTGGCCGAAAGAGGCACCCATTTCGTGTCGTACACCGTGTAGTTGACGGCCTCGTGGAGGTGCTCGATCAGCTGGGGCTTGTCCATTCCGGTGGTCTTACTTCTCTGATACTTTTATAGGCTAATATTCCCAAAGCGGCCGGTGAAAAGTGAAGGATTTATCAGAAACAACTTGTTTTGTTGTCATAGCTACCTTGCTTCCTCTTCCTTAATGTGACCGCGCTGTTGGCGGCTTAAACATACCACATGCCGGCTCTTGAGAAAAAATACTAAAATTAAAATACTAAATTATGTTAGAGCTTATTCAAGCTATCGATAAATTAGAATAACGGTTAACTTGTATATATTAAACTTAAACTCTACAATCTGTTAATATGGAATATTATTTTTAAAAGTTAAATAAAATTTTTACGTTTTACCACAATAAATTTAAATGTACGATATTTTTACCGATAGAATAACAGGCCAGCTGATTTGAGCTTTCCGTTCCAAAGCTTGGCCGCTTTGTGAATTTAACATTTTTTTCTTCAGTTCTTCTGGGTCAGTCGAACGCTGTTTTACTTTTGTCGCGTATTTTCCCCCCATTCCTTTTGGCGCGAGCATCTTTTTTTGGCGTTCGACCCCCTCGACAACACCAGCAACAATTACAACTGCAGCAACAACTTCACCAGATTATAACGACAAAAAACGTTTTACGTGTGTCGCAAGCGACGCTTTTCGGCATTACAAACGTGTGGTTAAATAAGTGGAAGTAAATATTAATGAAATAACGGAGCCGTAATAGTAACTAAAAATCTAGTTAGCATTAATTTGCAGGCCTTTTAGCCAGTTTTATATAAGTGATAATTTTGTTGGCTGAACAAAAATGAATAAAGAGTGCTTAAAGTTCAATATATTCCCTATGCATGCGCCACAAAAGTGTTAATCAAATTTTTACTGGCAACAAGTGATACAATAACAAAGGCAACGGCCATTAAACAACGGGCGCTATCAAAAGTTGAAGGTGCCAACAAATCGACAACGACAATATAGACGACAACAACAACAACAACCACAGCAGCTGTACTCGTTTGGCAGGCGAATCGAATGCCAACAAAAATAATTTAGTTTTCTTAAGGTAAAAGCAGACCAGATTCTTTCACTCCCGAAATTTCGTACATATCGCCCAACATTTCCCGATTTCCGTTTGCCTTTCGATTTCTCGTCAATTTGGGACAATCAAATTAATTGTATATTTTTTCAGCCTTTTCATTGCCTTTATTGTTTTTTATTTGCCTTTCCCCTTCGCCCCCCTTTTTGTTCTTTATTAGTGCACTTGCACTTGACACACAGTCATCGGGTGTATATATAGTATATATAGTATTCTGGTACATGGCGTGCTCATATATAGAGACCTATAGTATGTTTATGTCGTTCTTCCGTTTTGGTGACTTTTTGCCAACCTGTCGCGTCGCTGGCTGAGAATACCCTCTATATATTGGGATTTGTTGATAAGCCGCAGCTCTGGGAAAAGCAAATAATGAATGGCACCTAATTGGTTTTTTCTCTAAGAGAAATGTAAACATTATGCAAGAGGCAAAAAGCAGAATTATTAAAATCTATAATTATAAAAAAAAATCCCTAAAATGATTATTTGAAAAGTTATTTTTTGCTTTTAATGTAAAATATGATTAGAATACAATACTAATTATTGTTAATCAATGGTGTATTAAAAAATTGTTAGCAGAAACAAAGTAAAATAAAAAGAAAATTAAACACTTTAAGTACTTATCAATCACCCAGTAATTTGAGCTGATTATTTCCAATATTATCAGTTATACGTGAGCTGTAAAGATTGCTATTAATCGGGGCCTTGAACACAAAAGTAAAACTCTCCAATTTCACACCTGTTTTGACCCAAAACCTTACATATGATTTCTTTTTCGAGTTAGTAACCGTCAAAAGATAATCTTAAAATTTCGATAGTAAAAACCCAGAAAATCCAATTTAAAAGAATTAAAATATTAATGATATGAAATTGACTCCATTTGTACCCTGGGATTAGAACATTTCCTTTGGATACTTTTTAACCCAATCAATTTCTTATACTCAAAATTATAATTAAAATTAAAATTTAAATATAAAAACATGTACGTTACTTAAATAATATTCGGGATGGCAACACGAATCTTGGTTGACGTCTCTTCACTCTATAAATAGACATAGTTTTCATATTCGAAATTATGGCATCGCGCTCTCAAATATTTCGTTGATCAATTAAACGATGTTTCAATTGATTTTTATTTGTTTTGTTTCCATTGCGTTGTCAGAAGTTCGTGCGTGCGCACAGTAGGGAAAATGGAAAATGTTGCAGCCCCAATGCTCCTCCGATTTCCCCCCAATCAACCCCCGGCGCTACCACAGAAAAATAAATAAATGCCGCACAATCGAAATCTAAACAAAGAGATATAAAAAATCTGCCAACTGCCGCACCAGCACTTCCACAGAAGCTAAACAAGGGAAACTCAAAGTCCAACCCAGAAATATGAATGCAATTCATATCTAAACGGAAGCTAAACATTATGTGGGGGGAAATGTGTAAGGCAGTTTGTGTTTGCAGTTCTGTGGTCAAATCGATGGAGAAACTGGATTCCACCGGCAAGGGTTAATCCGCTGATAAGGGCGTGCCCCATATATTTCCCGATCCAACCCCAAAGGCAAACATTTGCCGACGAGCTTTGACCTTATTGTAATCTCTGGGAATTATTAACCAGAATATTTTTCTTTATTTACTCTATTCTATTTGAGCAAGAGTTCTAAAAATCAAGCTAATAAAAAGTTTTCAAAATATTGTAAATGTAATATAATTTATTTATCAAAATGCTAATGTGTTTAGGAATTTAAATATGAAAAGTTTCAACTAATGTCCACTTTATTATAAAGCCTTCCAAATGCTTCCTATCATTTTTTCGGGCCTTATAAAGAGTGACTCATTATTCACTTTCACAATACATTGTCGTACACTCATAATTGCCTTGCATGAATGAATCAGACAACGCACTTATTAGATAAATATATTTTGTTTTCTATAAAAAAAGTCAAGTTAATAAAATGTATTTAACTTTCGGATTATTTCTATAAAAAATAAAGTTTATAAAAAAGCTCGCGTGCTCCATAAATTTTCCCCATAGCCCGACAAATATTTTGCCAAGAAATAGCCGTTTATGTACTTCAACGTCAGTTTTATCACATCAAGCAGACAGCATCAGCTGAATGTGGAACACAAAGCCCCGGGATCAGATCCAATTTTTAGTATTTGCCTCAGTTTTGTTCACTAGCCTCAGCAAAGAAGTCGGTTCAAGTGCGTCAGTTAAAGTCACAGCGGCTCAATCAACATGATTGAAGTACGTACCACCGATTTAATTTCCCAAAGTTCACTTCAAAATTGTCTGCGTTATCTCTGACATTTGATTTACCGCTTACGCAATCAATATTTTGATACCGAAAGCACTGCATATGGTAACTAGAAAAAGGGGAATTCTGAAGCCAACTGTAACTATTTCATGGCCATTTGTTGCTGATAAGAGCAGGGTCAATATATCGGTAAACACCTGCCCGGAGATTCCCCTTCAGGGTTTCCATAGAATTCCAATAGCAACCATTTCCACAGCGAAATTAAACCAGTAATATATTTTAAACTGCTGGAGTATTTTAATTATTTTCCACTCGACTTTCGTTAACCTTCAAACCTTCAAATTGTTATATTTAATTTCCAAAGAGCTTAAAAACCGAAAGTCAGGCAGATAACATAATTATTTTAAAAGCACCATAATACTTGTGTCTTACTAAAAAATATTTTAATGAATAAAGTCCCTTAGAACAATTTAAAGTAGGTGTCAAAAAGAATATTAAAATTTCAACGTCTGACACATTACACTTTAATATTAAGCATTTGCTTAGCCTTAAAAATAGGTCAGCTGGTTTCATAACTGAGCTATATACAAATATTAAAATAGAAAATATTTGTTCTAGATTTTGCCCCCTTAGAAATTGATTTTTATACAATTTTCATCAATGAAGACACATGTTTTAGTTCGCTGAAATTGCGGTTTTGTCTCCGTGCCGAGGTTAAAACATTGATTAACGAGGGCTGATGGAAGTGCTCGCGCTGCTGATAAGCAAAGTGGACACTTTCGATAAGAATTCAGCACCGATTTTCACTACGGCACTTGTACATATACTCCTATATATAGAGCTTTTACCCTTCCCTTCGGTTCCCTTTTGGGCTAATCTCGCGTTGGTCATGTGCGTTTAGGCCCATTGCATAAGGGCTTCGGTCTGGGCCAAATGTGGGATCCCGTTTTTTGCACTCTGTTTCCACAGTAACCGGTTGGTTGGTAGAACTAATGAGGTCCCCCGCAATTGCCGGCAACACAACAATAAGCCAGGGGCATCACAATTAAACCGGATTCGAGGGGTTTGTTCTATATATAATAAGCTCGTTTTTAATGGATTAGTCATTACTTTCGAAAATCGAGTGAAAAAGAGAGAGAAACCCGCAATTACAATGAAATGATGGCTACCGATTTTGGCGATACGAAGTTGTTGAACGTCAATTTCGAAGGTGAAATAATAAAACAGTTTCACGAATTCCAGGGAAACCCAGCTTTCAATAATTATATTTTTATTACCATAAATTAAAATCTATTTTAGTATTTTTTCAGATTTATTTCAGGTTATTGGGTTATTTTTAACAGTAGGTATAAATCCGAAAGATATCATATTCAATTCACACGCTATAATTTGATATGCAAATGCAATTGAGACAGTTGATCTCGGTAGGCCAGTGATCTTTTGATCCCCTGATTGATTCCAGATACTTAGCATATAACTGGAGATACCTTTGGTTTTTCAGTCACCTCGCCAAACGTTGAACTTGACATTGGCAGCAAGGTTTCAACGGATTTTTACTAAACAAAAACTGGGGAAGTACTACTCCATCTATATGTGATGCAAGTGGCGTTGCCGAACACAGCTTTCAAAATATATCTTTTGAGTTATTTATTGTTATGTCTGGCAGCCGCTTTGTGGATCCGGTTTATGAAGTTGTTTACTTTGGTTTATGGAGTGCCATTTTATGGTCACTTAGCAGGAATTGTGTCAGTTGGTAACGGGGCTTTGTAGGGTAACTAAAAAGTGGAGTTTGTGGGACTATAACCTCTGATCCGCATAGATTAATTATTATTTTAATATATAAAATTAATAATATTTTAATATTAGATTTAAATAAAATAGTCCAAATATATGTTTTCTTAATTTCTATATAATCTAGTAAATTTGTTCTACCGAAGGGAGCTCCTAACTATTTTGTTATCCCTATATTTACAATATTTGTTTATTATAAACCCTATAACCCTCATTTGTTAGTGCTAGCTTAAAACTTGGTCATAAAAATTATCTACCATGAACCGATTATTGAAGGTGATTATGGTCTGAGCCAATGAAACGAATGACAAAATGCGCAAAATGCCCTCTACTGTTATCCCATTTATCGCAGGTGTACGTTACTTTATTGAGCACTTAGCAAGTGGCTTTCGCTAGACGGTAATTGATGATGAACATCTTTCGGAAATACGTCAACACTAGACACTTGTCAACGCTGCGTATGCGTAATAAAGACCGATAGAGATTATTTTTGGCAGGGAATTCTTCAAATTTAAACCAAAATTTGCGGTCACCCAGAGAACGCATGTTGATCAAATAATTAAACCAATTAGCATTCGCTATGAAATCATGATTCATTATAATCGAAAATGTTCACGAATTCGGGGATATTATATTTAAAGATCTGTCAGTGATGATAGATGCTTCAGTCGTGTGCGGTGGGTGATAAGGTTAGCAGCTATAGATGCCAGTTGTTTTTTGATCGAAAGTGATGCTAATCGTTAGCGGTTGTTATCTAACTAAAGTTGTGAAATACTCGTTTCAATGTGGTTTGCCGAAAATTTTCCAACGCTTACTATCTTCTGTTTTTAAAGTGTCAATGGTGATAAGGAAACAAATTAGAACAAGTACTTAAAGATTTTTAAGAGATTTAAAAAAGTAATTTCAATGGTTTCAGATAATGACCTAAGAAAGACAAGATTATATAGTTGTTACTATGTAGTTTCAAAGTATTTGTATGCAGTAGATGAAAGAATATGAATATGACTGTTTAATTTAAATACATATATTGAAAATATTACATTTAACAATTATAGCAAACTTAAGGATTTTAAATTGTGATTTTAGTTAGAATTGGTTGTATGTAAATTTGATATTGAAAATATGTAATATTTTTGAAAAAAATTTGGTTTTTGTATTTAATTTAAACAGTGTTATGTTTATTTAAGCATCTTTTATTTAAATATGCAGATATTTCTTTATTTAATATGCACTTTTAACCACATACAAGTGTTTAAAATATTTTTAATAATATAATGTTCCTTTCTTTTTAGAAACCCAAACACCATCTTAAATCCTTGCCCAAAGGAGCCTGGAAGCGATTAAAAGACTTGCACGATCGCCAGAAGAGGCGGCGTCACTTACTAATAGAGAACTATACCCAGGATTCACATATCGACAACGAAGCTGGCACTTTATTGATACCCATTGTACTGAAGGAGACCCCACCAATTAGAGCCACTGGAACAATACCCAAGAAACCCAAAGACGCTGATTGTGATTCTAGTTGCCCCGTGTCTCGCTTCCGGCAGTTACAATTCCAACGCGACCTTCGCATTCATCCTTTCACAGACACCAATGTGGAACGCGGCAGAAAACAAAAGGACATAGAAGTAGAGGAAGATTTAGCCAAAATGCCTAGTGATAAAGAGAGTCCAGAGTGAGTTTCTTTTGTGGTTTTTATAAACAGACAAAATAAGAGGAATTTTCCTATTTTACAGAACATTAAATGTAAATATATATAAAAAATTATATTTCATTTAATTATGTTAATTTTTTGATTTACTGAAGAATTTCTTTTTATTTTTCTTTGAAATAAAAAATCATATTATCAATAATCCACAAAATTATTAATACAATTCCTTTTTTTGTAGAACCAAACCACTGAACAATAACAACACAAACGGAAACGGTGGCAGTGCACCGAGCAAGCCAAAGATCCAGCCAAAATACAGCATCCACCGGGATGTGCTGACCCACGAGGTGGTGATCAAGCAGACGGGATATGCGGCCCGGGACAAGAGCATACCGTCCTCGCTGCGCAACTGCTGGCACAGCTGGAACTTCTTCGCACTCTTCACCGGCGTGATTCCCATCCTGCAATGGCTACCTCAGTATTCGCCCAGGAGAGACCTTCCTGGAGACATTATCGCCGGCTTCACCGTGGCCATTATGAACATACCGCATGGCATGGCGTATGGAATTCTGGCGGGAGTTTCGGCCGGAAACGGTCTCTATATGGCCGTCTTTCCAGTACTGGCCTACATGTTTTTGGGAACCTCCAAGCACATCTCGATTGGCACCTTTGCGGTGGCCAGCATGATGACGGCCAAGGTGGTGGATACGTTCGCCAATGTGGATGATCACCATCATATGTTGGCAACTGGATTGCTGTCGAATGGGACAACTACTGCATCACCTCTCCTGGCTTTGAATTCTTCAGCACTTGTGGACTTAACTACCTCAACCAGCACATCCCCTCTTTCGGTTTTGGCTGAAACTACCACTGCATCCACTCTTCAGCTATTGAATTCCACCCTGATTGCGGATCCCATCACAAAACTGGAGGTGGCCACCTCGCTGGCCCTCACCGTTGGCATTGTGAACGTAAGTTGGTTCTAGAGATATTTTTATATCCATTACTCGTATAGTAAAGTTCCTAACGAAATATAAAAGAAAATTTTAAAATCGGACAATCCATTTAAAAGTTATGAGCCAAAATGAAATGGCCGCTAGATGGAGCCAATCGTAGTATTCGACTCTCTTGTTAATCAATTAATTAATTACCCTCTGATCATATTTTTCAGCTCCTAATGGCCTTTTTAAGACTGGGAACCCTGTCGTCCCTGCTGAGTGAGCCCCTGGTCAATGGATTTACCACAGCTGCAGCTTGTCACGTGGTCACCGCCCAGCTGAAAGATGTCCTGGGCATCTCAGTGCCCCGTCACAAGGGCGCTTTCAAGATCATATACAGTGTTATTGATGTGGTTAAGGGCGTGCCGGAAACGAATTTGGTGAACTTTGGCTTTTGCATGGCGGTGATCGTATTCATGACGATCTGCAATGAGATCTTGAAGCCGCGCCTGAGCAAAAAGTGCCGCTTCCCCCTGCCCGCCGAGCTGATCATGGTGATTGGCGGCACACTGATCTCCAAGTGGTTCAATCTCCAGATCGACTACAAAGTGAATCCGGTGGGTACGATACCCAGTGGACTGCCGGATCCCGTTCTGCCGCGACTGGATCTTGTGCCAAAGGTGGCCGTGGATTCCATAGCCATTGCCATAGTGACCTACTCCATAATCATGTCCATGGGCCTGACTTTCGCCAAGAAGCATGGCTATGAGGTCAGGCCGAATCAGGAGCTATTCGCCATGGGCATTGGCAACATGGTGGGCGGCTGCTTCTCCTGCATTCCCATGGCCTGCTCCTTGTCGAGATCTGTAATCCAGGATCAGACAGGTGGTGTTTCGCAGATAGCTTCACTGGTCTCCGCTGCGCTGGTGGTGGTTACTCTTATGTGGATAGGTCCCTTTTTCGGCAGTTTGCCCAGGGTGAGTGCAGTGTTTATCCTAAATATTTTGTTATTTTTCCTAAATTGATTTGCCTTCTTTCAGTGCGTTCTGGCTGGCGTCATTATAGTGGCCCTGAAGCCTATGTTTATGCAGGCCAAGGAACTGAAAAAGTTCTCCAAACAGGGCAAGCTTGAGATGTTCACCTGGATATCCACCTTCCTCTGCGTGGTGATCATCGATATTGATATAGGGTGGGTGCCTCTCCAGTTGTACTATATTTAATTAATTAATTTATATTAATTTGATTATTTTCCCTTTATAGCCTACTGATTGGCATCTGCATCTCCCTGTTGGCCCTGTACATCAAGGGCCTGAAGCCCTACTCCTGCCTTCTGGGCTACATGCCAGAGGCTCCGGGAATCTATATGGATGTCAACCAGCACCGGAATGCGATGCAGGTGCCCGAGACCCGCATTTTCCGCTACAGTGGCTCTTTGAACTTCGCCACCAGTTTGTTCTTCCGGCGGGCTCTGTACGAGGCCGTGGGTCTGGACAAGATGCCACTGACGAAGGTCACCAGCAGCAGCAGCAGCAGTAGCAATAGTCCCAGCAAGGGCAGCAAGTCGAGCTATTCCCCGGTTTCGCAGAACGGAGGAAAGGCAGTCAATGGCCAGTTGGAGCAGTCGGCCGGTGCGTTCAAGGTGCTCATCCTGGACTTCTCGATGCTGGGGCACATAGATGTGGCCGGATGTCGCACCCTCACGGATGTGAGCAAGGAGCTGAAGGTGCGGGGAGCCCGCCTGCTGCTGGCCAGCCCCGTTGATAGGGTGTACGACACCCTGGTGCACAGCATGGCCCTCAGCGAAGGACCCTTCGAGATCTTCCCCACGCTGCACGATTGTGTGGAGTATGCCAATGCCTGTCGGACGGCGTGAGAGCGCGATCCTCCTGCTCCAGATGCGGAGGCAAACCACGTTTTGTGATATGTCCAAGTGATAGCTTGCGAATCGTAGCACCAAAACCCCCTTCCTAGTTGCTAAGACCTATTTTAAACTGATTAGAAACAATGTCGCCGTCTACAATCAAGCAGAATAGGCTAAGTTCGTTTAAGTGCCTCCAAAATATTGATTTTTGTACTTAAATCACACACAGCCCACCAGTCAAGGCAACCGAAGAACTTCGAGCGATCAACGGAGCGCATTGATTTAGTGCAATTTGTACCAAAATGAACAATTCAAACACACACAATTAGTTTTTAGGCTTAAAATGTATAAAATTGTATGTATAAACTGTACATAAACATTAAACTGAATTTGTTGCAATTATTGTGGTATGGTTTTTAACAGAATTGAATTTTAAATTTAATTTGTATTTTTGTAGTATACTTTTAGGCTTGGTAAAGAAGAAGAAGAAGAGTTTGCAATGTATTTGGGTTTTATGTTTTTAACCCTCTAGTGCCCAAATTTTCTTTTCCAAAAAAAAATTATTTTTGGATTCATTATGATCCAAAAGTGAATGTTTGTTTTAGAAAAACTTTTACTTTTGCACGGATCGAGTTTTATAGGACTATATCCTTGGACCGCCTAGACCTTATAAAAGCTATAGAAAGCTAACGAAATCTTATTTTTAGTGTGGGTTTCGTTTTTTGAGTCCTTGAGACTATCAGTAACACCGTACAATTTTTTTTTCCAGCAACAAACTTTTTCTAATATTTTAAAAAAATAGTTATATTTTGCATTTAATTCGCAAATAATTATTTCGTCCGAGTTGCACTAATTTTCTGCCTCAAATGACTACAGCAGCTCGCGCAAGCTCTAGTATGTATTCCAAACGCAACGAACTTAATTTTTGGACTTCCCCGAATTAGAAAAAAAACGCAAAACCGAGTCAAAAGGAATGAAAAGACTAAAATAACGGTGCTTTTAACCTTACCCGTCTGGAGGCGGTCTTGGGCACTAGAGGGTTAATTATTTTTAATTGATTTTGCGATTTTGATTTTATTCAAGGGTCTTACATATCTATATTTGTTCGCTAAATAATGAAGATTCCTTAGATTTCTTTTTTATTTATATCAACATTTCAGAAAAATTACTCTTGTGTTTCTAAAAGATAAAAGATTTTTCTGCATGTACGTAAGTGATAATTTATATGTGGGCCAGTACGAAATATATCCATAAACCGAATTGGTTTGACATTTACGGAATTTTTGATTCCTTTTTTGATAGGAGAGTTGCTGCATAATCATGTTTTTTTAAGCCTTTAAAAATAAATCCATAGTAAGCAGCATAAATGCAAGGAAACAGAAACCTTATTTATTTTATTCCATTTTTATATGATTCATATATTTTTGTACTTCAGGAATCATGAGATACTTGCAATTTCAGTCGGTAATACCTGACCTGATCCGAAGACAGAATATCCAGGTTTTGGCTGACACATCGCCACGTACAATCGCTTGAGCTGACACCGAGCAATTAGCAGGCACATGACTAAACTTGGATGTATTTTTTGGCTATTTGTGTTTGCCCAATATCTATATGCTTACGGCGGAGGCGGTGGAAAATGCCCTAAGCGGCGGCCAAAAGGAATACAATTGTTCCAACTGATTAGCCCTTAAATGACTTCTGCCCGAGGCCACAGAATGCACATGGAATTTGTTTGGATTCGTGTGGCACATGGGAACAACTACATGACTTGAGTTGGTCAAGATCTGAGAGTCGGTTGCGTTTTGTGGTTGTCCACCAAAATGAATGCCAGCCCTCAAGTTCGATCTTTTTGAAGGTGACTTTGTGTGAAAACTTAAACTGTTTCTGGCGGTACTAGAAAAATAATCTTTTTAATTTTTGTATTAATTTGTATTAATCTATAATAAATTCAAAACAATTAACCTTTTTAGCCTTTCAACTTTCCCAATAAATTATTCAATAGCACAATGTAATTCTCATACACTGGTTAATTTATTAATGAAATATTTATGCAAATTATTGATTGATTAAGATAACTTAGATCTGGAGATCAGTATGCGGAGGGGGCATGAATCCACTTTTAGAACGGCGCAAGAATTTGTAATGAATACATACCTATTAATTAAATATTTCCACATTTTTCTGACATTTAAAATTATTTTTTAAATAAACTTCATTTAACTTTTAATCATTTTGATGTGTTATTTATGTGGTATGCATGGGTTTGTTTCAATTTTAATTATATCCTCTGCTACCTTTTGTCATTTGTTTGCAGTCCCCATCTTTGACTCATTCCAATCATTTTAAGTGCTACAATTTAACGCTTCTGACGCTTGTCACCTTCGGCGGGCTTAACGAGGCTTTCAACTCGCTCAATTTAATCGGATCTCAGTCAGAATATTTTCATAGGCGAAATTGACTTGCTTAAAATCGAATTAAGAATTCCCCATAATATTAATGATGCCTTGGCCACTTGAGAAGAAACAAGCGAACAACTCTAGCCGGCTATTTCGATTTTTGTGCAATATTTTATCACGAGGCGCCTGCATACGAGTGTGTGGAAATGAATTTTATGGCAACTATAAAACGCAAAAGGTTCCCACAGCGAGTGTATAAGATGCAAAATCAACAGGCAGAGTAATTGTTTTTCATTTTTTATTTTTATTTCTATTTTTGCCATGCAACTTCCACATTTGTGGGAAGTTAAGGGGACGGAGGCGGGTGTTTGTTAACACGGCCATAAAAGTGCTAAACATGCCAACAATTTGAGCGTTTTTCAACCGTGCTATGGAGTGTGTGTAAGCGAAGCCCCCCTCGATTTCTTAGGGGGTGGAGCTATTTGTGTATCGGCAGCCAACTCTTTGACCTTAGCTTGGAAATTGCTTACGAAATTACTCAACGCAGCCAAAACTATTTGTTTGGCTAACAACAAAATTGCCGAAGGTTGCCTTCTGATGCAGCAATTGAAAGCGATCAACTCTTGATAAAGGGCTACATACAAAATATTTATTTTTTAAAATTAAATACTTCTTAAATGATCGTGTTTTGAAATTTTGAGACTTTAAGTAGGCACTGGTAAGTTTTTGAGGATTCATTTTGTGTCAAAATTTTTGACCAATATGATACTTCATTTAATTAAATAGACGGATTTTTTCTCCACTCGAGTGTTAGTGCTGATCAAGCAAATAAATAGTTAATATTAGAACGTTTCGATCTCCTGATACAATTCCATCGCTGTGAAGTTAAACAACACTGTGCAGCATTTTTAGTGCTTTTTAAATTTACCTCGATGGATGCTATATTTTTAGATTCGTTACGAATTCCCAAGTTAAACTGCGTTTTCCAAAAAGTTCCCCGACGCAAGGATTCTTAGCAAAAGGACCTCAAAGTTCGAAAAATGCTGAAATTGACCAACTTTGCGGAGCTCTCAGATGAAAATGGATGCATGGCTTGGTTCGAAGTTAAAGTTTTTTAAAAGATACACCCTTTATCTTTCGAACCCCATACATAAAATAATTTTAGGATTTTGTTTAAGGCAGAAATAAATTCCAAAAAACATAGTCAAAAAACTGAAAAACATACAGCTGCGGTCAAAATAGTAGCAGTGTTGCCGCCTTGTGTTTTTAAAAGTTTGATGTTGTAATTTTGTCTTATCCAATTAGTCTAATAGTAAAATTATAATCAATACAATATTACCAGGAAAAGATCAATTACAACAACAAACTTTTAAATACACAGGGCGGCAACACTGTTACCATTTTGACCGCAGCTGTATACTTTTATGTTTTTTGATTTTTTTTTCTAGAATTTGTTTCTGCCTTAAACAAAATCTTAAAAATTTTTTAAGTATAGGGTTTAAAAGATAAAGGGTGTATATTTTAAAAAACTTTAACTTCGAACCAAGCCATGCATCCATTTGCCTCTAAGAGCTCCGCAAAGTTGGCCAATTTCAGCATTTTTCGAACTTTGAGGTCCTTTTGCTAAGAATCCTTGCGTCGGGGAACTTTTAGGAAAACGCAGTTTAACTTGGGAATTCGTAACGAATCCAAAAATATAGCATTCATCGAGGTTAATTTTTGATGCTGCATAGTGCAATTAATCCTAACATTTTGAATAATAATAATAATATTTTTTGGATAAGTCAATGATCCCCACCACGAATTGGACAGACCGAAAATTAAAAAAAATATCAAATTTCGTTTGCTTATCAATATTTATTTTTTGCAATTGCCCAAAATGAAACAAAGGTGCTGGCTGTGGACGGAACACATTTTGTTTGCTCAACGCATTTTCACATGCCGAATCGGCAAAGAGAAGTCGGGGCGAACGAAAAACCGAAAAATAGATGAATAAATAAAAGAGAAGTACGAAAACATTCAGAAGTATTTGCGGTTTGTAAGCGAGCAGCTCCCCCCTCCCCCTTGCACCTGCAGTCCGGAGCCTCCAAAATCCGGGGCTCAAGTCGGAATTGTTGTAATTTCGAGAGCCAAGACCAGAAAAAGCCCAACAACGAAGCTCTTTGTGAGCGAAACTAATAAAAAACCGATCGCCACGACTGTTCCCACAACCAGTTTCAAGCGAGCTCTCGAGCGGTAGAGTCGTCGCCTTCCCACATATAGTACTATAGTATTATAGCTCCCCGATCCACTCACCACTCTCTGTAAGGCGAGCTTAAAGTCGGGGCTTAAGTCAATAAGACATCAAGTGAAACACATAGTTTTATCTCCGGGAAATATACCGAAAGTCTAGTGATAACTCCGCTAAGGATAATGCTACCTTGGCAGTTGTGACGTAACTTTAAAAGCAAATCTTAAAAGCAAGACCGCAAAAAAAAAGTTGTTTGCCATGGGAGAACTGCAATTGACAATAACAGCAACAACAATCGAATAAAAACTCAATAACAATTATCAACTGCGAGTGAGGCTCAAAACAAATGCAAGAAACCTGTATTAAAAAAAGTTTAATAAAAATTTGAGAGTAAATATTAACAAATATTGCATAAATTGTTACCTACGTAAACTTCGCAAGCTCTTGCGATCTGAATGAAATACGATAAAGCCGCAAAGAGCGACTGAAAAGCAAAACGAAATATCATAAAAAGATCAGATAAATGTCGTGGATAATATTTGGTTATTTTTTTAAGGGACATTCGAAAGTTAAATTAAATAAAAGATTTGTTAAAAAGTTGATTGACAAAAAAGTAGCACATTTAAGCCATCTTTTTCCACTAAAAAGTTAAACATTTTGTTTTAACTCTATTTGTTTCTTTTTTATAGCCACCCCGCCTTCGTTCATAACAATTTCCCACTTCCAAAGTTTTTGTGCATTCAAGTGCGACTAAAAATAGTGGCTGTTTCTTTTGGCTTGGCTTGTTTTGCTTTGTGTTTTTGCAAAACAACAACTTTGAGGCCATTTACATACTCAAACGCTGAGAAAAGAAAACCGCCAAAATTGGTTACCTAACGAAAACTTCGTTTGTGCTACGGGACGGCAAACTTGTGAGTAAATAAGTTAATTGATTAATATTACAACCTAATAAGGTAGTTTTATCTCATATGCGTAATACGTTAAGATTAGTTTATTAAATAATTTGTATATTATTTTAGTTAAACAGTCAAGCTTTCTAATAGTAACATTGGGATTTTCGAAGTAAAGGTTATATTATAGCGAGGTAAATTGATTATGTACCTTCACAAAAAAACCCTAAATAATACATAAAAATATGCTTGATATTAAAAAAATCTCTTGCTCTTTGTGGCATACACAAGACTTAGGATATAATTTGTATTAATGTTTGTAAGAACTTCGTTTTTCTTTACAATAGTACGTAGAATTATCCCAATTGTTGCTTCCATTATTGTTTTGCAAATACTGACGATTAAACATGACTTGAAACGAATTTAAAAGAATTGTCTACAGATTGGTTTCCACCCTACGATTTTAAAACCCCCAAATCGACAGACTCGCAAAATAAGTTATTCCTATCAAAACTACGAAAAGACATTTATTTTGGTACTTCAACCCACAATATTGCAACCTCTTAATTACCCGATTACATATCCAACTAATAATGGTGATGATGATCCATAATTTTGTTTACCTTTTTTAGCAAAATAATAATAATTTCCAATAATTTCCCATGTTTTTCAAGAGTGAGAGGTCTAAAAATCCGAGCTTTAAGTGATCTATTATGATGTGTAGCACGTACATCTGAACAATTACCATAAACTTAATTGGTTTCGGCTTACAAGCCGCAGATATAGTGATTCGCCCCGCCGCCAACGCCCCGTCATTAATGGCGACTTTCAGATGACTTACTGTCATCTCAGGCACGATTCCCGCAACATGATAACGCCGAATGAAAAATAGTGAATATTCAGACAGTGTGAGAACATTTTTTAATAGCCCCGCCAATTACCTGGCGAACTTTGCTGCGACTTAGCTTATTTGAATTTGGAAAATAATGCTCGAAATGAGATGTCGTTTACCAGCTAGTTGGGGGTCGGGGGACTCGATTGCTCAGCCTGCAATTACTTTTAATTAGCATTTAGAACATCGCAGTCCGCCAAGATGAATCAGAGATGGGGCGGCACTCGTAAATAAGCCACTATAATTAGCTAGCAATTTTTCGGGCAGGCTATTACTTTGATTTATTTATTTGTGATTGCTCCAACTTCCACTGGGAATTCTCCTCGGAGTCTCTACGCAGCGAACCCTTGAAGTGGGCCTAATGCGTCGTAAGTAACCGAAGTCTCTTTTTAAGAGCCGTAACTGACAAAATCCACAAAACGTTAACAGCCACCGCCGATAATGAACGCTTGTCTAGGCGCATTGCGTTGGCAGCTTCGCTGCGGCGTCGCCGCTGCCAAAAGTGGGTCATGGTTAAGTGTACTTCGGTCGCTTCGCGGTTCGGACCCGGCTTAGAAACAAACAGCGAACAGTCGGCCGAAACCACATCTGCGCATGCGCACCACTCTCCCAGCTTCACTCTCGTTTTACAGCTGGAAAACCAGCGATTGGCGGCAAAGATAGTGAAATAAATATCACTTACAGATTTTACACGGAAGAAACTTCGAAAAAGGTTACACATTTCATTAACATTACAACTTGATAGTACGATTTTAAACATTCGGTGATTCAATATTAAAATGTTAGGTTAGATTTGATTGGAAATCACAATATATGTTTTAAGTCCCTAATTCAAATATTTTAGTTTTCCAGTAATTTGTTAGATCCTAAAAGCTTTGTCACTACCAAGATCCTTTAATATTTTAAATATATAACATGTATTTATTTTTTAGTACGAGAATAAATTTAATAATTAGAAATACGATATTTAAAAATAGTTTACGAATATAGGTTGTCATCAAACCATTTACTGTACTAAGCCACAACTTACTAACACTATAACCCAATCCAAGCGAAGTGTAAAATAATCCTTATCTATTTTCGCCGAATAGAGCTGTTGCGCCATCAAGAACCTCTGCATCTTTTCCCTCCCAAATCCCTAGCATCATCCTCCTTGCATCAAATTCCTCTTCGGACTCGTCACCTGTAGACAAAAGTACAAAATGTTACATTCTCTTCTGTAATCGAATTGATTAATTGGAACTTATTTTCCATTCAAAGGAAGACGATATGGGCTTCAGTTCGCGAATGGACTGCTGCGGGCAGTTCGTCAAGTACAGCCTTTTCATAGCCAACTTTGTGATATTCGTGAGTATCTCGCCTAAATGAAAGTAAATAATTAATTTCAAACAAATTATCAAAAATGAATACTTTCAGGTGGGTGGAGCCATTGTCTTCTGTCTCACCCTGTGGACTCTGGTGGATCGCAGTTTCGTTAACGAATTGCTCGGAACTAATCTTTTCTCGGGAGCCGTTTACGTTCTACTGGTTACATCGATCATCATCTGCCTAGTGTCCTTTTTGGGCTGTGTAGGTGCTGGAAAGGAGGTCAAGTGCCTGCTACTTACGGTACGTAAATATAATAAATATAACAAATCATACGGTTCTATAACCACTTTTATTAAATTGAATTAAATTATTTCTAAACAAAAATATAACTTGCATTTAAAAAATAAATATGTTGCGTTACTAAATTCTTTATTTTTCTTTCTAAAACTAACTTAAGAAATCGCAAGTCTTTTCTTCTTAACTATGATGCAAACACCATTTAACATATGCATTAACCCCTCGTTTTCCCTTTGCAGTATTTCATAATAGTGGCTTTAGTTTTCGTCACCATGCTAATTGGCGGCGTCTTGGGTTATGTGTTCCGCGAACGAGTTCAGCAGACCATGCGGCAGGTAAGGGAAATCCATAAATAAATCTGTGGCACTCCATTGAACCCACCTAATGTTCCGTAGGAAATGCGATCCACAATGGCTTTATACGGCAGCCGGAGGGAGATCACCCAGGCCTGGGATTTGACACAAGAGCGGCTGCAATGCTGCGGAGTGGACACGTGGCACGATTGGAATAGGTACGGACCGGTGCCCGAGTCTTGCTGCCAGGAGCTTTTTGGGGGTCAGCGAAAGGAGTGCACCATCTTCCCGACCATCACCAATCTGTACAACCAGGGCTGTCTCTATGTCACGACCAACTTCATCAGAGATCACGCGGCGGTTATCGGAGGAACCTCCATCGCGGTGGCCATTTTAATGGTGAGTAATACATATACTTAGAAAATACGGGAAAATACTGAATAATCATTTTAAAAATTATTTTTATTTTTTCAGATCTTTGGTATGATATTCTCCTGCCTACTGTTCAATATGATCGAATAGCGCCAAAGAGGAGGAGAATTCCAAGCCCAAGCAGGAAAAACAGATACCAAGGTCGGAAGTATGGAGGAAACCCATTTTTGAGCTATATTAAGAGTATTATCCGAGTGTATGATATAATGTTGGCTCTAAAAAAGTCAACTGTCCGTTTGTATTATGTACCTATGTATATACGTGTTTAAAGAAACTAGTGAGTATTCATGAGCGAGTAACTGGATTGTATTGTTATCATCTGTTGCATATTTTTGTATTATTTTTATGTATTTCTGTAAATTTAGTCTTAAGATCCCGTAATCAAAACCCCAATGCAATTGCTAGTTTTAAGCCAGCTTTTCTATTGTTTATAGAGAATTTAGTTGTCTGTCCATTGTTGTTTCTAATAAAATTAGTTAAAAAGTAGAGCTTCGGTAAGTTTTATTTTGATTTCTTAAGTTCTTGGGCTTGCTAATTTTTTTTTCTGAATTTTTGATATAGAATGTGAATTTTGAAATTGTCTATAAGACAAGTGAAATACAATTTTCCTATTAAAATATTCATATCTAGGGATGTTCTACCTTAAAATATTATTGCATATTTTTGGGATCTGTGAACACGATATTCAATATGGACAATATCGTAAATAGATTAAATAGGTCACTGCTTTCAATCTTGTACTGTTTTTTAACGTTGTAGCCGAAAGTTGCTTGCACAATTTATTATCATTTAATTTATTACCAGTGATGCCACAATTATGGCATTAATTTAAGCCAAGTTTGTTTCATCTAAAATAGCTAGTTCAATAAATATACTTTTCGGACAAAAATAAATGATTATAGATCTGTTTCGAAGTATAGTCACAAGTAAATTGTAAATATTATTAACAATTATTTTTATTTATTTTAATTTTTTTACAATTTACACTAATCAGAACTTACCACTATAAATATCTTCTATACGCTAGGCCTATAATACTTCCCATCATAATCCATATATTTAACGAACAAGTACCGGAACTTGAATCCGTTTCCGTATCGTTCCACCACTCCCAATTTCCGTTGTGGTAAGCTGGATTGGCCCGCGAATCGGATTTGGGAACTCTGGCGCTAGGAATCGCAGTCCGACGGATTTGATCCACCTCTTCGGCAAGTTCCTTCAGTTGAAGTGGATAGCTTTCCGCTAGATTGTATCGCTCACAGGGATCCTTGGCCAAATCGAAAAAGCAGTGTGCCTTTAGGGGCTCACATTTGAATTCGGGCTCTAGAGGATTCTGCCCTTCAATAGGGGGACACCTCTCGGTGGCTTCGCTTCTCATCTGCAGGATGCGATCCTCGGTTAATCCCCGATTTCCCAGGACGCGTTGAACTTCCGATGCCAGGACATGCTGTCCGTAGCTCTCGCTCAAGGGATCGTCTTCGTTGGGCTCCAGATCTCCTAGCCACTGATCGTATTGTCCCCCAAAGCTGCTTCCGTTCACATACTTAAGATTATCTCGCATGTACGATGAGTAGCCGAACACTTCATCCAGCACATGAATCATCGTTCGGGGCTTCGGTTCCTCATTGCCGCTCAGCGAAGGCCAGAGATTAACTCCGTCCAACTGAAGATCCAGTGGCAAGGACACCCCGGCAGCTCCAGCCAGTGTGGGCAGCCAATCCACGGCATGAATAGCCTGATTGGACACATATCCTTGCTCCTTGAGGAGCGGACTCCATAAGGCGCCGGCGGATCGAATGCCACCCTCCCACGGGGATTCCTTTTGCTGTTGGTAAAAGAAAGAGCAGTATTTAATATATATTTTAAGTGACATGCTTAAAGTCAAATTATTACTTAAAATCCCCCTTAGAAGAAATTCTATTGAGCTGTGCTGTTGGCAAAAGAAAGAGCAAAGCAACTGATGTAAAGTACAAGTCGTAAGCCTTGGACATTGTATCTTTTCTAGTTTTTGATCTACATAATTTTTTAAAATTTTAAGGAGAGTCATTATTTTTTATTATTTACTTTAATGAATGAATTTTAAAGTGTAAAACCACTTGATATTCTAGTAGAATAATAATAATAATAATAATAATTACTTACCCCGCGGTAAGGATAGTTAGAGCCCGCATTGGAGTGAATGCCCACAGTGGGGGCACCATTGTCTGAGTAAAGCAGGATAATGCTGTTATTCAGCATTCCATTATCCTTCAAAGCACCAATCGTCTGAGCCACACTTTTATCCAGACTAGAAATCATCCCTTTGTTCAAAATATATAGATATGGTAAGAAATGCAGATTAGAAACTATTCCAGATCTTAAATTACCAACTCACCAGCGTAAGTGCGCCGCTTAGGATTCTTGATGTGGGCAAACTTGGCAACCTCCTCCTCGGGAGCCTGCATCGGATTATCCTCGTTGCCCGTGTGTACTGCCAAGTGACTGAGCACCATAAACAATGGTTTGCTCTTATCGTGCTTCTCAATAATCCTTTTCGCTTCCGAAGTAAAGGCTTCGGTAGCGTAAGTTCCATTTGCCTCGGGACAGGGCTCAAGATCCCGTCGGAAATCCAGTCCTGCCGAATAGTTCCTGTCGAGCATTCGAACCTGATGATCGTAGTAGTCGATGTATCCGTTGTAGTAGCCAAAGTGGTGGTCAAATCCGCGCATTGTGGGTGTAAGGTCCTTTCGCCAGAAGCCCAAGTGCCACTTTCCCACCAAGTGGGTGGAATAGCCGGCCTCCCGGAAAAGTTCCGGCATCAGACGCTCTCGCTGAGGGAGACTCCAGGGCTCATCGGTAATGATCACAAAGTGCTGCATTCCTGAAAACATTTAATTAAGTAATTTAGTTAGAAAGAACCTTTGGTGATTTACAAATTATAATTAACCTGTGTGTATGGGATATCTTCCGGTTAGCAGGGTGGCCCTGGATGGAGTGCACAGATTCGGAACATAGTGCTTGTTGAGCAGAATACCATTGTAGGCCAGGGCATCAATATTCGGCGTGAGTATCTGATTCGAGCCATGAAAACTCACATCGTTCATGCCCTTAAAGTATATAAAATATTCGTGTTTATAAGCAGTAATTATTTCTTAGTACGACAACTTACCATATCATCGATCAGTATTATTACAATGTTGGGCTTAGTGGAATTTCCAGATCCATTTGCCAGACTGAGTATGGCACTCACTACCAGCAGACCATGGATTTTCCCAGTCATTTTAAAGCTCCAGATCTAAAGAAAAATTTGTATAAATCAATAATTGATTTCATTTATGTTAAACACTTTTTAATGTTATTAATTAAATATTATACCAACATGTTACTTAAAATGAGCAAAATTCCAGAAATTATTAGGTAAGTAAATATCTAGTAAAAAATATTTCCACTGTGTGCTAAGTTTGAGCGACACTAAAATGTATTCCGTTTATTGTTTTTGGCCATGTGTTGCAATACCAACATGTAACTGACTCCATTATAATATTGCACATCTAGGCAGTATCTGCCGAATTTTCTTCGCCATAATTGGCAATTTTACAATCAGCCATCTTCCACAGGTGCTGCCTCCAACTTCTTCCCTCCTGACCTATCCCATGGCCCAGTGTGGCATGTGGCCGCAAAGTTCATTCAACCATTCCGGCGTCTGCTGTCGTTTTATTTTGTTGTTTTTTGGCAACAATTGTTAAGACATTATATAAAACAAAGAAACACATGAACACCGAGGCTTACCTTTGCTGTGAGGGCTGTAATTTCTTTTTATCTTGGCTAAAACTGTGTTTTAATTGTCGCAATAGGCCATAAAAAAGCTGGCAATAATGAAATCGAGGCAGATAAGCGAGACAAGCCATAAAATCTATGAACTGTGCAATTGTTTTCAGCATTTTAGACGAGTTTTAATAATGCTACATAATTTGAATAAAAATAAAAGTGTCGTGCGAATGGGATGGGAATTTTCGTCACGACATGTGGATTGTAACTGAGAATGGGAACGCCCAGCAGATAGGTGATGACCTTCACAGGTCGTTTATATCGTGACCTTGATTAAACACGTGTGTGTAATCAATATCCAGTTCATCAAGCCTAAAGGTTCTTGAGTGCAAAGCAACCTTTGATGATACCGATTAGTACAATCAAAACTAGTTTAGTTCAATATGGCTTGCAATTTTTCCTATTCAAAAACTTTTAGATTTTTGGAGAGTTGTACAACGTGGATCAGGCTCATCCACACTTTGTTTTGCCAAATTACAATGTAACCGACTGTGGTTAACCAATTGAAGACATGAGGCAAGATTCAATCGTGGAATTATGAAATGCAAATTATTGTAAAAAACAAGAAAAATCTGTAAAATACGAAAAAAAAATGTTGTAAATCTATTTATCTTCCTTGAAGTAAGATAAAAATTATCAAACACAAAATCAAATGAATCCTTTATAAGTTTCTAAATTGTTACAATATTAATTTAGTGCACTCCCTCTTTTTAAACCATTTAATCTTGGCATTCTTTAAGTGTGCTTAAAAAGTGGGTTCTTAAGTGCAATCGTTTAAATTTTATTGTACCTTTTCAGTTGTCGTAAAGTAATCTGTTTTCTCAAGTATTCCCCAATTTTACTTCAAAAAAGTTTACTCTTTTTATAAAGGAATTAAAAAAACAGAGACTGTTTAAATCAGATTATGATGTGATTAGCTAAGCAACAAACTGGTTCAGAACTCAATGTCTACAGTCTTTTTATATTATTTATATATTATATATTTACTAACTAGTCTCAATGTTTGTTTTGAAATGTAAATTATAATAATTATTTCGAAAACTACGGTAATGGATTCTGGAAAATTTTCGATCAAACTGGTTACGCACTTCAGCTGATTCCTTTATTTGTCAGCTCATTCTCTTTAAAATTGTTTCAACTTTGCAACTAAGTCGCTCAACCTTTTTAGCACTTAACACTAAACACTCAACTGTTTTTCCGGAATCTGTTGGAGGTTTTAACGATGATGGGTGATCGTCGGTGATCCTTCCCCCAGCGGCTTCTCCACTCGACTAAACGCTCCGCTGGATTTTGGCGCTTTTAAAGTGACAACGCTTTAGCCGACTTTAACGGCTGTGACGTCACGGAACGTGCGCGAAAAATAATCGTATACAACACATAGCATGCTGCTATAAAACAGCCACAGAAATTATCGTACAAAAGCGAAAACACACCGCTATAAAAGCAAAGGCAAAACGTGGCTTTGCAAAGTCAGACAGGTGAGGAAAAGCAGACGGAATTTTGAAGTTCACCGAACTTTGAAGAAAATGAAGAGTTATTGTAAAACGAGCTTTACTTTGATTGTTGTGTAAGGTCAGGGTTCTTGTAGCCTGTTCTTTGATAAGTTTGATATGTTGATAAGCCAAAAACGGGTTTTGTGCGCTCTAATTGAATTGATTAGTATTCTAGCATTCGATTTCGTTCGACTTTGGCCTTGCCGATTTTTGTGCCAACTTCGGAAGGTTAGCCTATATTAGAACTCGCCTGAATGACTCGACTAGATGACTAAAATTACTTCCATCCATCGAAAAAGTTAAAATGATAAAAAAACAAAGAAAAAACAATTTACATATTTTAATCTTTAAATTATAGTAACTATAAAATAATATTAAAAAGTTTTTTAACAAAAAAGAATTTATCAAACGGGTTAAAGTTTTACAAATATATTTATCAGTCCAAAGCCAATATGAATGTGGATTTGGTAAAATGCCTCAAACTTACTTATTGTAGTTTACAAGTTTTTTTTAAGATAAGGCTTTAATCAGATTGCAGACAACTTATTTTTGTAAGGGGACTTCCATTGCGAAAATTCACAATATCTCGCAAGCAATTGACCACAGAACTTTCATGTGTTAATCACCAATCCAGAAAAGTAACCAACTATCTAATCACAAGAGTAAACCCTCGAAAAATAATTTACAGCCGACCTTATCAGATCTTCGAGCCTTTGGGGGGAGACCTATAAAAGCGGTCAACAGGTGGAAATGACCACAATACCTCTCAGTCAGCAACAGAATCATGTACTCTACCAAGAGCTCTGTCATTGTGGCCGTCGTCCTCGTCCAGCTGGTGGCTCTCATCCAGGGAGGAGTCTACAGCACGGAGGATAAGTGGGTGTATCTGGACAAGACAATGGATCTGCCGGAGGAAGCCGTTCTGGGTGGAGTCGATCCCGATGGTTACTACAACTACGTGGGTCGTGTGGTATACAGCAGTAATATTTTGCCCGCCCGAGTGGTTCCGGAACTAGGAAAGGCGACCTACAATACGGACACTTTGGGCAACCAGGCCACAACCTACGAGGTCCTGGTCTCCAATGCCACCGTCAGCTACCACTGGATCCACAGTTTCGATGGCTTCCGGGAGAAGAACGCCGTGTCCGTGGGAACCAACGCCTCCAACGATCGCGTCTTCATCTGCCGCGTCCGCTGCGATGAGGCGCTTTTCATTGGAACCCTTTACCTTGCAAGGCGGACGTGCATCGTCAAATACGAGAACCTGCCGCTCCGCTCATATGACAAATACGAGATCCTCGTCAGGGAACGCCATGTGGCTGCCTTTACTCCCTTTGCAGATGGTTACATTGAGCACTGAGATCTAACTAATTAAATACATATTTATTGAACAAAAACCTTTATTGTGCAATCATTTAATGAACTACTAACATGATTTATAAATGGGTTTCTCATGATGTATTCTTTTAACTTTAAAATCAGAATGAAAACATTGAACGTTTTCGGGCAATAAGATGTTCATATGATCGGCAATTATCAGAACTAATTATAGGGAAACTATTGGGTATGGTAGCCTCATATTGTTTCTATATACTTAACCATGTGATTCGATCATAGTATTAAAAAAAAAAACAATTTTAACAGGACGATAAAATATGTTTCGTGTTTTCTTCAATATTAACCTGTATTTATGGGTTTACCAAAAGATCCTTGACCAATCTTCCTGAGTACAAATTGAATTTATATTTTATCTCCTTTTCAATAATGAAATTTGACACCGAGTTGTAAAATAAATAAATATATATTGAACAAAAACCTTAAGGAATTTATATATAAAGCTACCGTAAAGATTTTTAAATTTATAGAATCTTTATAAAATTATAAATAATAATTCAAATATTGTCTGATGGTTTTTTGGACAGCAGTGTCAGATTCCCTATCTAAGACAAGTTTTATTAAAAAGTAAAAATAACGTCATTGTATTCTATATTTGTTCCCTTTATGAGATTAAAACTTGGTTCTTATAATATAAAATTACGATACAAATATTTTATCAGAATTATTTTTAATGTATCTGAAACAATGTGACACGGTCCAGTTGTGCATCTAAAATCGGTTTACTATAAATTTCTTGTCAATGAATAATATAAATTCGCAACATATGGCTTAACGGGGGCGAATCAATAGTTAATTTTACGGGGACTTCCATTCCGGGAACTCTTCTAATACTTACTAAATCTTACCAAGAATTGGCATTAATAACTTGTGGAAATAGCACCATTTATCTTATCTTTCGAGTAACCCCCGAAAATAATTTACAACAAGACTTTAACACCTAAGAATTATAAAAGGCTATAAAAGCGGTAACAAGATGGTCACAACAGCAAGTCTGTCAACAGCCCAACCATGTACTCGTTCAAGAGCTTAATAATTGCGGCCGTCCTTGTCCAGATGGTGGTCGTCATCCAGGGTGGAATCTATAGCACAGAGGACACATGGGTTCTTGCGGACAGAACGAAGGATCTGCCTGAGGACGCCGTTCTGGGTGGAATCGATCCTGAAGGTTACTACAACTACGTGGGACGTGTGACGTACGTCAGCAATGTTCTTCCCGCTCGAGTGGTTCCGGAATTGGGACGGGCAACCTCCAACACGGACACTTTGAATTTCGTAACTGTTACCTACGAGGTCCTCGTGTCTAATGCCACAGTTAGCTACGAATGGATCCGCAGTTACGATGGTTTCCGGGAGAAAAACGCCGTATCCGTGGGAACCAACACCGCCAACGATCGCGTCTTCATCTGTCGCATCCGTTCTGATGATGCGGTCTTTATTGGAACCCTGTACCCTTCGAAACGGAAGTGCATTGTCAAGTACGACAATCTCCCTCTCCGTGAGTTCGCCAAGTACGAGATCCTGATCAGAAAGCGCCACGTGGCTCCATTTGTGCCATACGTTTTGTAAATTGGTTCATAGCACACTAAGTGCTAGCAAATAAAATGCATATTTATTGATCAAAAAATGTTTCTTTCTATTGTGTTTTTAATTGACTTGTCATGTTGTATGAAATAAAAGCGTTGGGTTGATTTTTCACTATATAGGGTACAAAATATGAAAATACAGCAATAGAAAGAATTAATACATATATGATTTTTAATCCTTCCATCAAGGGGTATTTTATATAAAGTAAAAAAGGTTTTCACACTTTCAAAATGTCTGGGCCCATACTAAAATCATTTACTAAATTCGGAATTGAGACGATTTCTAGCCAGTATATACTACTAAAATTCAAATAAAATAAAGGTGTATTTTACAAATTCCATAAGGTATTACTTGTTTCGCTCTCCTTTCTCCTTTCAATGGCAGATGAAATGCATAGAAATCGTATAACGACAACAACAAATACTTCTGTGTTAGCAACCTAAGGAAATATATTTTAAATTTTGCTAATTTCTGTTAAAAAAATTACGATTCAGTAATTTAACTAAAACAAATTTAAGCTTAGTTTTCAGGGTGGCATTCATTACAACACATATATAACTGTACTTCTTTAGAAACATACTTTCAGCTTTGAATCAAATACTCTCTTAGTAATAGAACATAGTTAAAACTGCCAATTTAGTTCACCTTTTGGATTCCTGAACACAATATAAAATAAATTAAAAGGTTTTCATACAATGCGTATTTTTAATAAACACTTATTTTGCTGAATTACAATACAGACCTGATTAAATATATTTTAAATTAAATTAAATTTGTATTCAGTTCAGCTTTATTTCACAATGGAGCTCCCTTTTAAATATTTCTTCCTTACGCGAATTTATAATTTCATTGAAATTATTTCCTTTTTAGCGTGATTTCCAGATTAAAAGATTATACAATAAACCAATCTTATGAAATAACTGGGAAGGGGATTTTTCCCTTCAAATATCTGTTATTTTTAGAGGGTGCAATAAAGCAACGATGCGTAAAACTCACTCTCTATGTTAGTCACCGAAACATCGATGCTATCAATACCAATCTTCTGATAGCGATAAGTGTAATTGGAGTCGGGAGATAAGGAGGCGGCTATAAAAACAGTCGTGTTCTTGGCCAGACACTCAAAGCGAATCCACCAGCCCGTCAAGATGAACAAAGTTGCCTGTTTGGTTTTGGCCCTGTTCGCAGTTGCCTACGCGGTTCCCTCGACTTACGGTAAGAACTAAAGAAACATGAGGATGTTTGTGATCCGAAGTAATACTTCAATTTCCTGCAGATACCGAGAACGTGTGGGTGGCTGGAAACCTGTCGTACGTTATTCCCGACAATGCCGTTTTGGGTGGCTTTGATCCCTATGGTTTCAACACCTATGTGGGTCGTGTGAAGTACATTAATGACATCCTGCCTGCCCGCGTTGTGGCCGAAACTGGCACTGCCTACTTCAATACCCAGACTATCTCCTCGAAGGTCCTTAACTACGACATCCTGGTGGCCGATCGCAATGTTAAATACGTGTGGGTGAGGAGTTTCGATGGCTTCTACGAAAAGGGAATCGTGGCCGTTGGCACTACGGTCAAAAATGAGCGTGTTTTCTGTTGCCGAGCCAAGACCGATGGAGGCGTTCTGATCGGCACGCTTATTCTCAGCGATAAGGTCTGCATCATCAAGCACGAGACATTGGCCCTGCGGAAGTTCGACAAGTACGAAGTGCTGGTCGCCCAGCCCATTAATGGAACCATCTACTACTAAATTAGATCTTAGATGATAATAAAAAAAGGAATGTGACATTATTTATGTAAATGAAATCTGTTGTTTTTGGGGTTTTACAAGAGATTGCAAATAAATTTAAAGTTAAAGATTATATACACATTTATATTTCTTTCGAATTATCTACGTTTATTTTTACAAACGGGACTCCAATATTTTAAATGTTTCTCAATAAAAAATTAAATAAACAATTGAATCGTCTATAACACTTAAAATTTTAATTATTACGGTTTTTTAAATCCTTGATCTTGACCTGAAAGTTGAACTATATTAAATTTATTGAGGAAGGATTTGTTTAATGTAACTATTAATGCTTTAGAAAGCGAAATTAGAGGCCAAGCCTGATGTTTTAGAATTACCCAAGAACCCCAGAAAGTGATGGTACAAACAATTTTATTCGGTTTAGGAGACATAATTAATTTTATAAATATTTACAAATAACATATTAGAAATCAAATGGGTTAGTCTATAATAGCTTATAATTACTTTAGCATACAAAATAGATCAACAAAATCTCTTACAACTTTTAGTATTACCTTTATGATAACAATAATATCTGCTGCCTCATATTGATTACAAACATAAATCTGGAACAAAAATAATACTTCTCTTCTTTCGTGGTCATAAAATACATATAAATCCTCAAAGTTTAGTTAAGTTCCGCTAAATACTTTGTAAGCCACTTTGATTGACAGAGATCTATTCCGCTGTGGTTTCGATTGATTTGAGGGGGTTTTGCAATTATCAGCTTTCACAGAAGTGATCGATAAGATAAGCAAGCGGATTGGCTATTGGACACTGGAGCCATTTAGACATTACTCAGAAATGTTTATGGTTTGGTCAAAATTTAAGCTATAAATTATCTAAATTGATTTGCTCCTAACCCTCGATTCACAGTGAGTTGTCTAGAGACACCGACTGGTTATCGTCAGCATGAAGTTATTTCCAGTGCTTATCAATTTTGCTTCTTCGACTTTTTGGAGTAAATAATTTAATACTATACTTTATAACACCTAGGTATTATTGCTGGTATACAATCTACGAAAGAAGAAACCTGTTAGAAAATTATTATATAAAAGGCATAAAAGTCCAATAGTTGTATGTCAAAATATTTTAAAGGTTTCGTACTTACTCAGAGAGTTATCTTGAGTTCAGAGAATCCACCGCCTCGTTAGGATGAATACCAAGAAAAAGCTGGCTCCTTTCATCCTTCCCGTTGTCCCCGAACTGGAAGCCTGCTCGTCCTGCCACCACGTCCATTCATCGTGGTAAAGTCGTGGGTCGCATTCCGGATCCGCTGGCTTATTATTAGGTGGGTGCGCCTGTTTGGCAAACTGCTGGATTCGCGCCCAAAGATCCAGGAAGATGGTAGTGTTCTGGTACTCCTCATACAGGTTGCTCCGTTCGCAGGGATCCGCATCGATGTCGAAGAGACATGGTGCCTGAAGGGGCAGGCAGGGCTTGATCCCTGTCGCAGGATCCGGGCATTCGATCCTGGCCTGGTCCCTCAGTTCGCTGATGTTCCGTTCACCGGCGGATACCCGCTGCAACTGCTGCCACACACTGGTGTTCCGAATGAGCTCCTCGTAGTCCCCGGAGCGAGGATCCTCTTCACTGGTCACCCTCTCGCCCAGCCAGCCGTCGTAGAGTCCCTGACTGGTAGTACCGCTGATTACCTTCCACTTGCCACGCGTATATGAGAGATGGGGTTCCGCCACGTCCTCATCGATTACGTGGACAATCTCCCGCTCCACCGACTCGTATCCGTACTTGAGGGCCGACCAGAGGTTCAATCCGTCCAGGTGGAGTGCCGGATCCGGTGATATTCCGGCTGCTGCCGCCAAAGTGGGCAACAGGTCGCCAATGTAGATCTGCTGCTTCCACACACTTCCCAGGCGCTCGAACTCGGTGCTCCAAATGGCCGCCGAGGATCGCAGGCCACCCTCCCAGGGGGAATTCTTTTGCTAGGTTCAGGGTAATGGAATATAAAATTAATGAAACATTATTTTTTATAAATGTTATGCAAATTCTAAATTTTAATTCAATTTAATATTACATTTTGAGTATTTTAAATCTCTTTCCAACAACTAAAAGCTTCCTATTAAATTGGGTTAATAATTTCATGCGTGTTCATTAGGGCGGTCCACATTTGTATGGAAATTTTTAAGGTCCTATTCTCAACCGCCTATACGGTGCGCACTGTAGTATTCAAAGTGTACCAAAAAAAAATTTGTGAAAAATCGTGTTTTAGGGTCAGCGGATTGGCTTCAAAGTTTGTCACCCATAGGCCGTGTTGCCTTCGATCAAAAGTTTCTCTAATCAAGGTGGCATAGATTTCAACAATTCAGTTGATGTTTTGCTCTCCCTTTCTTACCAATTATTCCAACGAAATTCATAATTTGACAAGACATGAAATGGGAGAACGATTTTTTTCGACCAAATTCAAACTGTTATACGTGTCGTATGAGTAATTTTTAAGCGAACTTTGAGAACGTTTCGCATTTATTTTCACATACATTTTTTGCTTACTTTAATACCATGTGAAGGGGAGAGAATAGAATTTTATTTTTTGGACCGCCCTAGTGTTCATGTAAGTTCTGTACTTACCCCCCTCAATGGATAATTGGAGGCGGTGGTGGCGTGTGATCCTTGGGTTGGCCCCCCATTATCGGAGAGGAAGAGAACGATGCTGTTTTGAAGCATTTCCTGTCGTGCCAGGGCGTCTATGACCATTCCCACACTTTTGTCCAGTCGCGAAACCATTGCGGCGTAGCAACGGTGGGTTTCATTTTGAATGTACTCGAATCGGGCCAACTCATCGGCTGGCGCCTGCATTGGATTATCATCATTGGCAGCATGGGGAGCCAGGTGATTTAAAAGCAGAAACAAGGGCTGGCTATCATTTTTCGATCCGTGGTCCTCGATTTCCTGGACGGCAGCATCGGTGAGCACATCGGTGACATAGTGTCCCACCTGATCGTGGGTGGTTTTTAGATTATCACGGAAGTCGTGGCCATTGTAGCCTTTGTTCTAAGCAGAAATGAACCAAAAGCAAAATTTCTTTCGTTATTTTATCATATTAAAATATGTTCCATAATCAAATTTTAACAAGTTAATATTACTTAATTCACCTATAAATCTAATATGATAATTCTAAAAACAAAACATATCTCTACGGAATTTAATGTTAATAGGCATTGCCTATTTCTGGGCTGCTGAGAAATATGTCCAGGTAAAAAGGGGTTACTTACCTTTTGTTCATAGCTCTGCGTATAATAATCGACATAGGCACCAAGATAGCCCAAATGCCGATCGAAGCCCCTTTGTGTGGGCGTAAAGTTGCGCTGCGACATCCCCAAGTGCCACTTTCCCAAAAGACTAGTTCGGTATCCATTTTCCCGGAAAATCTCCGCCATGGTCGTCTCATTTAGAGGAAGACCCCAGGGTTGATCGTTCACGATCACATAATGCTGCATACCTGAAGATTACGATCATTTATGTATTAATCATCATTTCTGCTATGGGAAAAGGGTTTTATTTTATTTAATTAAGAATTTTATTGACTTGCCTGTGTTGATGGGATATTTTCCAGTTAGAAGAGCAGCCCGACTGGGCGTACACATAGGAGCGGCATACAAATTGTTCAAGATCACTCCACTATATGCCAGAGCATCGATATTTGGAGTGAGGAAGTTGTTGGAGCCGCGAAAACTTACGTCGTCGAACCCCTGAAAATTATGTCAAATGATAATGATCCCTAAAAACTATCACATTACACAAAAAAAAAAAACTTGGTAAAATCAACTGTAATAATTAGACATCGGATTATATGTTTTTCTGCATTTATGCTCCAAATACCGCCAAATTTTGGATTTAGGCACTATATTAAATTTGTATTCGAATGGAAACGACATATCGAAAATATGCATTTTTTTATGCAAAGGAATATGCAAAATATGTCGACAATATGCAAAATATGTCGACAATATGCAAAATATGTCGAATATGTTTTTATGCCTTATAGGCACTAAGATTTCGAACTTTGTGGTTAAAATTTGGTAGATGTCTTTCTGTAGATCTCAGGGAACTACTATACATAAAAATAGCTTCATTTGGGCCACTATATCTTGAAGAAATGGGTCACGAAAACAATAAGTTCCATTTTTACTAAACTGCTGCTTGATTCTATGTCTTAATGAGTAGGACCAAAAAATATATTATTTGTATTACTGCCACACCAGAGGTAAATTCACAGGAGCGGATCCCCTCCTGTGGATTTTCTCATGGTGTAGTTTTAAAAATAAATAAAAAGTTTTCACTCATTTTAAATATGTTTAATTGAAAAGTATGAAACAAAAACCTCTTTCTGAACGTAATGCAGATTTAGTGTTTTGAGGTTTTTACAATAGGGAATGAGGAAACTATACATAATTGTAGTATTGATAACAGTATGCGCTTTCGTATTTTCTTAGCATTTGTATTCAAAACAAACGCTCTTGTCAAATACTTTATATATTTAAGCGTTCTAACAAAAGCCTGCTTTGATAATATGTCGTAAAATATGTTGGATATGTTCTTGACATGCAAGATATGTCGAATATGCAAAAACAACATGGGCTTAATCTTATTATTTTAACGTGAAACGAATTTCAGTCCAATCGAAATTCGATTTCGACAAGCCGTTAAAAATATGATTTTGCATATAATCCGATGTCTAGTAATAATTGTCAAACAGGCCCCAACCAGCAAAATAGTCAATTCTACTTAGTAAATAGTCATTTCACAACAACAAAATACACACAATTAGCAAAGACACAAACCCAAAGCAAAAACAAAATACACGTAACTATTTTAATAGTTACGTAACTATCTTTGTTGGTCAATTTTACCAAACAAATTTTTTTGTGTGTAGACTCACCAGATCATCAGCCATTATAATGATGATATTGGGCTTATCGGATGTGGCTGTTATACCACTGCATAAGGCAATACATAAAACTAATCCAGCAGTTAAAAGCAAAGCAATGCTGCTCAATTTACGCAGATGAGTTGACATCGCCGCGGCTGGAGTGAGGAAGTTGTGGGACTGCTAGTAAAAAACAAACAAATGGGAATTAGTGCAAATAAGCGTTTTAGAAATTAACATACCAAATGGGCGACAAGTCAGTGGGTAACACTCGGCCAATGATGGATGAGTTCGCCAGACCGTTCCGGATATATATTAGCCGTATAATGGCTCTCAATTTAATCTATTTTATGGGGTTTTTAGTAGTTAATTTTTGGAAATTTCTACAGTTTATCTACCAATTTTCCAGCTCAATTAAATAACAGCTAGCCAATAAACAAACAAAATAAATTAAATAGAACACCTGATAGGCACTGAGCAAACATCGAGTCAATATGCACTTAGGCAAATGTTTTCAACAAATTAGGCGTAAATACAGAAGACAACAATTACGAGTAAATGCAAATGAGATGATGCTGGGAATTAGTTAAGTAGGAAGTTGTTTATTATCACTGTTGAACCTTTGGCTTGGGAGTATTATGACTCTCACACAAAACAATTGTTTTGCTTGGTTAATTTTAATATTTAATAAAAGACATGCATTTGCAAATAACGAAACTAACTATGTTTTACAAATAAAAAGTCTAGTTAATAAAATTAATTTTCTTATCATAAAAGAAAAGCAATTTTTTGAATACTGCACCCATAATTACAATACAAAAAATAATTTGTAAAACAAACACTTTATAAAAGTAATAATAATATAGGTATGTATTTATTACTGCATTTAATAAAGTAAAATTAAATATAGTAAGTCATGACATATCATTATCTCTTACACTCGCATTTCGAATTTGAAATTTTTGCTTATTTATGGTCTGTACCTTACCTGGTATGTATATAATTTAATTTCTTTAATTGTTTTCAGCTGTCACTCCAAACCAATTGATATGAACACCGAAATTGTGTTCAAAGATCTGGCGGCGCTTATTGCCGAATCATTTAATTCTGTTCACACACTTTTATTATCGACGTAGACAAGCAAATCAACTTGTTCGCCGAAAGAGAATAAAAGGAATCCAAATAACAATGGGCTGATAAGCTAGATTCGTGCATGCCAATTCCACTCACAGATATTCGCAATGGGTTTTATTGTATCCCGTGTTCTGATTTCTGATCCGCCGGACTCGAAGTGCGGAGAGCAACTAAATATCATCTGAAAATAATTCGAGACTGCCTTAATAGCCAGTTACCGGTTAATATACATATATCCCCTCCAAATTAACGTCAAACCAGCTTTGCAGTGGGTGGTACCGAGAGAGAAAGAGAGTGAGCTTATTTTTAAGACATAGGTAATATTTTAGATCGGTCTAAAAAAGACAACGATTTTAAAACATACTTTCAGGAGGAAGAAAGAAAAAAAATTTAGTTAGCTTCTGAAATAGTATTTTATGAATTCATGTCATATTAAAATTTATTTCTTTTGAGCAAAAAATTATTATTAAAAATAAAATTAGAATTTCATTGATATTTTTTGTTTAATTAACCGGCATTTCCTGGGGTCGAAAAAAAGTGACGAATCGTATAGGGGGAACGAAATCTTAGTCTCTAAGCAATATTGGAGAACAAACTTGGGGTCTAAACTACGTTTGACCCCCAAACACGAATGAAAAATACTGTTGTTTTGAGGAAAAATATCATAGTAGTCAGCACAGATATATTACTGAATTTGGAATCACTATTTTTATTGATAAAACTTTTTACTTGTTAAAAAATAGTGGTTTATGCTCGACTTAAATTTTTTGTATATTTGTCTTGTTGTATTTTAGCTATACATGAAAGAAACAATGTAGAATTTATTCTCCACCACCACCGCCACCACCTCCACCACCCCCACCTTTACCTCCACCTCCCCCACCACCACCACCACTACCACCAGTAAGCATACCCCAAGTTTTCGTTGCCAGACCCCAAGTGCTTTTACCCCAATCCCACCATTCGCAGCAAACAGGACAGAAATTGCATAGAATACCCCTGGCTTTGATCTGTTTGTTCATCATTCCCCTGATAATCGTTGCAGTATTGTTAGTGATGACTGCCTTGAATAAGTCAGAATGCTTGCAGTTCAGCACAGGCTCCGAGGCATTGCAAAGATGTGAGAACTCTCCATCAACTCCGGTAGTGCAAAACATTGCGGGCTTGGCAGAATACTCATAGAGTAGGGAGTGGTTTTTGGGTGAACAGCTGTAGAGGCAGGACAGCCATTGGTGGGTCCATCCATCTTTTTCGACTCTGGCAATGGCACAGCCCATTCGGTTACTTGGTCCCACCATCATCCTCAGAAAGTGTCCTATTTCTTTGCTAAAATTTAAAAAAATGTTCAAGGTCGCGAAAATATGATTAAATCACGACTTACTTATCAATGGATAATCCATCTATTAAACTCGGTGCAGAGACGTGCTTATACTGATCGTACCAGGCATGTAGCTGTGATCTAATTATCCTGAATGAATTCGCGTTCGCCTTGAACTTGTTGTATACCACATGGTGTCCCGGTGAGGCAAATTCTTCCGTGGAAATGCAGTGTTTTGTGGGTTGCAGATCGCAGCGTTTCACAAGGAGCTCAGCCAACTGCGATAGATCACGATCCCACTCCATTTTAAGCATGCGCGCAGCAATGGGTAACCTATGGAATTTGCTTCCAGCCACAATATCCCGATACGTGTTGTGGTAGTGCAATATGAACTTCTGTAACTTCTGGGGTACGGAAATGATCTTTGGGTCCTTTCCGCACTGTGACGACCAATTCTACAATTTGCGAAAACATCACACATGTACGTTTTTAGCTCGTCGCCTTTCCGTTTATAGGTATTTCATGGACATTTTTAAAAATGTATTTGGATTTTGTAATATCTTAAAAAATGTTATGAAAACAGATCAAAGTACAATAGACAACAAAGAATGCTATAGTCGAGAACTTCGAATATCAGATACCCGTTCCGATGCCATGATAGCTGAAGAACTAAGTTGTCAGATCCGAAACTATCTCCAATAGAGAGTTTTAGCTAAATGGCTTTAAACGGACGGACAAACTGACGGACAAAGCGGTCGGTATCAATATAAGATCTTTACTTTATGTGTACTATCGAAGGGAATAGATGAAGGATGCTCAATCTATAGAAGCTTATATTCTTACCCCCTTGTTATTGCAACCAAGATGTGGAAGTTCCTTGTCGGCTGGGCAGTTTTTTAATTTACAGAAGTCCGTCTCTGGCACCAGATTAACAACATCCAAGTTGAAAAAAAGAAGCAATCCGGCCGTATTCCAAACCCAAGTCCACATCTTCATGTTTCCTTTAAAACTGTGTCGATAATTATTTGGCTTTAAAATTAGTTTTGATAATAATGTTAAGCTTGGTTCGTTAAATCCCAAGTGTGACTAAAAAAATGAATTAGTTTTCTTAGCTGCTTCAAAAAATACATGAAAGCAGCAGAGCAAAGGTTGTTAAAAAGACAATTAAGCTGTTGAGGATTTAGATTCAACAAGAAAGGAACAACAGCGTTGTCATTTTTTTAATGTTATATAGTTTAAATAAATATTATATCTTTAATGTTCCCGTTTCCATTTATCAATATTCAAAAATTATTTTACACTTTCACCGTTTTTTCTCTCAACCAATTTAATTACACTTAATTCTTGGCAAGCAATCCATTTAGTTTTCAAAATACGTTATGATTGGACCATAATTTTTTGGTGTACATGTAGTGGTCGCAAGTGGCGGATCAGGATAGGTTGTGGGGATTAAAGAAAAAAATTGTTGCATACGTTTTGAATACACAATTTCATTTTTCATTCATTTTTCACCCGACTGAAAAAGTGCCTCCTGCATCCCCGAATGGTTGTCGCCTTGTGTGCTTCTGATCTTTGCTTTGCTTATTATCTGTACAAATCTTATAAGATTGAGAGACCTTAGTGATGCCGTTATATAAATATATACTCGGACATAATATTATTTAATTATTTAATTAATGTTTGCGTTGTACAAGTCATATGGGGAATAAATCATCATTGAAATAATTCGGCGCTTTTGTCCTTTTATTTTATTCAACCTTTAGGTTTTGCCGTTGTAGGTACAGCTGGTGCAGGTACAGCGGGCGCCGGTACAGCTGGTGCGGGTACAGCTGGTGCAGGTACAGCCGGCGCAGGTACAGCTGGTGCAGGTACAGCCGGTGCAGGTACAGCCGGTGCAGGTACAGCCGGAGCAGGTACAGCTGGTGCAGGTACAGCAGGAGCCGGTACACCTGGTGCAGGTACTGCTGGCGCCGGTACTCCTGGTGCTGGTGCCGGTACCCCTGGTGCGGGTACTCCTGGAGCCGGGTTTCCTGATGACCATACTCCTGCTGCCCATATTCCTGACACACGTACTCCTGGTGCTGGTGCCGGTACTACTGGCGCAGCTACTGTGGGTGCGGGCGTAGTCACGTTATGTCTACCACTACCGCCGATAATTGTATTCCAAGTGCCCTTTGCCAGTTTCCAGGAATTTGCCGCCCAATCCCACCAGTCGCAACACAGATTACAGACACCACACAAAGCAGAACTTCTGGAATGGATTTGTTTGCTCATCAGGCCCCGGATAATCGATGCAGTATCGCTGGTAATGACTGCCTTGAATAACTCGGATTGTTTGCAATCTTCCACAAGTTCAGTTTCATTGCAAAGATGTTGGAACCTTCCATCAACCCCGGTGCTGCAAAACATTGCGGGGTTGGCGGAGTACTCGTAGAGTAGGGAGTGCTTCTTGGGTGAACAGCTGTAGAGGCAGGATAGCCATTGGTGAATCCATCCATCCTTTTCGGCTCTGGCGATGGCACAGCCCATTCGGTTGCTTGGGCCCACCATCATCCTCAGAAAGTGTCCAATTTCTTTTCTAAAATTAACAAATATAATCAAGGTCGCGAAAATTTAATTACTACTGAATTTACTTATCACTGGACAATCCATCTAATAAACTCGGTGCAGAGACGTGCTTATACTGATCGTACCACGCATTCAGCTGTGATCTAATTATCCTGAATGAACTCACGTTCGCCTTGAACTTGTTGTAAATTACATGGTGTCCCGGTGAGGAAAATTCTTCCGTGGAAATGCAGTGTGTTGTGGGTTTCAGATCGCAGCGTTTCACAAGGAGCTCAGCCAAGTGCGCCAGGTCGCGATCCCACTTCAGTTTGAGCATGCGCGCTGCGTTGGGTAACCTGTGGAATTTGCTTCCGGCTACAATATCCCGATATGTGTTGTGATAGTTCAATATGAATTTCTCTGGCACGGAAATCATCTTTGGTTCCCTTCCACACTGTGACGACCAATTCTGCAAATTTTAATAACGCAACGCATAAACATAAGTAAACTCGACTTTGAACTTACAAAACGGACTGTAAATAGGACTGCAATAGTTTATGAGCAGAAAAATATATTTAACACTAGATAGATAAATACTTTACATGGTCGGAAACTCTTCCTTCTATCTGTTACATCATTTTCACCGAATACAAACAAGTTTTTTTATGGTAACCTGCCTTGTCGTAAAAATATAACGTTATTCTCAGTTTTAGGGCCAACATTTTTTAGAAACATGTTGTACCATTTATTTAGTTATTTTATTTATTCTTTAAATTAATTAAGGAAGAAAGTAGAGCTTACCCCAATATTGTTGCAACCAATATGTGGAAGTTTTTTGTCGGCTGGGCAGTTTTTTAGTTTACAGTAGTCCGTTTGTGGTACCGATTTGACATCTAGGCAGAAAAAAATTAGCAATCCGGCTGCAACGCGAAAAGCACTCCACATCTTCATTTTCCCTTCGAAACTAACTGTGTCGATAATTATTTGGTCTCAAAATTAGTTTTTAATATAACGTTATCCTCGGTTTGTTATAGTCAAGTGTGACTAAAAAATGTACTGGTTTCCATTATTGACAAACATTAATGCTTGTTTTATTTAGAACAATTTTATATAGTTTTAGTTAAATACAAATACAGCTGAGAAAATGGCGCATTCCACCGAAAACGTGACGGTCAATTTAGGGTAAAATCTAAAAAAAGACTTAAGATTTTCGATAGAGAATTGAAATAAAGCTACCCATATTTTTTATTTTTTTATCTCTCACCATTTATTTATATCCATATTTTCCAAATTAGATTCGTGATGAGTTAATTTATTATTTGGCAAGCAACTTTGTGTCTAGCTTTAAAACTTTTAGAAAAATTCTTTTAAAAATGTTTAAATGAATTATATTTTAAGAGAAATTTAAAATTTAAAAATTTTGTACGACGAAATCCACTCGGTTTCCAAAAAAAAGATCCACATGTTGCTTCATCAATTTCTTTGGGTAAAATAAAATTTTGTATCCATTAATCCATTTTTTGAGATAAAAATAATTTTCTGTATAGGGTTTTTTGTTCATAATCATGCACGTAAATTCGGAAATATATAGTGATCGCCTTCTCACAGTTTCTTTGCCCCAGCAACCTTTGTTATGCCGTTATACACGGACAAAATATTTGAAACAATTCGCGGTTTTATTTGGGATTGTTTATAAATGTTTTATTATTTTCCACTGTATTTATATTGATATTTATATTTATAATTATGCTGATATTGCGGGACGCTTTGCACACCACCATATTGATATTTATATTTATAATTATGCTGATATTGCTGGGCATTGTCTCCTCCACCGACACCGCTAAGTCCTCTTTCTAAAGCGCCCATGTCACCGATAGCGGTATTAAAAGTATCCTTTACCATTTTAATAGAATTTGACGCCATATCCCAAAAGTCGCAGCACATATTGCAGACACCACACGTCTCACTTCTGGAATGGGTTTGTTTGATCATCATTCCCCTGAGAATCGATGCAGTATCGTTAGTTATGACTGCCTTAAATAGCTCAGAATGCTTGCAATCTTTCACGGGCTCCGTTTCATTGCAAAGATGATAAAACTTTCCATCAACCCCGCTGCTGCAAAACATTGCGGGCTTGGCAGAATACTCGTAGAGTAGTGAGTGGTTCTTGGGTGAACAGCTGTAGAGGCAGGATAGCCATTGGTGGGTCCATCCATCCTTTTCGGCTCTGGCGATGGCACAGCCCATTCGGTTACTTGGGCCCACCATCATCCTCAGAAAGTGTCCAATTTCTTTCCTAAAATAAAGAAATTATAATCAAGTTCACGGAAATTTGATTAATTCACGATTTACTTATCACTGGACAATCCATCTAATAAACTCGGTGCGGAGACGTGCTTATACTGATCGTACCAGGCATGTAGCTGTGATCTAATTATCCTGAAAGAATTTTCGTTCGCCTTGAACTTGTTGTACACCACATGGTGTCCCGGAGAAGAAAATACTTCCGTAGAAATGCAGTGTTTTGTGGGTTGGAGATCACAGCGTTTCACGAGGAGCTCAGCCAACTGCGCCAGATCTGGATCCCATTTTAGTTTAAGCATGCGCGCAGCATTGGGTAACCTGTGGAATTTGCTTCCGGCAACAATATCCCGATATGTGTTGTGATAATGCAATATGAATTTCTGTAACTTCTGGGGTAAGGAAATGATCTTTGGGTCCTTTCCACACTGTGACGACCAGTTCTGCAATTTTTAATAAAACATATTAATTAGTTAAATCGTTCTTCTAGTCAGTTAAGGTGGAAAGTATTATAATTATCTTTGGCCTCCAATTAAAACGTATCATACATTTATTCAAGACATTCAACAAAAAAAAGTACTGATTAAAAAAATGTTTTAATTTTTTTGCGCTTCCTATTTGTAAAAAAGAGCCCCTACGATTTTGAATGTGGTTAAACTTTTTTTAATTGTAAAAAACGTATTTGTTTTGTTTTCAGGTCCGTTTAATTGTATAATTAATCTTGGGCTCTAATAATCCGAATTATGTAATTAAACACTTATTTTATTGGTAACAGAACGCGAATACAAAACGTAGAGCCAAATAATGTAGGAGCTAGACCAGAAAAAGTTTAAAAAAGTAGGAAAAACGGCAGTATAAATTGCTTTTTTAAAATACATGCATCAAAAAAGAAAATTGATTTTATTGTATATTGCAAGCCCACATTCTTGGTGCGACTCTTCATTACGTGAACTGCCGTACACGATGGTATTATTGATCGGAAGCAGAATCGATCTAGTCATGACCTTATGACTGTTTATTTGCGATACATATTAACACTTAATATTTGTGGTTTTACATTAAATAGCAATTTTTTATATACTTACCCCCACATTATTGCACCCAATATGTGGAAGTTCCATGTCGGCTGGGCAGTTTTTTAATTTACAGTAGTCCGTTTGGGGCACCAGATTGACAGCATCCATGTTGAAAAATAAGAGCAATCCGGCTGCTACGCAAAAACTACTCCACATCTTCATATTCCCTTCGAAACTAACTGTGTCGATAATTATTCGGCCTTAAAATTAGTGTCGATTATAATGTTAACCTCGGTTCGTTACGACCAACTGTGACTAAAAAATGTTCTGGTTTTCATTGTTGACAAAGACATGATTGCTGATTTCAAATAGATCAATTTATTATATTTACACACGACAAAGAATATGTGTTTAAAGAGACAACAACGAGAAAACGTAGTTGCAAAAGGTTGTCGAACTCTGTACTCTGTACTCATGTACTCTGATTGTTAAAAAGTTGAAACAAGATTGTAAGCTAAGCTTTAAATTCAGCTATATAAAATATAAGTCCAAAGTAGAAGAAAATATGATCAAATTAAACCCAGCTCGCTTCGACTTATATATTACCTAAAGTAGCTTCAAAAGGGCGTAGGAACGGACAAATGGACGGACAGACACACATGGCAAGATAGTCTAGTTTAGTGATGCTGATATTTAATAAATTTGCTTAATAGGGTCTAACTGATACAGTCTGACTGAAATCATAATACTCCGAGCAAGGGTATGAAATCATAAAAATATATTTTTAAATTGTCTTAAGCATTGTTTGGTCGGATAATCAAATTTAAGTAGGAACTCATTATCATTTTTTAACGAATTTATTTTAAAGATTTAAGGATTTACGTAATATGTAATATTATTAATTAGGAAATGCACGTATTTTCGGACGATAAAGATAAAGATATTAACGCATGCCATTACGGCTAGTAAAACCAAGACCGAGTGCGAGCCAGAAAATAGCAAAATCGAACATGGCCGTAACACAACATGCGTTTAACACTCAAATTTGATCAAAGAAATCTTCTTTTTTTTTAGTGTTGTAGTTTTTTTGGGTATTACCCAGAAGATGTATGTGATTCTCTGCGCCTGTAAATAAAACCAGCTATAGTTAGTCTTGAATGATGAGAACTACTACCACCACCGCCACCTCCACCGCCACCGCCACCTCCTCCTCCTCCTCCTCCTTTTATTTGTCCACCTCCTCCACCACCACCACCTTCTTCTTCTCCACCTTCTTCTTCTCCACCTTCTTCTTCTCCACCTTCTTCTTCTCCACCTTCTTCTTCTCCACCTTCTTCTTCTCCACCTTCTTCTTCTCCACCTTCTTCTTCTCCACCTTCTTCTTCTCCTCCTCCTCCTCCTCCTCCACCACCGCCTCCTCCTCCTCCTCCTCCACTACCGCCTCCTCCTCCTCCTCCACCACCGCCTCCTCCTCCTCCTCCTCCACCACCGCCTCCTCCTCCTCCTCCACCACCGCCTCCTCCTCCTCCTCCTCCACCACCGCCTCCTCCTCCTCCTCCTCCACCACCGCCTCCTCCTCCTCCTCCTCCACCACCGCCTCCTCCTCCTCCTCCACCACCGCCTCCTCCTCCTCCTCCTCCTCCTCCTCCACCACCTCCTCCTCCCCCACCACCTCCACCGAGCAACGCATCACCTACTGCCGTTACCGTACTCCAATTATTTTTCACCCAATTAAACACTGTGCAGCACGTACTACAGAGCACGCACAAAGTCCTGGATTGGACTTGCTTGTTCATCATTCCCCTGAGAATCGATGCAGTATCGTTAGTTATTACTTCCTTGAATAGATCAGAATGCTTGCAGTCCTTCACAGGCTCCGCTTCATTGCAAAGGTGTTGGAACTGACCGTCGACCCCGGTGGTGCAAAAAGCTGCGGGTTCGGCAGAGTACTCGTAGACCGGGGAGTGTTTCTTGGGTGAACAGCTGTATAGGCAGGATAGCCATTGGTGGGTCCATCCATCCTTTTCGATCTTGGCGATGGCACAGCCCATTCGGTTACTTGGGCCCACCATCATCCTCAGAAAGTGTCCAATTTCTTTGCTAAAATAAAAACAAAATATTCAAGGCCGCGAAAATATGATTAAGTCACGACATACTTATCACTTGACAGTCCATCTAATAAACTCGCTATAGAGACGTGCTTGTACTGATCGTACCAGGCATGCAGCTGTGATCTAATTATCCTGAATGAGTTCGCGTTCGCCTTGAACTTGTTGTACACCACATGGTGTCCCGGAGAGGAAAATACTTCCGTAGAAATGCAGTGTTTTGTGGGTTGGAGATCACAGCGCTTCACGAGGAGCTCAGCCAACTGCGATAGATCGCGATCCCACTTCAGTTTGAGCATGCGAGCTGCATTAGGTAACCTGTGGAATTTGCCTCCGGCCACAATATCCCGATATGTGTTGTGGTAGTGCAATATGAATTTCTGTAACTTCTGGGGTACGGAAACGATCTTTGGGTCCTTTCCGCACTGTGACGACCAATTCTGCAATTTTAATTACACAACATGTGCACTTTAGTACACTAGTAGGTTTTACACTTTGGAGGTTTTACATTAAATACCAATTTCTTGAACTTCACATGCTTACCCCCGAATTTTTGCACCCAATATGCGAAAGTTCCTTGTCGGCTTGGCAGTTTTTTAATTTACAGTAGTCCGTTTGGGGCACCAGATCGACAGCAGCCAGGTTGAAAAATAAGAGCAATCCGGCTGCTACGCAAAAACCACTCCACATCTTCATATTCACTTCGAAACTAACTGTGTCGATAATTATTCGGCCTTAAAATTAGTGTCGATTATAATGTTAAACTCGGTTCGTTATGACCAAGTGTGACTAAAAAATGTACTGGTTTCCATTGTTGACAAGGACATGATTGCTGATTTCAAATAGATCAATTTATTATATTTACACACGACAAAGAATATGTGTTTAAAGCAGCGGTCGGCAGCGCCCTATTAAGTGAGCATAGGGTTTTGTTCTGCCGACGCGCTGCTCGCACATGTATAACGTAGAACAGCGGTCTGCACACACACATCGATGAGCTGCCCAGTGCAAATTACTCACACAAATATAAAACAAAATGTCAACGTATGTGTGTGCCGACCGCTGGTTTAAAGAGACAACAACGAGAAAACGTACACCCAAAAAAAAAATCCTGAGTGTCAATTTAATAACTGTGGGTTAAAATGACACTGCCCCTAGGATCAAATTTTTGGGGTCAATTTGCTCCCAAATGAGTGTCAAAACTACACCGCGTTTTCAGAAAAATCGTATTTGATACTAAATAGTGTCATTTTGATAAAACTAGGTTCACATCGATCCCAATAATTATCATTTTTGATTTTCGAAGTTCGAAGTTCGGCGATGTTTTACTCTAGTATCGATTTCGTTTATACTTGTCAAGTGTTCGCTCGCGCGCAAAATGGTTCGATGGCCCAGTTGGTAAGGCGTCTGCCTCTGATGCGAGAGGTCCCCGGTTCTAAACCCAGATAAATCAGAGTAGGTAAAAAGTTTTTAAAATGCAAATATATCATTTTAAGAACAAAAATGTTAAGTTGTGTTAGATTACTGATAAAAAAAAAAATAATGGTGTTGCGAGCGGGATTCGAACCTCGTTCCCCCGAGCACAAAATAATATCAGAACCTAGCTCCTTGACCCCTGAGCCATGCCCATATTAATTTTTGCCATGGTTACAGGAGCTTTCAAGCAAATGTCAAATTTTATTTAATACTAAGAAAATGACACCGGCTAGTGGCTCTTTGACACCAAAAAGGGTCAAATTAATATTTTCGAAAGTATTAAAGTGACACCAGAATAGGGTCAATTTAATGACGTTCGGATCAAAGATTTTTTCCACTCAATAGTGTCACATTGACACCTAAATAGGGGCATATTGATGACTACTTTTTTTTGGGTGTAGTTGCAAAAGGTTGTCGAACTCTGTACTCTGTACTCATGTACTCTGATTGTTAAAAAGTTGAAACAAGATTGTAAGCTAAGCTTTAAATTCAGCTATATAAAATATAAGTCCAAAGTAGAAGAAAATATGATCAAATTAAACCCAGCTCGCTTCGACTTATATATTACCTAAAGTAGCTTCAAAAGGGCGTAGGAACGGACAAATGGACGGACAGACACACATGGCAAGATAGTCTAGTTTAGTGATGCTGATATTTAATAAATTTGCTTAATAGGGTCTAACTGATACAGTCTGACTGAAATTATAATACTCCGAGCAAGGGTATGAAATCATAAAAATATATTTTTAAATTGTCTTAAGCATTGTTTGGTCGGATAATCAAATTTAAGTAGGAACTCATTATCATTTTTTAACGAATTTATTTTAAAGATTTAAGGATTTACGTAATATGTAATATTATTAATTAGGAAATGCACGTATTTTCGGACGATAAAGATAAAGATATTAACGCATGCCATTACGGCTAGTAAAACCAAGACCGAGTGCGAGCCAGAAAATAGCAAAATCGAACATGGCCGTAACACAACATGCATTTAACACTCAAATTTGATCAAAGAAATCTTCGCTTTTTTTTAGTGTTGTAGTTTATTTGGGTATTACCCAGAAGATATATGTGATTCTCTGCGCCTATAAATAAAACCAGCTATAGTTAGTCTTGAATGATGAGAACTACTACCACCACCGCCACCTCCACCGCCACCTCCACCTCCTCCTCCTCCTCCTCCTCCTCCTTTTATTTGTCCACCTCCTCCACCACCACCACCTTCTTCTTCTCCACCTTCTTCTTCTCCTCCTCCTCCTCCTCCTCCACCACCGCCTCCTCCTCCTCCTCCTCCTCCTCCACCACCTCCTCCTCCCCCACCACCTCCACCGAGCAACGCATCACCTACTGCCGTTACCGTACTCCAATTATTTTTCACCCAATTAAACACTGTGCAGCACGTACTACAGAGCACGCACAAAGTCCTGGATTGGACTTGCTTGTTCATCATTCCCCTGAGAATCGATGCAGTATCGTTCGTTATGACTTCCTTGAAGAGATCAGAATGCTTGCAGTCTTTCACAGGCTCCGCTTCATTGCAAAGGTGTTGGAACTGACCGTCGACCCCGGTGGTGCAAAAAGCTGCGGGTTCGGCAGAGTACTCGTAGACCGGGGAGTGTTTCTTGGGTGAACAGCTGTATAGGCAGGATAGCCATTGGTGGGTCCATCCATCCTTTTCGATCTTGGCGATGGCACAGCCCATTCGGTTACTTGGGCCCACCATCATCCTCAGAAAGTGTCCAATTTCTTTGCTAAAATAAAAACAAAATATTCAAGGCCGCGAAAATATGATTAAGTCACGACATACTTATCACTTGACAGTCCATCTAATAAACTCGCTATAGAGACGTGCTTGTACTGATCGTACCAGGCATGCAGCTGTGATCTAATTATCCTGAATGAGTTCGCGTTCGCCTTGAACTTGTTGTACACCACATGGTGTCCCGGAGAGGAAAATACTTCCGTAGAAATGCAGTGTTTTGTGGGTTGGAGATCACAGCGCTTCACGAGGAGCTCAGCCAATTGCGATAGATCGCGATCCCACTTCAGTTTGAGCATGCGAGCTGCATTAGGTAACCTGTGGAATTTGCCTCCGGCCACAATATCCCGATACGTGTTGTGGTAGTGCAATATGAATTTCTGTAACTTCTGGGGTACGGAAACGATCTTTGGGTCCTTTCCGCACTGTGACGACCAATTCTGCAATTTTAATTACACAACATGTGTACATTAGTAAACTCGTTAAGTTAACACTTTATCCTTTGGTGGTTTTACATTAAATTCCAATTTCTTGAAGTTTAGATGCTTACCCCCACATTTTTGCACCCAATATGCGAAAGTTCCTTGTCGGCCTGGCAGTTTTTCAATTTACAGTAGTCCGTTTGGGGCACCAGATCGACAGCAGCCAGGTTGAAAAATAAGAGCAATCCGGCTGCTACGCAAAAACCACTCCACATCTTCATATTCACTTCGAAACTAACTGTGTCGATAATTATTCGGCCTTAAAATTATTGTCGATTATAATATTAGCCTCGGTTCACTATAACCATGTGTGACTAAACCAATTACAGGTTTCTATTGTTTTTTGATCAAAGTTTCGCAACTTTATATCTGGATTCTGTCAAACTAAGACATTTTTGTTAATGTAACATGAGTCGAACTATTCAAAAATCTTCACAAGTCCACATTTAAAATTTGGGATGTTGGAATACTTTTTGGTTTTCTAAGCAACTTAAAAAAAGTTGTTTAAAAACCAGCTGGTTTGACGGAAAATAAAAATAAGAAAATTTTAAATGATATTTTTAAATATTTTTATATCATATTTTTGTCAATAATTGTTTTATTTTAGTCCAACATTTTATATCACAATTTATGTATGTAAATTTGTTGAGACGCCATCGTCACTATTTTTTACGCTCATCAAGAAGAGTTTTTATGTGTTGGCGCATGATTCATTCCCTTATTGAAATCGTTGCTCCTACTGATTAGCATGTGAAAATGTGACGTTAATTGTAAATAAATCATAAATGTTTGTGAAGGGAATTCATGGTGATTTTCGATTTATTAATATTAACATTAAATAAAATATAAGATATGAAATATATAAAAATGAAATTTTGTTTATTAATCGGCTTTTCATTTTCATATCTTTAAAATACATCTTAGTTTAATAAAACAGAACCCCCAGACAACAAATTTTGTTAGAAAATATTTATAATCTTTTTTTTCTGAAAAAGATAAAAATTTGAAAAAGAAAATCTTATCAGCCCTGAATTTGGTTGCCTAAAAAAGGTGTCCAAACATTCTAAGAAATTCACTTAAGGGTGGAACTGAGGGCTGATGAAATAGAAGTGGCTATGAAATAAGCACACCAACAAAGGCCCGAAGAGAACCAAAAGAGAGCGGTATTGTATTTTTTACCGGCTAAATCAGGGCTGTCAGGCCACCGCGTTGAGTATATAAATATCGGGCAGCATATCTAGCTCATGGAGATTTGAAGAAGTCGACTACCCGGTTTCTCTCCCGAAAGCAATGGTAGATGGTCATGGGCGTCCGGGAATGACTTTAAAAGTAAGATGTACATATATTGCAAATTCTTAGATTTCGATTATCAAAAAACAATTAGGATTTTTTTTATTCTGAATACATTTTTGTCTCCTAAGGTTAAATAGCGAATTCTTTCTATATATTTCTTGAAATTATTTATGTGTCCATTATACTGTAAACTATTTAAATTTTCAAAAGGTTCAAAGTTTTAAATTAATTATTTTGACAATTTACCTATTTGTTCTCCAATAAGGAAGTAAATGTTGTGCAATTCAACAATTTATATAAAATGCATGTTTGAAAAAAAACAGAATGGGTACAGAATTCGGTTGGGAAAGTTATTTTTGGAGAAGATTTTTAGTAGCAAACATTTTTTTTGCAACATTTTATTAACAACTTTCTCCGACTGGGAGGAAATTGAACCCACGCAGCCCATCCGCGAATTCGCTTATGATTTCCCAAATAGTTTTGTATAGGTGTATTTATTTGGAAAGGTAGAAACCCCTTGTGACTACGTCCATGGAAAATAGGAGAGTGAGAGGCGGATAGGAAGAGAGCGGCAGCTGCAATGTGTAGCGTGGAAATGTGATTTTATGGCCGGTTGTCTAGAGACCAAAACACATGGTTTGTGGCAGAACGGTTATGTGAAGAGCGGAAGGCGGCCGCAAATTGATGAGCGACACAGTATTAATTGAATTTAATCAAATCGATTCGGGTGACAACAATGGAGGAGTTCGCCGAGTACTATGGGTGAGTTCTTCAAGATGTGCACGTGGATGTGTGGGGCTCAAGAACACGCATGCAACAAGTGTCTAAAATTAGCGTTAAATGCAATCAAACACGGTGGCTAATTTTAGCCACGATTTAGCACCCACCTCTCGGCCACACGACGCGAATAGCAGCTATCAGCTGAGTTGCGTATAAACAATGCACGAATCTCCACGCAGCCATGTCAATGGAAAGCTCAAACAAAGCCAAATTAGTAGTGCCGTATGAAAACAAAACAATTCAAGGGTTAGGAGCACCCCAACTGAAAAATGCTCTATAGGGAGGCGAAACCTTTATAACACGGGGGTCCTAAACTTAAGCTGCTTTTTTCATTTGCCGCGTAAACTTTTCCCAATTTAGCCCTCGTGATAAATAGAACTTATTTGACTTTACATAAGTTATTAAACAAACAAACTTTTATAGGGCGTTCCATTTTTTTTTTAAATTTATATAGATCGGTTAAATTATATGTTTGTAAATAAATAAGTTCAATCGAAGATATGAGCGATATGATATTAATATGTAAACTAAGTCTTAAGTCTAAAAGAAATATCACAATTATTTTGGTTACACTAAATAGCTTCAAGAATAGTAGGGAGATACATTTAATTTAAATTATATTAAATTAAATTAAATTATTTGCGCTTATATCTCGCGACAAATTTATTTGATATATACTTATTTTAAATTAAAATCAAACAAAAAACGATCAACTTAAAAAGTCAAGGAATGGCCAAGTTGTGGCTGCTTTTCGTAAGGATCGAAATGCCGAGCTACCTACATATTTATTTAACAACGAGAAAAAGTTTCAACTATTTGAACCGCTAATCGAACCCGACAATTCATTAGGGCTTGCGGTAAACTTGGCCCATTGACCTGACAAGTCATCCGGTAAACCGAGAGTTCCCACCCGAGGAATGCATTCGGGTATATACAACTCTCATACTATATACTCAGGTGGAAAAGGAAAGGAGGAGGTGACGGGTTACCAATTAGCGTTATCAGCGTCAGAGGCGTGATTCCACCACAATCGCGTCCGACCTGAGGATGCGAAAGCTTCTGTCCGGTTGAAACTCACCACGATCGCCCAGAGCCGTAGAACCGATTCGCTATTTAATGGCACTGGCGTGCTCGACCAGCGTTCAGAAATAAGTAGAACGCTTCCCGGCGCCATACGAAACTCGATCAAATTCCAAATTGCGAATCCAAATACACAAACTCAATTAAGTGGCAACCAGATACTTGTATTGTTTTTCCAATTGAATATTTGAAACTCGATTCCGGCCTTACAAACCGAAAATGGCTTGTAGTTTGTGATATTATATACATACTCTAAAAAAGATCCAGTACCGAGTGATAACAAATAGTAAACAGAAGTGATAGTTCATACAGGAATTCAACTAATTCAATAACAACCAGGTGAGAAAAAGAGGTCAGGGACCTAAAAGAGCAAATATCATACAATTTTTTTATAGAAGACTAAACTAAAAGTTCCTTTAAAAATGTTTCCTAATGTGATTTGTTAAGCCTAACAAAAAATTTTTATTATTCGTTTTTTAAAAGGTAAAAAAAATATTTAATTCAATACACCCGTACAGGAAAATTAAATTAAATTATATGCTGAATTCCAAAAAGAATATTAAGCTGTGCCGATTAACGCTCACTTAATGTCTTTGTTTTAGTCGAGTCTCTACCCCAATTTTGGGAAGACGTTTAGAGGGAGATTTCCCCACTTAGTCATCGGGGGGATAATTCCCGATGATCACAAGACTCCAATTTAGATCAGCTTTGACGCTTTGGCGGTCGTAAAGCCGTTGTCTACATTCGCACATTAACGGACGCCCACTAATTTTCTTATGGCCCGATCCATAAACCCAACTCCGCACAATTTCTTGGCCCACCTACCACCACAGGCACTTTCCACAAAATGCGAACGTGTTAATATGTGGGTTCTGTAAACATCGAGAGTACGGCGGGTTACATATTGCACGGCTCAGCAAGAAGCCCCGAAGTTCCAAAGCCCCAATTGCACACTTACCCATTATAATAATAATAATTGTTTAATGAACATATTCCAGAATGCCCAGCTGGAGCGTGACGAATGCGTTTCGCGTGCTCACACGCAAGAAGCCCCTGGAGGACTCGAATGAATCCAAGCTGGCCAAGGTCTTGTCCGCCTTCGATCTCACCGCCCTGGGAATCGGATCGACCCTGGGCGTGGGTGTCTATGTCCTGGCCGGAGAGGTGTCCAAGCAATATGCGGGCCCGGCCGTGGTCGTCAGCTTCCTCATCGCTGCCATCGCCTCGATCTTCGCCGGACTCTGCTATGCGGAGTTCGGAGCCCGAGTTCCCAAGGCGGGATCGGCGTACATCTACAGCTATGTGACCATTGGCGAGTTTATCGCCTTCCTCATCGGATGGAATCTCATTCTCGAATACGCAATTGGTAAGTTTGTCAATTAGTGGCGCCGCCGTCTGATTGATTTGATTTGATTGCCCACAAATTCTCATATACCCGCATTGATTTTCGTTAGGCTCCGCCAGTGTCGTCAAGGGTTTAAGCACCTATCTCGATCAGCTTTGCGGCAATCCCATGAGCACTTTCCTGGGCACCCACATGCCCATCAACATCGAAGGGATGGGTGCCTATCCGGATCTGTTTGCCTTCGTGGTCACCATCCTGTTTTCCCTGGCCATCGCCGTGGGTGCCAAGGAGTCCACCAGGGTGAACAATGTCTTTACCATGCTGAATCTGGGAGTGGTGCTCTTCGTGATTATCGCGGGACTTTTTAAAGGTGAGTTTTAAAATTTTAATTAAATTTTTCTTGATTTAGATTCATTTTGTAGGAAATTGACTGGATTTGTTCTTAGTTTCATAGTATCTTTAAGGTGAAAAAAAGATTTAAACATATATATATTACCTAAACCATAGAATTAATTACAATAGAACAACACAAAATATTCATAGAAGTAAATTAGTTTGATCTTAACTTTCTTTTTGCCATATCCATAATTTATTATTTTGCCATAGTTTGAAATAAAATTTAAGTTTAAATCGAATGAAAAGAAATTCAAAAGTTGTAACAGATATTTTTTAAAAGTCATTTAATTCAAAAATGCTATTTAAGTTTAAATCAAAATAACAAAAATTCAAAAAATTTTACAAATATTTTTTTAAAAGTCATTAAATTCTATATAATTTAAATCACTACATATCACAACACACATAAGTTATAACTTAGTACTAATAACCTGTTAAATTAAACTACTCCCTATTCATAAACTGTCAATATCTTTTTCTCAGTTTCCAGCAGCAACTGGTCCATTCCAAAATCGCAGGTCCCCGAGGGTTATGGCGACGGAGGGTTCATGCCCTACGGAGTTTCGGGCATAATCAAGGGAGCTGCGATCTGTTTCTACGGCTTCATTGGCTTCGACTGCATTGCCACAGCTGGGGAGGAGGCCAAGAACCCGAAGAAGTCCATTCCATTTGCCGTGATCGTCTCACTGGCCATGATCTTTCTGGCCTACTTCGGCGTGTCCACGGTGCTGACCATGATGCTGCCCTATTTCGAACAGGACGAGAAGGCCCCGCTGCCCCACGTTTTCCGGATAAACGGATGGCATGTGGCCGAGTATGTGGTCAGCATTGGAGCCATGTTTGGGCTGTGCTCCAGCATGATGGGCGCCATGTTCCCGCTGCCCAGGATCGTGTTCGCCATGTCCAACGATGGATTGCTGTTCAAATTCCTCGGAGACATCAGCGAGAAGTACAAGACTCCGTTCAAGGGAACCATGATCACGGGTCTGCTGACTGGAATCCTGGCGGCCGTTTTCAATCTCAGCCAGCTCGTGAACATGATGTCGATTGGAACCCTTTTGGCCTATTCCATGGTGGCCAGTTGTGTCCTCATGCTGCGCTACGAGGTGGATGATCGTCGGGAGAGTCGCATCGTGGCGAATGGACGAGCCTTGAGCCTCGAACAGGATCGACCATGTGCCCTCTGGAGGCGGATCTTCAACCTCAATGGCCAGACAGTGCCCACAAAGCAGACCTCAAGGATCGTCACCTACAGTGTGACTCTGTTCTGTAAGTAAAAAATTATCTAAACTAATATAAAGTTCGACCCCTAAAAAACGGTCAGTAGCAAATTCCACCCAGAACGGATTGGTATAAAAATCTAAAAAAAATCACATTAATTACTAAAATAATTAGGAGCCTCGTAAGAGGTACAAAAAGTGCCCCAAAATTATAAAAAATAATAATAAATAAAATAACAAAAATAACTTACGCAAGCAATAAGAATTTTAGGAATTTTTTGCAAGTTCTTTTTATATTCTTAAATACTTGGCATAGGACAATTTTTTGTTGTCTGGTACTTTTAAATATAATAAGATATAATAATAATAATAATAATAATTTTAATTTTCAGCTCTTTGGTGCATGGTCTTCTCTCAGATTCTGACCAAGTTCGAGGAGGATATAGCAAACGTAACGTCCTTCGATGGCATTAAGCTGGTGCTGGGCACTATTCCCCTGGTACTGCTTCTCCTGGTCATCTCGCGCCAGCCAACCTCGGGAGTCAAGCTGTCCTTCAAGGTGCCGCTGGTGCCCTGGCTGCCGGGCATTTCCATTCTGATCAATATTTACCTGATGATCAAACTGGACATCCACACCTGGGTGCGCTTCAGCGTTTGGATAGCCATCGGACTGGGCATCTTCCTGTCCTACGGCATCCGTCACAGTCGCCTGAGGCAGCGGGAGCAGCGAAACAATTCCATCGCCATGATGCGGGACTGCAGCAATTCGGCATTATTAAGCGGTCAGGAGAACTCCAAGTATGGCAACGAGGTGCCTCTGATATTGATGCACAGTTCATCCTAAGTATACATTGATATTTAGCCACACATTACATTTGATTTTTGCCCGAAAGATATGCGTTTGCACCGGCGATTCTCATCACCCACATACTCACCTATGTAATTTTGCCTCATAAAAAATATAAAATAGAAAACCAAAAACTACAAAAAGTACAATAAGTTAGCTGAAAGCAATAAACACGAATATTCTTATGCTAAACGGGTGTTTGATTACAATTTAGCTAGCCAATTTATTCACGTCGGATTTAACATTTTATAGAATTAAGTATATAGAATTAAATATAACAATAATGGTAGCGATCAATGGTACTTCCGTTTCACGTTTGTCATTCGATTTGGATACGTCAATTTTTGGCCTTTAAAATAATTATTCAACTATTTTCTCGACATGTACTTCTATTGACTAGTTTTCTCCGGCAGAAGCTGTCTATTATGTTCATAAAAACGACAGATTTATCAGAAATGTTGCTATCTAAGTATACTTGTACTACACCAATAACAATTGCAATGTTTCCTAGACTTAAATCTCGACTGTGGTAGCTTCAGAGCCCTTACGCTCGGCACTCTCCCTTTCCCGATCCACAGCCTCCTCCTCTTCAGCCTCGTCGCGCTGCTCCTCAGCGGAGTTCTGTTCCTCCTCTTCGCTCGCTACAATAATGAACTCACTGTCTCCTGATTTAGATGAGGTTTTTTCACTAGTACGATTCGCACTCGCACGCGATTCGAGGGCAGAGGCATAGAAGGCAGAGTTGGCCATGTTGCAGGTGAACTCCTGCTTCTTGGCTGCGTTCACTTCACGTGCAATAGTGGACACAGCACTGGGGTTTACATTCTGGCTGCTCTTGAACGATCCACCTTGCGAATGACCGAATCCCAGACTGCCCGAAACGGGCTTAACTGTCGGTCGCTTGTTTTTCGCCAGACCTCCGGTCACCATGTTGGCTGCAAATCCAGGCGGCGCCTTAAAGCCAATGTGGGGAGCATTGCAGGTGTCCATCTGGAAGACGTGACGGGTCCGTGTGCTGCCCAGCTGCTTCTCCACGCGCAGCGACTGGGCGGGAACGACTGGCGGGCGACGGGCCACTCGCGGAATGGCCGCCTGCGACATCTCCGCCAGCTCCCCCGTCGCGGACTGGCCAGCTCCGCCGCTTGGCTGCTCCCCAAAACCGTACATCCGTTCGTGACGTTCGTGCACGTTGCCGTCAAAGTCCTTGGACATTCGCCTGCTCGCCGAGGTCTTGGAAACCTCGGGTGCGGGCAGCAGGGGTGCCACATGCACCGCAGCCGGAATATTGACACTGGTTCCGAGACCAAGGCGCTGTTTCACATCGTTCAACGTCTGCTGCGCCTGCTGACGCGCCTTTTCCGCACCCACTTCCAGCAGGTAGACCATCTCGTTGCGCCTGGTCATGTGATGGTGGATCTGCTCCCGGATGGGGCGCAAGTGCTCGACCACTGCCTCCGCCACACGGTCCTTGTACTTGGCCGTGTCCAGGGTGGCCGCCTCGTCCACCACTGTCTTAATGGGCTGTCCCGTGACCTGGGCATGGATATTCACGAGGTTGCTGACGCCGGCTCGCTTGCCCGGATTGTAGGTGATGTCCGAGGTGAAGTCCGTGACGGCCTTCTTGATCTTCTGCGTGATTAGGTCGGGCGAATCGCAAAGATTGATGGTGGCCTTGGGGTTGGCCTCCGATTTCGACATCTTTTTGGAGGGATCGCGCAGGGAGAGCACGCGCGAGGCGTCGCCTTCCTCGATGATGGCGCTGCAGACCGGGAAGGTCTCGCCGTAGCGACCGTTGTAGGTTCTGGCCAAGTGCTGCGCCAGCTGAATGTGCTGTATCTGGTCAGCGCCCACGGGAACATGGGTGGCCCTGAAAAAGAAGGGGGTATTAATATTCAAAGTAATCATGTTTTAAAATATAATTCATTTAAACTCAAATGTAATTATCCAAATGTTCTTTAACATTAATAGAAATTAGAGCCTTGCGTGAATCATTCAATTTTTCTTTTATCATAGTATGTTATGAAATTTCTGATTTCTTTAATTCATTTCTATGTGAAATAAATTGAATGTTTTTATAATTTATTTCGAATTAAATGAATGAATGAATGAATAATTTTTATGAATTTGCAAAGTTTTCTTTGTGCTAATTGCATAGTAAATAAAATTCAGGCAGATTTAATCACAAAATTATGGCCCTTTCTTCTTCTAAAGAAATTGTCGTTTGAATTATTTTGGAATTCATTCATTCAATTCTATTAAACTCAAAATTCTAATTAATTCATTCATATAAAACTTAAAATTCAAAATATTTCATTGAATCCATTCATGCAGGGCTCTAATAGAAATGCTGAATATGAAGTGGTTTCCATAGTAAATAAAATTCAGGCAGATTTAATCACAAAATTATGGCCCTTTCTTCTTCTAAAGAAATTGTCGCTTGAATTATTTCGGAATTCATTCATTCAATTCTATTAAACTCAAAATTCTAATTAATTCATTCATATAAAACTTAAAATTCAAAATATTTCATTGAATCCATTTATGCAGGGCTCTAATAGAAATGCTGAATATGAAGTGGTTTCTCATTTAACCACCGATGATTAACGTAACTTACTTATAAAGCATAATGTCGGCTGCTTGGAGAACCGGATAGACGTACAATCCCAGGGGGACATCCTTGAGCAGGCGCGACTTCTCGCGGAACTGCGGCAGTTGGGCCAAACGCGGCATGGTGGTCATCGAGCTGAGTATCCAGTTGAACTCGGCGTGCTCGGCGACGGCCGACTGGACGAAGAGGGTGCTCTTGCCGGGATCTATGCCGCAGGCGAGCAGCGTGGCGGCCATGGTGAAGATATTCTCGCGCAGCAGCGGCGGATTGTGGGGCATGGTGATGGAGTGCAGGTCCACGATGCAGACGGTGACGTCGTCGCGGGCATTCTGCAGCTGCACCCACTTGCGCACGGCGCCCAGGTAGTTGCCCAGATGCAGGGATCCCGTGGGCTGGATGCCGCTGAAGATCTTCCTTGGCCAGCGGCTGTTCTGCTCGGATCGGGGGAGTATATATTCGAGTAGAGTGTTATGTAAACTAGGGCCGCAAATGTACTCACCTCCTCGGAGCCACTGTCGTTGTTGTGGCAATGCGATTGGACCGTCTGCTTGCTGCCGCCGCCGGTCACCTGGGCCGTCGCAGAGGGCGTTCCAGCCGACCTACTGGCCAATCCCGGCAAGAAACTCCTCGCCTGAATGCAGCGCCGCTGCAAACGCACTGCTGCCGGCTCCTTTTTGGCCACCTCCGACAGGCTGAGACGAAGCTTGCCAAAGCGGAACATTGCAATCAGCTAAGAATTTTGTACCCCAAATCTTCGAGCAAAAAATGTTGGGAAAAATGCACTGCTAAATGTGAGACGGAGCCCGAAAATTAACTATTTATTTTAAACGGGCCGAAATTTTGACACTGAGCTCGCGAGCGTTGCCAGATGGATTTTGAAAAGCCGGTGCGACAGCTGTTCACAGTGATACTCAGTTTGGCTGTTTTTGTCGCTAAAAATATTAGCTAGAATATAAAAAAAAAGCAAAATGATAAATATTTCATTTCGCTTAATTTTAAGATTTTAGCATGTCATAATATCCATAAATTTTTTAAGGGAAAATTATTACTTCAAAAACTATTTCGAGAAACATTTTTAATTTAATTGGATGTGTTGTATCCCAATGTGTTGTGGAATTTGGATACTTTTGAATATTTTTAATACACTTATTCCCTATTCATCCAAAGTTCAATTTGAAAAAAGATATTTAAATCTATTTTGGTATTCAATTTTCAAAAAAAAGGTTTTTTTTTAGATTAAAATATCTTTTTATACAATAATAGTTTTACAAAATTAGTTTAGATCCCACTTTTTTAACTACATTTTTGAAAGTAATATAATAGACAATACATTTTTCAAAACATTCATAACTTAATTTGGCTTTTCCATTGCTTTAAGCTTTATTAGTAGTTTACCAGAACATCTAAAGACATCGAATAACATCTATTTAACACCTTGAGTTTCGAGTTTTCAAACTGTGTTGTATTTATTCTAGCTTAATACACATATTACATTGCAATTAACGCCTGGCGCCATTACCAATATTTATAGTTTCCACTTTAATGTTCCTACGATGAGAGTTACAAATATGCGGAGACTGTTGTTTCGGCTGTCAGGATAATTTTTCGATTTGGGGGTTTTTCAAAAGTTTAAAGTGCGGTGCAAAATTGTCCAAAAGCTGGCAGGGATTGGGGGAAGTGCTTAGAAGTTGATGGGCTTGCCGAAGGCGGCCGCAACATTAGCCTCACGCAAAGCCTCGGCACAGGTCTGAAAAAAAGAGATTTTACCATATTAGTTCGACTGACACTCGACACTCAAAATAACACACATTTCGTTTCGAAATATTAAAGCTTAATTAAAACCTTGAGCAATAACTTTCAGATAAGAACGAAGTGTGATTTTTGAGTTATGCAAGATCACTTACTGGATGCGCATGGCAGACGCGGGCCACGTCCTCGGCGGCTGCTCCGTACTCCATGGCCAGCACAGCCTCGTTGATCAGCTCGCCGGCGGCGGGACCGATGATGTGGGTGCCCAGGATCTTGTCGGTGGCCTGGTCGGCCAGAACCTTGACGAAGCCGTCCGTCTCGTTGTTGGTCTTGGCGCGCGAGTTGGCCAGGAAGGGGAACTTGCCCACCTTGTAGGCGACGCCCTCCTGCTTCAGCTGCTCCTCGCTCTTGCCCACCCACGCGACCTCGGGATGCGTGTAGACCACGCTGGGCACGCAGTTGTAGTCGATGTGCACGTGGCCGCCGTTGATGCCCTCGATGGTGATGAGGCCCTCGTCCTCGGCCTTGTGCGCCAGCATGGGTCCGTGGATGCAGTCGCCGATGGCGTAGATATTCGGCACCACCGTCTGGAAGGTGGCGTTCACGGGGATCCGGCCGCGATCGTCCTTGACAATGCCGACAGCCTCCAGGCCGAGACCCTCGGTGTAGGGACGACGGCCCACGCTGACCAGCAGGGCGTCGCACTGGATCTCCTCCTTCTCGCCGGACTTGGCGTTCTCCACCGACACGGTGACGTTGTCGCCGCTGCGCGAGGCAGCCGTCACCTTGGTGCCCAGCTTGAACTTCAGGCCCTGCTTGACCAGCACCTTCTGGAAGGTCTTGGAGACCTCGTTGTCGATGCCCACGCCGCCGATCGTGTCCATGAACTCGATGGCCGTGACCTCGGCGCCCAGACGCGACCAAACCGAACCCAGCTCCAGGCCAATGACGCCGGCGCCGATGACAACCAGATGCTTGGGCACCTTGGCCAGCTTCAAAGCGCCAGTGCTGCTCACAATCACCTCTTCGTCGATCTGTGAAGGGTAGTTTCGGGGTGAATAAAGCAGGTTTCGGAATTTAACACACATGTTAAGAACATGTAAAAGTGTATTTTACAGTGTGAGAAAAGTTTTTGACATATGAGTCAAAAACAAAAGTGTGTGTTTGTGTTTTTTACACAATGTGCTATTAACACGACGTGTTTTTTACTCACTGTGTTTTTAACACAAATGAAAATTACATTTTATGGACATTAACGAATCGAAGGGAACATGAAGAATCAATATTGGACCCGGATATCTTAATTGTTTGTTTTAACATAGCATATATGAATTTTTTCAACTACAGAAAACCGTGAATTTTTCAATTCAAAAACTCATTTTGTTATAAACACGTCGCGTAAATAACACAAAAAACCTGTGTGTGTTATTTATGTTTCTTACATATGTAAGCTACAATTTTTTACACACATGTCAATAACTTTTTTTGAACTTAACACTTTGACATTAAACATGTTAATAACACAAGTTTTTTACAGAGTGTCATACTTTCGGAACCCTGGAATAAAGTAATGTTACAGATTTCTCGCACTCACTTCAATACCCGGGAAGGGGGTAACCTCCGAGCCGGTGGCAATGAGGATGTTCTTGGTCTTGACCGTCTCCGTGGAGCCGTCGGCCTTCTTCACCTGCACCTCGTTGGGATTGACGATGCTGCCAAAGCCCGACAGCTGTGTGACCTTGTTCTTCTTGAAGAGCATCGCAATGCCGCCGGTCAGGGCCTTCACGGCGTTGACCTTCTGGCCCATGAGCTTCTCCAGGTCGAGGCTAACGCTGCCGCAGCTGATGCCGCGGCTCTCCAGATCCCCGGAGTGGGCCATGTGGTAGTAGTGGGAGTTGTTCAGCAGCGCCTTCGAGGGAATGCAGCCGACATTGAGGCAGGTGCCGCCCAAAGTGGCCTCCTTCTCCACGCTGACCGTCTTCATGCCCATCTGGGCGGCCTTGATGGCGGCCACATAGCCACCGGGTCCAGAGCCAATCACCACGATGTCCGCCTCGTGGGTGGTGGAGTAGCAGCGGGCGTTGAGGGCGCCCAGAATGGCGGCATTGGTGCGCAGGGGAGTCTGGAAGGAGAGCGGATTACTACAAGTTCTAACACCTTATCTTTTATCACGCCAGCGGCACGCATTTCGCACTAATCTCCGGCCGCCTATCAGCTGATAATTGGCCCAATTAGCGACCTTGAAAGCGGGGCCAAACAAATCCCCCGATCATATGAGCACTGCAGGTGAGCCAGGTGCATTTTCCGGGCTTTTCCAGGCCCATTTCACGACCCCCTCGGTGAGGTTAGATTGCATAACTTGGGGGGCGGAAGGCGATTGGGGGAACGGAATCGCTGATGGCGCCCGATCCTTACCTTGGCTACTGCCGACACAACATGGCGAAGCGTGGACTGCATGGCTGGAGCGGGCGAGTTATGAGGATAATCGTTATTTAACTACAAACACAACACTAATTTGATGTGATGTGTTTTTCCGACTGTTTTTCGTGTTGTGCAGCTCGGAGCGGTCGCAGGGCTGGCGATGCGCATGCGATAGTGGTCATATGACGGGCAGCGGGTTATCGATAGCGCTGGGGAATTTCCATTTGTATTAAAAAAGTTTTAAATTGTAAAGATGATTTCTGAAAACAAATGATCTTGATTAGTCAGCTATTGTTTATAAAAAGTTTTTATATAAATTAAAATTTGCTTTTTTAAATTATTAATCGCTTGTTTTTCAACCCACCAAAAAGTCGTCCAAACCCAAAAACTTCATTTAAAACAAGAGAGAATGTTATAGTCGAGTACCTCGACTACTCAGCTAACGGAAGTGCGAGGGAGACGGAGGTATGCATTTAGCAAAGCAAGCATTTTGACTGTGTACCTGTGTTTATAATTACATCAATATTTATTTATATTTTATTTTCATACTACTAACCACCAAATATACAAATATTAGAGACAAGCTACACCAGACTATAAAATAAAAAACAACAGCATCCTTTGAGATATATTTTGTTCACTAAAGTACGGCTGGGATGACACATTTAAATTGTAGCATCAAATAGTCGTACTGCGAATTTAAAGAAAAACTCGCTTAAGCAAAATTATTTTGAAAATTTGTTTCACTTATTATTCATTTTTAAAGAGTATCTAGAGCTTATCGTTAAATTTTAGTACCAAAATAAAATAAAATATATTTTAATTCGATGAATATTCGATAACTGGCACTGCAGCTCTGTGTGGCTCTATCCCGCCTCGGTATTTTCCGCACACTTTTGGTATTTTCGCAGCGCGTTCGCCTCGCGTTTTCGCCGCAGCCTCAGTTTTTCGCCAGCTGTCGCAATGCGGTCTAACTGTTTCGCGGACACAACAAGATGGCGAGACTTGCCCCCGAAATCTGTTAGAAAACGCCACAAGGACAGATAATTAATTGAGTATTCGAGCCGAAAAGAGTCCGCCGAAGTGCCGGGCAGCCGCGGCGCATTTAGCAGTGTGTGAGCTTGGCCGGCGTAGCCAGGGACAGGGACCGCAGGCCGCGACAGGCGATACCTTCTGCTGGCCTTGTCCGTGTGTGTGTGCGTGCGGCGCGCGAGTGTGCGTGGGCTGGCAAGAGTGGCAAGAGTGGCGAGAATCGCCAGATTTGCAAGATGATGAGCAACTACGGCAACATAATGGACTCCCCGAAGTCATCGCCCCACGGCGGCGGCCGATCCCCCGTCGTCGCCCGGCAGGACTCCTCCGGCACCCTGAAGACGACCATTTCGCTGGGCAAAACGCCCACGATCATCCACACGGGGCCGTTCTACTCGATGAAGGAGCCGCCCGCCAAGGCGGAGCTCACCGGCGACAAGGATCTCATGACCGAGTACGGACTGCACCACACACTCACCAAGTTCAAGGAGAAGAAGTTCAAGGAGTCGCTGGCCTCCTTCCTGCAGAACATCCCCGGCATCAACGACCTCATCACGCATCCCGTCGAGAACAGCACGCTGCGGAGCGTGATCGAGAAGCCGCCGATCGGGGGCAAGGAGCTCCTCCCGCTGACCCCCGTCCAGCTGGCCGGATTCCGCCTGCATCCCGGACCGGTTGGTGTTCTTATTATTTTGTTTTATTTCCTTTTCTCTGGCTTTTTAGATCCTTTTAGATCCTTCGCTTTTAAAAAGTCTTCATTTTGAATGCCACTTTAACAATGTTTGAAACATTCATCCACATTTCAAAATTAATTCAATGTTGACTTTCTCCAGTCCCACTGTTCAGTTTGAGCGTTCTTCACTTGCGTTAGTTTGCTCGTGCGAATGTTACATTTAGGGCCGTTATCTAGTCCGATTAAACCATGAAATTGTATGAGAAATCGGAGCTTAAACCTCCCTTTAAATTTAACAGACGGACGAGAAAACAGACCTTAAAGTATGCTTTAAACTCTGTATTTCCATAAAATGTTAAGGTCTAAACACTACACTACTTTAAATTTAACATGCGGGCGAGAAAAATGATATATTTTCAATTAAGTTAGTTGAAAATTGTACTAGCTGTGAAATTTCATGTTCAATCTACTAATGGCGTTTTCTAAAAATCGAAATATTTTCTTTTTGCGAAAATAGGAAAAGCTTGGCTTTTCGATTAAAAATCTACATTTAATGTTAAAAAATGGTTTGAGTAATGTAAGCTATTTACAGTTTATTTTGTAAAGTCCAAAACGATCTCGATTCTAATTTTGCACTTCGGAAATTTCAGTTCAACTTCTAATACTCAAGATCACTAAATAAATTGTTTACGAAAATCAAATGTTGTTTTCCACTGTAAAGATTTGTTAAATTTATTTCACAAAATAGCTACAATTTTTGTTGCTTCGCAATAAAATTTAGTGGATATTTTTGTACATTTCTTAAGAATAATAAGTGCTCTCTGTACAATTTTTTAAAGTTTGATTTAACAGTGTATTTTGTTAAAAGAATTTCTTTAGCTTTATGTATACGTGAACAAATTGCATTAAATATATCATACTTGCTTGAAATCTTAACAACATCGCTACGCTCTACTTCATTGTTCTAATTTACCCGATTCCGATTTCCTTTCAGCTGCCGGAACAGTATCGAACCACATATGTCACACCTGCGCGAAAACACAAAAACAAACACAAAAAGCACAAACACAAAGACGGCGTGACCACGGGACAGGAGTCTACGCTACTGGGTGAGTTGGCTGGTAGAATCTCGCCTTGCCTGATGACCATCTAACCCTATGATTTAAATCTTACAGATTCGGCCGGCCTGGAGACTTACGAGAAGAAGCACAAGAAGCAGAAGCGGCACGAGGACGACAAGGAGCGCAAGAAGCGCAAGAAGGAGAAGAAGCGCAAGAAGAAAAACCAGAGTCCGGAGCCGGGCGTTGGTTTGCTGCCAGGCGGAGGAGCGGGATTGGGCGGAGCAGCGGGTGTAATGGGTGCCACCAGCCTGGGATCGCTGGCCGGAGGTCCGGGGCCCGGTTTGTCCAGCCTGGGCGCCAGCATGGGACCCGGCGTTGTGGGCGGCATGAACAGCTTCTCGTCCTCCATGCAGATGCAGCAGCAGCAGCAGCAGATGCCCATGCAGCAGCAGATGTCAAGCGGGGGTCTCCTCGGATCTGTGCTGGGCACGAGCGGCGGTCCGGGTGGCGGCGGTGGAGGCGGAGGCGGGGGCGGGGGTGTGGGGAGCGGCGGCGGCGGTGGCAGCCTGCTAATGTCGCAGTTCTAGGCAGGATCCTTTAGCAAAATAGACTTGGCTCATTACCTCTCATCAGCAGACGCACCCCAGATGGCAACACAAATAAAACAAAAAAAAACGCAGACGATCCTGAAGCGGTCCTCTAAATGCAATTTTCTCGATAAAGTTTCGTGTCCTAGTTATTAATTTATGATTATCGTAACTGTAAAATAGTTTATTTCTGTAATTAGCCAACAATTTTTCGTTCGTTTTTCGCGCTAGCTTAATGAGATTTATTTAAACGCAAGTTATGGTACAAAACGTTTTCGCTCTCGATTCCAGCTCTTCCCCCCCACATGCAAGTTCCCTGCCCCGCCCCACAGCGCTTTTTTGCAACCCTTTTTTTGCTCACCAACCTTGTAATATGTAGGGTCAGTATTTCAATTATATTTCTGCAATGCTTTGTTCTTCCAGCAAGTTTAAAAACACAAAAGAAAGCTGAGATTCAACAAAATAAAAATGCCTGTACTATAAGTAATTAATTTTAGTGATTAGGCGCATAAACAATAATAAACAAGCATACAAATGATCAAAGTTTTGGGTTTTATAATGTTTTTCTTGGGTTAATAGAAGGAACTGTACCTTAGGGTTCCCCAGAAGAAGATATTTTGTAAAAGTAAGAATATTGAATGGAATGCATTACCTTTGATAAGTATAAATATAAAATATAAGAGTGGTAAGCTTCATAGTTCCCAATTCAAAATTGGCGCCACACTTGTTAGCATTCTGTTGACTTTAACATGGACTTCTAACAGCTTCGGTGAAATTTGACAGCTAGTAACATAGCATTTACAGGCGCCAACAGCTGCTTTATTTCTCAGGGAGTTCCTCGCAATCGAGAGCCAATTAATAAATTAAAAGTGATGTGTGAAAGATAGCCGTCACTGCGAGGCCATAAATGAGATCTAACTTCAGCAACTGTTCGCGAAAGGCTATAACCATGTACAAGCAGACGTGCACCAATCTCCTGGAATTGTCCTCCGCCAAGGTGACCGAGTGGATTTCGAGCTTCGATTCGGTGATTACAGACTGTGATGGTGAGTGGGGTGGGGGTGGGTGGTTGGGAGTAGGGCGGGAACTTCCTGCTCGCCAAAGGATTCCCCCCAGGAAGTTGCGTTACATAAAGATATGTTTGTGTATACCATATTTTCGGGCCGACATCTGCCCAAATACGTCAGCAAGCGAATAGTTTTCTGTGTTGTTGCTGCGTCGCGAATTTCAATGTCAAAGAGTGAAGTGCGTGATATGGCGGGAAGTCGACTTTCGGATGCCCTCATAACTTATGAGATTGGCTGACAGGTTTGACAAAGCAGGAAAATTTAAAAATTTAAATTTAAATTTAAAATTTATACCATCGAAATCTATATTTCCGATCTTTTTAGTTTAACGGGAATCTATTTAAATAAAAAATTCTTTGTACACCGTTAGTTCTCTGAAATTCTAATATCCATTTTGTAATATCCACTGGGATAAAACTAAAATTAAATTTTGGATGATTATATGATTTGATAATTTTAAATATATAAATAGTAAAATCTTATCCTTAACCATTACAAGGTATACCTATATTGCACTTTAATGACAAAGAAGTTATAATAGCATGTCGGATATTATAAAATTAAATTATAAACCTCCTTCAAAATTTGTGATAATAGAGGATTACAAGGTGGTAATTTTCCAATTTGTTTTTAAAAACATTTATTTAGCAAGATTTAAAAAATAATAAAACAGCAAAATAATTTAAAAAGGTTAACCCGTTTTATCGGCACTTTAACCGATTTCTACCCCTTAGTAATACCATTATTTCCCTATCTCAGGAGTCCTTTGGATCTATGGCCAGGCCCTGGACGGCTCGGCGGATGTGATGAACCAGTTCAAGGCCATGGGCAAGTCAATTTACTTCTGCACAAACAACTCGACGAAGACCCGGTCGGAGCTGCTGAAGAAGGGCGTGGAGCTGGGCTTTCACATCAAGGAGAACGGCATTATTTCGACGGCCCATGCCACAGCGGCGTATCTGAAGCGCCGCAACTTCAGCAAGCGGGTGTTCGTGATCGGGAGCGAGGGAATCACCAAGGAGCTGGACGCCGTGGGCATTCGGCACACGGAGGTGGGCCCCGAGCCCATGCGGGGATCGCTGGCCGAGTTCATGGCGGAGCATTTAACCCTGGACACGGACATTGGGGCCGTGGTCGTGGGCTTCGATGAGCACTTCAGCTTCCCCAAGATGATGAAGGCCGCCTCGTACCTGAACGATCCGGAGTGCCTGTTCGTGGCCACCAATACGGATGAGCGTTTCCCCATGCCCAATATGATAGTGCCCGGCAGCGGCAGTTTCGTGCGGGCCATCGAAACCTGTGCGGAACGGCAGCCGACGGTGATTGGGAAGCCCAATCCGGCCATTTGCGAATCTCTGGTGAGAGAGAAGAAGATCGATCCTTCGCGGACTCTGATGATCGGGGATCGCGCCAACACGGACATCCTGCTGGGCTACAATTGCGGATTCCAGACCCTGCTCGTCGGCTCCGGAATCCACCAGCTGAAGGACGTGGAGCAGTGGAAGAAGAGCAAGGATCCCGAGGACAAGAAGCTCATACCAGACGTGTACCTGCCCAAGCTGGGGGATCTGCTGCCAGCGATTGTGGACGCCCTGGTGGGCTCGAAGTGATCGGGATCTGGTTCTGGATCTGGATAGCCCATCATTAATCAGTATGTAGTACGGACATGTGTTTGTATTCCAGTTACATTCACCGGCAATAGACAGGACAAATTATAAATACCTAAAGAAAATTTATAGTACAATTTATACCACAGAACAAAATATTTAAATAAATTCAGAAGCATTTTGTCAGACGGACGACTTAGTCAATATGCCCGGCTGTTTGTCTTTCTGAGCGAGCTTTGCGCCAAAGCGAGATAGCAGGTTCTCTCCAATCATCGTGAATTGGAATAGCCAGTCCGTCGCCGATTTAGTCGAGTCGCAAACTTTTGGCGGAGCGGTCTACGGAGCAGAATGTCCAGAGGCGGTGCTATCAACTTGACGGACCTAACCGAGGGGCAGGTGAGCGAGTGGCTCCAAAGTTTCGACACGGTTCTCTGCGACGGCGACGGTGAGTTTGAAGGGCGGCAAAGGTGCCAAAAAGAGCGTGCTTACAAATCTGGAGCTTTTGCCAGAGTTGTCATTTCACCGGAAAACTAAAGCCAATATCGGTGGTGGTTTAAATGGGGCAGGGAAAAGCTCATGCGATCACGGTTAGAGTAATATTACAAAAGAAAGTAAAATAAAATAAGATGATATCGGTGAGGGGAAAGCAGGATTATGTTATTCATAACACTGTGCAGCATTTTTAGTGCTTTTTAAATTTACCTCGATGAATGCTATATTTTTGGAAAAGATCAATTACAACAACAAACTTTTAAATACACAGGGCGGCAACACTACTACCATTTTGACCGCATCTGTATACTTTTATGTTTTTTGACTATGTTTTCTAGAATTTGTTTCTGCCTTAAAAAAAATCTTTAAAATTTTTTAGGTATGGGGTTTAAAAGATAAAGGGTGTATCTTTTAAAAAACTTTAACATCGAATCAAATTATGCATCCATTTGCCTCTGAGAGCTCCGCAAAGTTGGTCAATTTCAGCATTTTTCGAACTTTGAGGTCCTTTTGCTAAGAATCCTTGCGTCGGGGAACTCTTTGGAAAACGCAGTTTAACTTGGAAATTCGTAACGAATCCAAAAATATAGCATTCATCGAGGTTAATTTTTGATGCTGCATAGTGTAATCAATACCTAAATTGGAACGTGTTTTGTTTATAAATGTTACTTTTTTATTAATACTTGCAAAATGAAGGTAGTTTCCGCACTTCCAATATTCTGTAACTTATCAGGCCTGTAAGTATGTTTAAAATTATGTTAGTATAAAACAACCCAAGCACAACTAAACTAATACGATTTAAATATTGTACTTACAACAAAATTAAAATAAATAACCGATTAATGAAATAAATCAAACCTAATCATAGGTATAATTTTTCGAAAAATTAGGCAAATTAAGGTAGTTTTAATTGAACGTGGAAATTAAAATTCAGTTCTAAAAATTATTAGCATGATAAGTTTAGAATAAACTTTAAAATTTAAACTCTGAATTTCCGTACATTTTCAAGGTTTAATTTAACATGTCAACGAGAATTCAACTCAAGTATCTAAAGTATTTGTATTAGGAAAATTCCAATTTCACGTAATTTAACAAGTATTTAAGTTTTCTTAAGATAAGATTTAATTTCGAACTGCTTAGAGGGCAGACCGAATTAAATATGCATTTGTCGCCCAGGCACCATTTGGCAGGATGACACGGCCATCGAGGGGGCTCCGGATGTGCTGAATGCCCTGCAGCAGCGATGGGGCAAAAAAGTGTACCTGATTACCAACAATGGCCTGAAGACGCGCCAGGAGCTCTATGAGCGCTCCCAGCGCCTGGGATTCCACTTACCCAGCGACCGGCACATCATATCGCCCACGGCGGCCATTGCCGACTATCTGGTTGGGAGTCCGGAGTTCGATAGGACCCGGCACAAGGTCTATGTGGTGGGCAATGCGGCCATCGCGCGGGAATTAAGGCAGCACGGAATCGACAGCTACGGAGCCGGCGGAACGGAGGAACTGGCTCCGGGCGACAAGTGGCCGGACTTTGCGGCTCGCGAATTCGGAGGCCCGGAGGCGGCCAAGGACGTGGGTGCCGTGGTGGTCGGTTGGGATGAGTACTTCAGCTACTGCAAGATGGCCCGCGCCTGTCACATCCTGTGCAGCAATCCGAGCGCCGCTTTCCTTGTCACCAACCGGGATGCCGTGCACAAGTATCCCGCCTTCTGTATCCCCGGCACCGGCGCCTTTGTGGCCGGCATTGAGGCCTGTTCCGAGCGGGAAGCCCTCGAGATGGGCAAGCCGAATCCCTTGGTCCTTGAGCCCCTCACCAAGGCCGGGGATTTGCGGCCAGAACGAACGCTTATGATTGGTGACTGGTAAGCGGGATTAACACATCCTTTGCGGGCACTTCTAATGAGTTTCTTTCGTAGCCTCAAAATAGATGTCGGCTTCGCCAGCAATTGTGGCATGCTATCGCTTCTGGTGGGCACCGGTCGATACGATAATCTCTCCGATGTCCGGCGGGAAAAGGGCAAGCTGGCCCAGCCAGACCTTTATCTGCCCCGACTGGCCGATCTACTGAGCTATTTGTGATGATAATATGACATATCCCTCCGACACCCGATTCCCAGGCAGCTATCAACCCGTTATCAACTTCTTAATTCGACTTTTATTTGGCTTTAGTTCGTGTGCTTACACATAGTTGTACATATTTCATCTGCCGGCAAGTAACACTCTCTGCTGGATATTTTCGTTATATATAAGAGTGGGTGAAAAATTGCGGAGCCGGAAATTTACCCATGAACAATACTATTATAAACCATACAATTTATATTATGAACTTAGTTCGGACTTCGTTGAAAGAACCAATAAAAATTATAATTTGAACAAACTAATTTTCACTAACCATTTGTATGTTTATTTCGGGATCCGATTTCCTATCGCCGCTCCTGAATAAATTTCTGGCCCAAGAACTTTTCTTTGAATTAACAATATAGGCTGAGTGACTTATTAAAATACTTGCTTATCCTCTATTACTTGCCGGGACAGAAAAGCAGAGACGGCAATTTCCTAAAATGTTTCCCTATTCCTTGGTGATCCCATGTAAAAGCTTTAATTAGCGGTGAACTAAACAAATTCCTCAACTAAGTGCAAATTCCTTGTGCGGTGACGTTTAAATCAACATTAACCCTTTAAAGCGAAACTAATTAACTTAGTGGTTAGCTGTACAAAAAATTTACAGGACACCCCAGGCATTCAACGACTAATGGTCAAAATAATGCAAGCAAGTATCACAGAAGATCTAGTTATTTAGTTTAAGGAATAAGATGATTTTTGAGAAAAAGCGAAATCATGTTTTTGAAATTTTCCTCACATTTATATTTTGATCGTTCGTCATTACCGAGGGTGTCCGATTAGCAAGTCCTCTGATATGTTAGAGTTGAGTTCTGTTTTCTGTACTTTAGCAATTTAGCGCAAAAAGAAATCCCATAAAGCGTGTTCACGTTTGGTAGCAAATCAGAATAAGAGCGTAACTGAATCTGAAAAGTTAAACCCATCCCCTGCTTTTCCCGATCCCCCAATCGATTTTCCCCCCACGCGTTTGTTGTCTGTTCGCTGCCGGCGATCGCTTATTGATTTCTTCGAGGACCCCGTCTAAATTGCTAAAAGGTAACATCAGGTGCTCGCATCCGGCGTGTTGGCCAAGATCCGGGAGCTCCGCGACAAGTAGCCGTACCAGTAGAACACGTTGATCAGGATGAAGAGCAGCGGGAAGACGATCCGCGAGGCGCGATCGATCTTCGACACGGAGTTGTACTGCGGGGTTCGTTTGCCCTTCCTCCGAGCCTCCATCTCCTCGCGTCGGTAGTAGGACATCCTGCGGCGACCACCTCCTCCGCTGGAAGGACTAATCCGAGCCGCCTGTGCAGCAGCCTGTGCCGCTGCAGCTGCCGCCGATGTGCTCGGTGCCTCGTTGGCCCTCAGCTGCGTCTGCTCGTCGTCCTCCTCCTCATCGGAGTCGCCGCGGGACGGCTTTCTTCGGCGCCGCCAGTCGAAGAGACCCAGGAGCTTCATGCTCCACAGACCGTGTCGCCTGTTCCGCGGTCCCCGACTCCTGGAGGTGAGCATGCCCAGTCGATTGGGCGGCGGCGGCATGCTGATGGCGCACATCGAGAGCGGAATGACCTCGTAGATCTTGGACTCGGTGCTGCCCCTGTAATCGGAGGTCAGTGGCTCCGTCTCCGACTCACCGGAATCCGAGTCCAGCTCCTCGATAATGAAGTAGCACTCCCCCGAGCCGTACTTGGTGTAGTAGTGCACCACTGCGAACTGCAGGATGGTGGCGAAGATGAAGCCGAACGAGAGGAACACGAAGAAGTCCAGCGCCGTGGGATAGGAAACCTTGGGCAGATCCGTGCGAGCCTCCAGCCCGAGGAAGGTCATCGTCAGCACGGTGGTGATGCCGAGCGAAACCCGATCGGCGGTAGCCTCGCGGTTCAGCCAGAAGGACACCCAGCTGAGGACCACCAGCAGGCAGCACGGACCGTACACCTGGATCAGGAAGTTGCCCATGTGGCGCTGCAGGTGGAAGTTCACCATCAGCATCGAGTATTCGGCTAAAAAAAAGATAAATGATTTTTAAATAAAATATTCATAAGTCTAAAGATCACACAAAAAAAAGCATGTTCCCGTAAAATCGATATGGCCATGTAAATTTCAGGTCAGTTTTACATGAAATACTCTTTTATTTTGATCTTAAATAATGTAAAATCGATATAATATTTGCACATCACTTACATGGATGATTGGTCTCCAGGGTAATGGTGCCACTCAATCCGGTTGTGGACCCCGCTCCTCCGGTTGCATCTCGTCCTGTGCCAAAGGCACCTTTGTCCAGTTTGAGTCCTGTGCCGCGGACATGCTGATTCTTTGCCGCCGGACCGGCGAAAGTGGTCAGCACCTTGCTGGTGGGTCGCGGTGGGTCCTTGTTGCTGAACGGCCGACGTTGCGGCCGTGGAGCCGCCGCCTTGTACACAATGTCCGTTAAATTCCCAGCCGGACAATCGACCAAATCGAATTGGGACAGCTTCATGTCCTCGGCGATGGCGACTGGGGGTCGCTCTTTGTTCCAGCGGTAGATGACATCGGACGTGGTGTAGCCAACTGTTTCGATTGTTATTTGATTTTAGATAAATGCAACTATTTTTGGACGAATGGCAGTTGAATGGGTTGAATGTGGAACTCAGAGGTGTATTTTTGGGCTGGGTGTTGGAATCGATTAAAGTTTTCCTTTAGTAAAACTAAAGCTAAGAATACCCTTACAAAATACAGGTGTTCATTGTCCGATTTAAATCATTCTTATTATTAAATAAGTACATATATGGAAATATCAGAATGTATTTTGAAAAGACAAAGAATATAGCTAACTATATTAGTGATATTTGTAAAAAATATTTAAACAAGAGAGAACGCTATAGTCGGGTGCCCCGACTATCAGATACCCGTTACTCAGCTAAAGGGAGAGCGAAGGAGATGAAGATAAAAACTTTGATCCGCCGTAACTTTTTAACGAATGGTCCGATTTAAAAAATTTCTTCTACATTTCGATAGGTATTGATAACCACAATAAAACTGCATTTTTACTTTTCCAAAATATTGAAATTTTTAAAATCGTATATAAGCGATTGTGGGCGTTAGAGGGGGCGTGGCACCCTTTTGAAACAAACTTGCGCTGCGTAGGAACTCCTAGAATCTGCATGCAAAATGTCAATCCTCTAGCTTTTATAGTTTCCGAGATCTCAGCGTTCATACAGACAGACAGACGGACAGACAGACGGACAGACGGACAGACGGACAGACGGACAGACGGACATGGCTAGATCGACTCGGCTAGTGATCCTGATCAAGAATATATATAGTTTATAGGGTCGGAAACGCTTCCTTCTACCTGTTACATACTTTTGCACGAATCTAATATACCCTTTTACTCTACGAGTAACGGGTATAAAAATTGCATTGCCGTTTATTGAGTAATTTCAGCTCCAATCAGTTTAATTTAATTTATATATGTATATGGAAAAATTAATTCAGCTTTAATGATTTCTTAAAGTCAGCTATACTTTTATACCATTTATAAGTAGTAGTTTGAAAGGATAAATATTTGCCTACACTATCCATTCATCCAATCATTTACGAAACCTGTCTCTCTAACCTATCCCCACCCCAATTCTTGCCTTTCAATCACTACCTCACGTGTGCTCAGTTATTTTATTTTGATGCTGCTGCTGGTGGCTGCTCCAAAATGCACAAATTGCCAAACATTGCGCCATATGTGGGAATAGGTTTACCTACCACCCAAATCCGCATGCCCCGTCCTTCGAACCATCGCCCGAATCTGCTCCTTCTTTCTGTTTGGCAATCGCTGACTTTGGCAATATTTTCAGTGCGCTCGCATCAAATGGGAAATTGTCAACATTAAGCGGCAGGCAGTGTACATATGGGGGAGTTGGGGACTAGATAGAGGGGTAATTGAATTCCCGACTGCCTCCAACCAGCATTATTCACAACAAATCGGAAGTAATAATACATTTCTAGCTTGGGTGGCGGCTTGTTCATTTGCGATAAGCTGCAAAGGCAGTTAGTGGGTTTCAGAGAAATGGAGGCAGACACCTTTCCAATCATCAAAAAATGTTTCCAAATATTACACCAGTACCTTTTGCGTTCATTTATCTTGCATACTTTCTGTTTTGCATTTGAATAGGCGGAAATGTGATGCAAATTCATCAAATGACCGGAGGTGTACATTTTTTTGTAGACGGAAAATAATAGAAATGTTATGGGCAGAACAAGGGAGGTGAGTTTTTTGGAATATGCTAATTAAATACGATTCTAGCAGAGATGCTCAGAAAATAATATATACTAAATCTGTCCAATTTAATTAATTTTATCTCGTGAAGATAATTTTTATAAACCAATCTTTTTCTATTTGATTCAATTATTTATATTAAGGGTTAGTATCCTATTTAGGTTAATGGTAAAAAAATATATTTATTAGGTATTGGTTTCCTTTTAAAATTAACCGCATTCAATATTCTGATGAGATAAAATACCATTTCTAAATTTTGAACCTGTATAAGTATTCTCTAACTCATGGTGCAAATGCAGACTCTGCCTCACCATAATTAAATAATGTTTTTAAAAAAATAAGAGACAATAGGTCTAGCAAAAAAGCGAAAATTCCAATTTTGTTCAAACAGTTGAATTAATCCAACAAACCAGTCTGAAAGCAATGCAAATGAAACAAAGGCAGTAGATTGGCCCAAAAGTAACAACTGTATTTGCATTGCACCTAATGCTTCTACAGCTTCAATGCGACTATAAATAACCATCCATTTGGTCCATTGACATCAGTTCCCAGATCTACTGAACCCGAAACACCTTTCGCAATGCGCTCCCTCCTGACTCTTTACCTGGTCGTCCTGGTCGCGCTGATCCTCCGGAGCAGCCGGGTCTCCTCCGCCTCGACCACCGCTACCACCAGTGCTTCTGCCGCAACCACTTCTACGACCACCACCTCCACCACCACCACCTCCGCCGCTGCCACCACCACGGCCGCCTCCTCCGCCGCTTCTTCCGCCTCCGCCACCACAGTTGCCTCTGGCACGAAGAAGAAGCAGCGACGCCGACGTGTCATAGTCAGGCGCGTGGTCATCCGACGTGGAGGAGTTCGGCGCCGAAGGCACCGAGATACTCAGTCTGGAGGCCGCCACCGTCGTGTCGTCGAACGAGTTCACAGGACGGTCAATTGAAACTCCTAACATAAAATACTTAGTTGTGCGATGCTTGGATCCGACTGATCTCAACTATCCCGAAAAAGTTTTTTGATTCAGAATAAATCACTATCGAACATAAACTGACTGGCTTCTTGAAATTGATCAACCTAAACCCGTTTTGGGTTTTAAGTACATTAATGCACAAAACCAACCGTCTTTGGTGGGAAGAGATTTATGTGACACTTTTCGCACTGCCTTTTTAACATTTTAAAAAATTTGTGCCTTTGACGCTCAACCCGTTGATCAGAGAAGATTAAAGTGGAAAGGAAAACGAGATCTGTAGAATGTTTAAGAAAGCCTAGGTTTTAGGATTTTCGGATTACTCGAATAAACGTGTGACTGAAAAATAAATATAAAATATTAAACAGCAAAATAAAATACCCTAAAACTTGTGGAAGTTAAAATGGGCGTGGCAACGTTTTTAAGTCATTCAATAGGTATTGACGAATAAAAGCCTCTTAGAAGTCCCTAGAATCTGCATTCCAACTCCCAACATTTATAGTGTCCAAGATCTTAGCGTTCATACGTACAGACATACACACAAAGATGTTACATACTTTTCAACGAATTCAACATAACCATTAAGTTCTCTAGTCACAATAATAAAAAGTAATTGTTTTCCAATCCTAATTATTTCATAACTCACATTTTCTTGTGAAGAAAATAAACCAAAAAAAAATATAAACAAGAATGAAAGTTGTACGTACAATAAAGAACGCCAATATTTGGGTTTGCGTAGAAGTCAAAATTCCAATTACGTCTAAACTGGTGTAAACAGACTTAACAAAGCACTGTAAATACTCGAAGGTACTGTAACTAGAACAAAAAACATAGATATTCCCAGGGAACACATCTGTGTTTGCTTGAAACATAACACTTCCCAATGGCACTATAAATATCCATCCGTTTGGTACATTGACATTAGTTCCCGATCCACCACTAAGAACACCATCGCAATGCGCTCCCTCCTGGCACTTTCCCTGGTCGTCCTGGCCATGCTGATCCTCCAGAGCAGCCAGGTCTCCTCCGCCTCGTCCACGACCTCCACGGAGGCCTCAACCACCACCTCTGCCGCCACCACCACCACAGATGCTTCCACCACCACCACCACAGATTCCTCCTCCACGACCACCACAACCGCCACTAAAAAGAAGAAGCACAGACGCCGACGTGTCATAATCAGACGTGTCGTGATCCGCCGGGACGGAGGAACCCGCCACCGGAGGGCAGGACAAACTGGGACCGGAGTCAACCGACGACGGGTCGTCGTGCGAGTTCGCAGGACCGCCAACTAAAAATCGAAGTTTAAGTAACTAAGTCATAATTCGCTTTTGATATAAATAAATTGAACAATAATTTGTCACAGTCCAAAAACCTTTTCTTTTCTTGTGGCATAAATATATTTTTTTTAATTATGTTTATAAATTATGAGAGGGTTTTTCTCTAGATCAGGATCACTAGCCGAGTGGATCTACCCCGGTTTGTCAGAAACTATAAAAGTACACCCAAAAAAAAAGGTCGAAAAAAATCAAGAACATTTTTCTTGATTTGCGAACAATCCGTTCTCCTTTTTTTGTTCTCACATTTTGAACGTTTGTTCTCAAATCTTCCTAATTCAACACCAATTTGTTCTAAAAGTGACCCCATTCGTTCAAAGCATGCCAATATTTCGGTCAAATTTTATGACCAAGCGTTCATGAACTGACAACAAACGGGCTTACGCACTTTTTGACCCCGTTTGGGCTTGATTTTTTAACGTTTCGAACGGATTTTTTTCTGGGTGTAAGAGTACTGGCATTAGCTTGCAGATTCTTGGGGTCCCTAGGCAGCTCAACTTTATTTCAACCAGGTGCCACGCCTCCTCTAACGCCCACAAGCCGTGAACAACAGTGGCACCCGCAGTTTTGGTGCTAGAATCAAATTTTAAACTGAAGTGTATTTGCTTCGTCCATATCTATTGATTGGCCCGCGTCCACTCTAACGCCTTTAGCGCTACAACTTTGCTTTGCATGGCAAATGGTACGAATAAAATTGTTCAATCTAAGGAAACTTTGTAAAAAATCTCATCAAATGTAAATAAATGAAATTCTGATTAGTTAGTTTCGTGCGATTATAAACATTTTTCAACACATTCCAATACGTATATTTTTAAAAATTATGTGTGAATCTTGTACTCAAACTCGAAGTGATGAACAGTGTACCTATTTCTATGGACGCTTTTGCGTAATAGTAGGGATTATTTTCTTGGCCATTTCGTCCGTGAGTCTTATTTTTGTGATCTTGATGCTTGTTGCAGTCAGCAAAAACCCTTCTATTGATCGTTATGAAAGTGCTCGTTATGGAGGTACTGATCGTTATGGAGATCGTTATGATCGTTATGATCGTTATGATCGTTATTCAAGTGCATCTGCTACGGTCACGCTTACCTATTATCTGTTTATTGAGATTGTAAGTAGTTTGTCGTGCATTTCATATATTATCGCTGGAGTTCTTATAAAGAAGGGAATGCAAAAGGAAAGTGATCATATTTTTAATATAAACCCCATTTTAACTAATCTATGCATTGCTTTTTTTTATGTTTGCTTTTCTCTAAATATAGAACACAAGCGGAATGTTACGATGCGGAAAGTGTCTGGCCTATTTTTTTCCAATATGTCACTTCGGCATAATTTTCCCATTAGGTAAGTAAGTGAAGTAGTCTTTTCTAAGGACAAACACTTTGTAACCTAGTGTACAAATTTCCCAGAATCCAGCTTAATATCCATTTGTAAAATGTCAAAATGTTAGTATAGGGGTACGATTTTTGATCTAGCTATGTCCGCCTGTCGGTATATCAGGCTTAGATTCAGATTCCGTAGCTTCACATTCGGCGCAAGTTTGTTATCCAAATGTGCCAAAATTGCCTACAAAGGTTTAGTGAAAGTGTAAATGAGATTTTGTTTTACAATTTTATATCTACCTTCCCATTCAAAATTTTTGTTTACCATTTACTAAAAAGTTATACGCAAAAAATAAAAAAAACAGAATCATTATTATTTCGATTATTTCGGTTCGTTCCTAAATATTGTAGAGTAATATCGCCTCATAATAAACCAAATGGATTAAGTCGGCTTGTGTTAAAAATGTGCCAAAGATTCCAAAATATTACGAGCAATTTTCGAACATTATTAGCTAAATTTCAAATCGTTATAAAAATTGATTAATTGAAAATGTATGTTTGAAATAACTAACTAGGTAAAACACTTTTTAATATGTATTTTACTTAGTTATTCACGTCCTTTGTGTAATCCGAATTTGCCAGTATATCGACTCACGCTGGAAAAAATAAGAGCAACATATAGTTTTCAAATTCATTTTCTTAATCAGGTTAATGACTAACTTAATGTGAGTATTATCGCAAATTTCTTAAGTTTGCTCTAATGACTAATTTTTGGTTGTCCACAGTTAAGTTCCTAATCTGGATTTGTTTAAGGCAGTTGAGTTGTGCGATACGCTACGGAAGCAAGAATATAACAAGCTCTGCCTACATACTGGTTTCCTAAATGTGCCCACAGCTTTATTTAAATGTTTGCCGCCAGAATGGAGTTTTCCGTTTTCATAAGAGTTGAACTTTTCCAAACCAACATTTTATTTTTTAAAAATCAGAGTAGATTTCGTTAGAAGAAGCCAAATTATGCATTTCTGGCAAGCCCCTCAAGAAATTTGTTTTAAGCACCTTTGCTAATCATCATGCAAGGAAAAGCCAATTTAAGATCAAGAAAATTGTCTTGAAATATGATAAGGTCGCTTCTTGTAACTAATTTAATTTTCTTTAAGAGCTAAATTTAGGAAAGAATTATATCAACCACAACAGAGATGTTTGAGCGTATAAATAAGAACCGCGTACATTAGGATTTGCGTAAAAGTCAAAATACCAATTACGTCTAAACTGGTGTAAACAGACTTAACAAAGCACTGTAAACACTGGAAAGTACTGTAACTAGAACAAAAACCATAGATATTCCCAGGAAACACATCTGTGTTTGCATGGAACCTAACACTTCCCAATGGCACTATAAATATCCATCCATTTGGTACATTGACATTAGTTCCCGATCCACCACTAAGAAAACCACCGCAATGCGCTCCCTCCTGGCTCTTTCCCTGGTCGTCCTGGCCATGCTGATCCTCCAGAGCAGCCAGGTCTCCTCCGCCTCGTCCACGACCTCCACGGAGGCCTCAACCACCACCTCTGCCGCCACCACCACCACAGATGCTTCCACCACCACCACCACAGATTCCTCCTCCACGACCACCACAACCGCCACTAAAAAGAAGAAGCACAGACGTCGGCGTGTCATAATCAGACGCGTGGTCATCCGCCGGGACGGAGGAACCCGCCGCCGGAGGGCAGGACAAAATGGGACCGGAGTCAACCGACGACGGGTCGTCGTACGAGTTCGCAGGACGGCCAACTAAATAACAGCAATAGTTTGTCATAATCTAAAACCTTTTTTCCAATTTACGACCTTTTCTTATGTCATAAATAAAATAGAAAGTTTTATTTTATTTTGTTTATAAATGAAGAGTGTGTCAGAATCACTATCCGAGTGGATCTAGCCATGACCGGTTGTCAGAAACTATAAAAGTAAGACTACTGGCAATAAGCTTGCAGATTCTTGGGGTCCCTATGCAGCGCAAGTTTGTTTCATCTAGGTGCCATGCCTCCTCTGGCGCCCAGAGTTTTGATGCTAAAATAAAACTTTGAAATGAAGTGTGTTTGCTTCGTCCATATCTATTGATTGACCTGCGTCCACGCTACAACTTTGCTTTGCATGGCAGGTGGTACGAATAAAATTGTTCAATCTAAGGAAACTTTGCAAAGAAGCTCGTCAAATTAAAAAAAAAGTAAATTCTGATTAGTTAGTTTCGTGCGAGTATAAACATTTTCCAACTCATTCCAATTCATATATTTCTAAAAATCATGTGTGAATCATGTACTCAAACTCGAAATGCTGAACAGTGTACCTATTTCTATGCACAATTTTGCATATGGGTAGGGTTTATTTTCACGGGCTTTTCGATCGGGAGTGCTATCGGGATTCTTAATGCAGTCAGCGAAACTTCTTATGTAGGTGTACCTTTGTTGTACACGTTTTTAACGATTGTGTGCATTTTAGATAGTTTGGTGAGCATTTCATATATTATCGCTGGAGTTCTTATAAAGATGGGAATGCAAAAGGAAAGTGATAATTATTTTTAATATAAACCTCATTTTAACTAATCTATGTATGTTTGTTCTTCTCTAAATATAGAACACAAGCGGAATGCTACAATGCGGAAAGTGTCTGAGCTACATTCTTCCAATAATTAATTTCGGCTTAATTTTCCCATTAGGTAAGTAAATAAAGTCGTATTTTCTAAGGACAAACACATTGGGACCTAGTGCACTGGACTTTCGCATGCTACATTATACACTAAAAATAATATACAACTTTTGCCAAAACCATCTTGAAAGTGGAAATTAATTTCCCAGAATCCAACTTAATATCCATTTGTAAAATGTCCGACTATGTCGGTGAGTCAGGTTTATATTCAGATTCCTTAGCTTCTCATTTGGCGTAATTTTGTTATCTAAATGTGCCACGCCCACTCTATCTACCAGTGGCGGATCTACGATTTTGTTGTGGGTGGTGATATCAGAGCAATTTTTTTGTTGCATCCTTTTTGTGGGGGAAAATTACCTATATAACCCCGTGGATCCGCGCATGCTTCTACCCTTCCAAAGTTTTCATGTACCATTTACTAAAAAGTTATAAGCTCTGGATATAGTTATATGATATAGTTATCCGATTCGGTTCGTTCCTTACCATTCCTTAATAGAAAGGACACTTTTGTAAAAGTTATATCGCCTATGCAATAATAAAACAAATGGTTAAAGTCGGTTAGTTTTAAAAATGTGCCAAAGATGCCAAAATTTTTTTAACAATATTATTTTAAATTTTAAATTCTTATAAAAATCGTAAAAATAAATTCATTAAAAATGTATGTTTGAAAAGCTAAAACACTATTTTAATTTTTTTTTAAGTTATTCACATAATTAGTGTAGTCCAAATTTGCGAGTATATCGAATCACGCTGGAAAAAATGAGAGCAACATATAGTTTTCAAATTCAAGTTTTAATCATGACTTACTCAATGTGAGTATTACACTAATTTCTAAAGTTTGCTTAAACTAATACTTTTTGGTTGTCCACAGAATAGTTCCCAATCTGGATTTGTTTAAGGCAGTTGAGTTGTGCGATATGCTATGGAATGAAGAATATAACAAGTTCGCACTACATACTGGTGTCCTAAATGTGCCCACAGCTCTATACAAATGTTTGCCGCCGGAATGGAGTTTCCCGTTTCCATAAAAGTTGAACTTTTCCAAACCATCATTATATTTTTAAAAAATCTGAGTAGATTTCGTTAGAGGAAGCCAAAATTACGCATTTCTGACAAGCCATTCAAAAAATTTGTTTTATGCACCTTTGATTATTCATCATGCTGGGAAAAGAATCATGCAAGAAAATTGTCTTGAAATATGATAAAAGCGAGCCAAAAACGGTGTGTCTATAATCAAAGTAATTACTGAGTGCGACGGACCAATTTACATTTTACTACGCTACAAATGTCTCTTAAAAGCCTACTCTAAATTTGGAATATTTAGGCCCCTCTCTATAACAAGAATTCTTGATCATGAATCTTTTAAGTAGGAATCCCTCATCGCCGATTCGAGTATACAAAAGGATACGAAGCTACCGAGTCGTTCGTTTGGCATGAAGGACTTTTATACAAATCTAGACGGACCGCACATTTTCTGTACTCGTGGGCAGCGCACCCTCACCAAGTCCCAAACACCCCAAACATGCCGGCGCAACTCAAGGATGCGTCCTGAGGCCATTACCTTACTCTATTTTCACCTCGGACCCACCCAAGTTTAATAGGCGGCTACTTGCACGGTGGCGACATGCGCTAAATGCAATGCATGTACGAATTTACGGACCAATTACAAGAATACTTACATACTTTAAACAATGGGCTCAAAAGAGGCGCATGCGAGTCAACACGGACAAAAGCGCCACACTTTTGCATACAAACTACTTGAGCTGCAGCAGGTGCATTGTAATGCAAGAGTATTTCTTAATGACACATTACTCCCCATTTCAACTTACACTGCCCAGAAGACTCGCTTTCAACTCATTACAGACTCCTTATGGTCACATGACCTAGCATCACGCTCTATATGCCAACAATTATTCCAGAAAACAAGTATTATTTAAATAGTGCACGTTCTTAAAGCTAGTGTTAAAGTATTTTGATAAAAAATAAAACGATTACAATAGGATGGACTTATAGTGTCAGTTAAAATAAAACCTTATCTCCTCTACTTTAAGAAACAAAAGTGAAAATAGTTTTGCACACAGATTTGAAAATTCAGCACAATAAAAATAGAAAATAGAAAACTCTAGCCTGTCCAACCACATTAGGATATCCCATTAAACCATTACCTCATCTAATCCGCTTCCAGCATTCAGACGCATGGAACCACTTGAATATTTCCGGCCCTTGTGCCATTTCTTTCTTTCTTTCATTTCCATTTCCCCTTCAATTCAAAACACATATCACTTCACATTTCTTGTCGCCAACGAGCGATTCCTCGAATCCAATCCCATCCCATCGCATCATCCCATCACAACCCATCCAATGTCATGGCATTCAGCATCAGCATGAGATGAGCATAATCCCCACCCCAGATTCTTTGTCCTTCGGACCCAACAAGTGGACATTTTGACGACACGAGGAGAACAGAACAAATCACATCAAAGCGCAATGAGCAGCCATTATGCATAATTATACTGCAGCGCCGAGTTCCACATGCCACTTGGCATTCTTTCGAAATTCCTTCGTACTACTCACATGAACCGAATTTCAGGGGACACTTTTGTATATCCATGGGAAAGTCGGCGAGATTCATCGGGCAGCCGGCTTTAATTGTCAGACGGCTGGAGTACAGAACGCGTCCGTTCTGATAGATCCTCACAAACTTATTCGGCGTGGTAATCGTGTGCAAATAGCTCTGCTTGCCGTTGTAAAAGTACGTATCCGGCTTCCAAATCCGGGCCAACATCGAGACGCTCAGTGCCAGCGTATCCTGGGCCCCCTCGAATGCGAGACGTTTATCCACCCAGGATTGCCGAAAATAACAGTCCATCGAGTAGGTCTGCGAAGGAGGCAAAGACAGAGTCTGAATCAGAGTCGCAGAAAAGTAAGGAAGTCAGACAGCCGATGGCATTGCAAATTGAATTGTGAAGGAGCCCATGTATGGGGGCCTATAAGAAAAGCACTTTGAAACCTGATAAAATAAAATGTGCTATTTATAAGTAATTTAAATCAAAGTATTATTTTCTAATTAGAATAACTGATTATTTTAAAAATTTACAAATAAATTTAATATAAAAAAAAATGTATCTTGTATTACTTTAATTATAAAATGTTATGGAAAAATTGTAAAATTATTATGGATGAATTAGTCGAGTATTCTGGGTGCAAACTTTTTATTTTACATACCATGTCGACCTCTGATATTGGTCCCATGCTGCGAACCATTATATCCACTTCCACTGTTGCTGGAGGTCCTGAAACAGTTTTAATTAAATAATAAACATTTAATAAATTATATTATATTGTACAAATATTTTATTAATTGGTTTTTGTTTATTGGGTCAATTATAAACCTTCAAATGGCTTGAAATGTTTCTAACAATTGGCTTCCTTTAAAGATCAAGCTTTTCAATCCCCAGCCTAGTTTAGTTATGGAAAATGGGATTTCTCTCGACTGAAGGCCACCCAATCCAACTATATAATCCCCGTACTCTCACCGTATCGGTTTTGTTCAACTATGAATATTCATATGCGAGTCGCAGGCCCTAAATGAAAATGTTAAATGCTCCTCTGTGTGAACAATGACACTTAAGCCGCTTCGCAGACGGTCCCAGACCCACTGAATCTGTTACCATCCCCGCCGACACCCATTTTTATCTAGCTTTTCTGCACTAATATGCAATTTTTCAGGCCCTAGACTCGCCCCCCCTCGCGCTCCCGAGGCCCCCGGGAATTTTTTGTATTTTGCCTATGCGAACAGTTTTTAATGACTTTGCTGCTGAGCTCGCTCGGCAAACATGCGTCGCGCTCGCAGGATGCTCGCAGGATGTGCATTGCCACGTATCCTTTGAATCCTCTCCAGCTGGCGCCACACGACGAGGCGGGCCATTCTTAATGAAGTGTTAAAAACAATGTAATTTGGTCTTAAGCCGTCGGTCGAATACAATTTTCGCCACGTTAACCAAAATCCATCCCCCAGTTGAGTGGATGGCATTTTAAATTTCGAAAATATTTAAATTTTTATTGCTTCGGCCATTTGCAAGATTGAAAACGAATCGAATTGCTTATCCATTTCGGGCCGTACTCCCCCGGGGGGAAATCCTTGGGAGCCTCGGAAAACGCAATAAAATTTGTTTGTATGTAGGTAAATATTTGTCGGTTTTGACACTAACTATTTACCCAATAAGCTGCGAGGCAATCATCAGGGGAGGCTTCATCACCTTGGTGCCGTTTGTGAGTGATGTGTCGCCTCGCAGCGATTTCCACTTCATTAAATGCTTCCGTTGAGCGGAAAATCTGCGAATCCATGCTGATTACACCCGGGAAGGGGACAGAGTCAAAAAGGGTAAACATCGTAAGATTTGACGCAGACAGAACGAATTTGGGGTGTATAGGCCGGGTAGCCTGCTCTGGAATCCCTATCATGGTTCGTTTAGTAGGCCTAATAGAAACAACTTTGTGTAGAGCAGTAATATTAATGTTTTTTAGCTAATAAAAATACTTGTATTATAAATATCGAGATTGATTTATATTAACATTTATGTTTAAAAAGATTTAAATAATTCTGTAATTCTATTTTAAAACAACAACCGCTGGATTTTAATTAATTAATATAGGAAATATTTTCTCATAGCTAGGAACAAATTATTTAAATAAACATAAATAATTTATTTCATACGCTTTAATCATTAACTTTTCGGAAATTCTAATACGTTTTTCATGCAATAAAATGTTATAAGAAATATTTATAAAGGCGTTTCTTTGAATTTAGATCCCAAAATATCTTTATATTGCAATATATTGATTTCATGACCTAACCATAAAACTGGAATATAACTCTGATTAAAAAATAAAATCCAAAAAAAATTATAACTCTTTTCCATTCAGATCTAAACAAAATGAATACATTTTCAATGCTTTTTATATTTATTAAAAAATGTTATATAGTATTACTCACCACCGAAATCCGGCCGTATGCTATTGTCATAGCCGCGCAGCAGATTATCCAGCAGCTCGGATATATTTGCATGGTTATTGCTCTGGGTGAGCCAGGAGGACGGCAGGGACGAGGACGTGTGGGAGGTGTGCGAGTGGGAGCCCATCTCGTCCAGGCGATGGGCATCGCCGCGTCCCTTGATGCTGTCGGCCGAGGCCCAGATGGATCCCGATCTGGGGCCGATGGACAAGTGCCAGGCGTTTGGGTAAATGCACAGCATTAGCAGGCAGCAGCTAATCAAAAGTTTAAATATGCGCAAGTTTAAGCGGTGTCCTTGGTGTCCTTGGTGGCAGGACGGGGACGAGGAGGAGCAGGAGTGGCTCCTTGCTGCGTTGAGGTCAGTTGATGCATCGCCGGAGCCAAAGCCGGATGCATCTGTGCTTGCTGCTGGCATTGTGCACATATTGTTCGGTTTTGTTTGCTGTTTGTTCGCTGGCTGCAACTATTGTTTAGTCCAAGTCATCTGCTGTTGTTGCCGGTCTAATCTACACATCCGTTTGTCTAACTTTTGTCGCTCCAACTGGCCTCTGGCTCCCGCTGCCACGCCCATTACCATTCCCATTTCCAGTACCAGTCCCAATCCCATCGCCATTAAAATTCCCATTCTAGAGGTCCTGCTGCTGCTGATGACAGCGCCTTTTTCCTGAGCTGTGAGCTGTGTGTTGACTCGTCTTTGCTCGTATTTATTTTCATTTATTCACCGGAAGTTGCACTCGGGTCGAGAGCAATTTCATGAAGCGTTTTCTTCTTAATTTCTGAGATTCCTTTCAGGCTGGCATTAGTTCCGTTTGTCTTGGCCCGTGTCCTCGGCTCCTTTGCGATGAGTTTCCTTAGATTTTTTTAATTGCTCAAACTTGTTGGACTTGCAGTTGGCAGTTTTTGATTGGCCAATTAGCCAGCGGCATTTTCAGCTATCGGTTATCAGCTATAAACTATTAAGATTAGAGGCCGTCGATGATTTGACCGCGTTAACGGTTCCTTGCATTTGTCGATTATACGACGATTAGCTTAATTAATTTTAAATAAGCGGTCTAATTATAACCGGTTATTATCGTTTTGTTTTATCTCTGTGCACGGATATACTTTTTTGGCAGTTTACAAATTGTATTTAGTTTAGACAAGCTTTTCTTTCAGTTTCTTAACATCTGTATTATATGACGAATTTTTCTAACACAAGTTTCGTTTATATTTGAAACACACGGCGTATGCGTAATATTAGCTTATTTTATTTTCGTTTTGGGAAATTTTAAAACTTATTTGTGAGAATTTTCAAGATATTTCGGTAATGGCTTGCTTAAGTTCATATCGGATCCTTTCAGCTTACACTGTTTTAATAATACCACACTGCGTATGCGTAATCTTGAGTTTAAAAATGGCACGTCTGGGAAAAGTCGAAGATTAATGAGTCCACTTGGCAAAAAAAATGAAGTGTAAACTTTACGCCTGCGGCGGCGTTCATATTTCCACCGTATGCATAATACAAAATTAATCTTGGCTGAACTTTGGCTTAATGGATGGCAAGTAATTAAGATCAACTATGCCGGGGATTCGGAATCCGATGCCGATGCCGCTGCCGTAACCAGCTCGTCAGCCGGGCGATTCGTTAATGAAAAATCAACCGGAAATGTCAAAGGCACCGAGTGAATAATGCCGACGATGGTACCCCAGTCTGATGTCCTCGAGCCACCAAGACAACATCTCACTTAATAATGCGAATAAAAAATAGGAAAAACAATGCGACCCCATAACTTAATTATGTCTCACCCACTAACCTAATTTAATGCATGGCCATTGGCCAATGCCGACATCCGGCCAGAGTGGCCACCTTCGCCTCTGCCCGCATCTTCATATCCGCCCCAGGTTGCGATAACTATTTTCAATACTTTGGAGTGCTCCCTCGGCCACTTGGATGTTGCCTTCAAGTCGGCCGTCTGATATCAGCCAGCATCAGCTGCATATTTAGCCTCGACGTCAATGCTACTTGCCACTTGATTAGGCGCTTGTGCTGGCTAATTGCGGCCTGGCCCGAAGGAAATTCACATTATTTTTAGTTGATTTGTCACAGAGGAAAACCAAGCCATCACTTCGGGACAATAAGATGGCTTAGCACTGTCCAAGACACTCGGATGTAGATAAAGATTAATTTTTAGGTAACTCCTTTATTAGAATTATTGCACTACTTTATAGAAATATCTGTTTTATTAAGAAATGGGATAATTGAAAAACAATTGGATAGCATAATAATTTAAATTTTTACAATTACATATTTTTAAAAATATAATACATAACTTAAAAGGATATTAAATATTTTTTTAAGCTCTAACATTGTTGACCAGTTCCTATTTTCAATTTAGCCTAGAAATATAATTTCCATTTTACTGCAACCTTTTTTCCTAAATTAAGCAGAAGTCCCATAAATTCAGCTTTTCGTCCGACATGAAATCAGAGCCACATACTTGCCTTTATTTGGCTGTTAATTACACTTCACTTTATGCTTTTTGATGGCCAAGTTTCGTCAAACAAGCAAATTGCTGTCAGAAGCACAAACATCAGCCGACATCCCCGAAAAGCATCCTTTTCGTTTATAATTTCTAGCTTGGCCGTCTTCGTTCTCCACGCCTTTTGTTAACTGGTGCGAACGGGTTAAAGTTAAATGTAGGAATACCCACTTTCGCCTTGCCAACCATTTTCCTCGGTTTGGCAGAGAGCAACTTGAGCACGTTCAACGCATTTTCTCATCAGCGTCGAAATTGCACTCAATTTTTGAAGGCTGCTGACGGTTCCCCTCCTTAAATCCTCAACCCTCCTTGTATACCCTTTTGCCTGCTAGGGAATATTTTGTCATATATTTTTTTAAAGGAAATGCATTGTTAAAAACCGTTCACTTGGAAAGGAGGGTATGCAGAACTATGGTATACCCATTATATTTTGGTGGGACTTAGCCAACATACTCAAACAAAACTAATTAATTACTTTTAAGTTTGGCAAATGCAATGAAATTTTCTAATTTTTTTTAATATTATTTTTTTATAAGTCAAGAAAAAATTTAAAAAAAATTTTTGTTTTATTTTTAAAGTTTTTACATTTTGGTCTAATTTTAGATTTGAGCTTTAGTTAAGTTATAATTTTAAAATAATTATGAACAGTGGTCTTCAGTAATTGTATCTTGGCATGCAACAAACTAACCATAAAATGTTAGAAAAAAAAAAGGAACTAAAGGGTATCCCTAAATCTCGGACTCCCCTTTAAAATACCAAAGGGTTCCTAAGTTTGTTGATGTGCTTGGCATCTGCTGCCTATCTATGGGTGCATTATGGGGTCGTCCCACTATATTTTGTGGCTCATCGGAAGTGCCAGCAGCAGCAGGTGGTTTATATGGGAAGTAGGGAGCAGCCTGCTGGCATTATTATTTGTTCGCCTGCAAATGAGATGGGCGCTTCAATTTGGCCACAGCCCTCGGATGCATACGGAATAATATATGTATGAGCAGCTTAGTTCACGGCTTTGTGGTCTTGCGTGTGAAATAGAAACGGGAATGATGCCGCAAGTTTTCCAGTTAACCTAAGTAGCATTAAAGTCGCATTTTAATTAAATGAAAGTCAAAAATTTCGCCACTGCGGTCAGTTTGCCGGCTGCCATGGAATGCGATTGCCCCACCACGAACTTTATGGCCCTAGGCCAATGCAATTGCTCTAATTATTTTACAGTTGAGCGACAAGCACGTGCCCGGTTCCCAGTCTCCGGAACTCACGATCCCAGCTTCCCTTAGCTTTTGCACCCCGTCGGATATAGATATTCCTCCCCAACTGGCTCACGTTCGGCGGAAATGTTTGTCGAAGGGAGCTGGCGAGGATTAGGGAAGCGTGAAATGCAGCTGAATCGCTCTTGTCGGGGCATTATAATGCACAAATGTTTGCTCTTGTCTCTGCTAAGTGGGTTCCCTTGTTCAGTAACCGATTTGGAGGACACAAACTCCAGCTAATGTGGCAATTTCCAATTTATCGATACAGATTTTTTGAAAACTAGGCTGGTTTTGAGAGAAACTTTTTTAACAGATTTAAAAGCCTAATAAATAAAAAAGAAAAACTTTTCAAAATAATTAAGGAATGACCAATGACTTTTGAGACATCGTGGTTTTTAATTAGGATTTATATTTAAAAAATTCCTTATAACAATTATTCCAATTATTACAATAAAATAGGTGCAAATAAGCTGGATATAATTTACAAAAATTCGAAGTAGGTAATAAATACTATTTAAAAATAAAAAACTCAGGTAGAATGTTTAATGAGCCAAACTTACACAAATAATTTATTTTTTTAAATCCTAAAATTAAAAGTGTCATCAAAATCGGTTTTGTGTAGAAGGTCTCAACTAGAAACAAACATTGAATTTCGGCACTTTTGCTATATCATTGCAATGGGAACGCAAGCTCATTTATAATTTTTGAACATCCCATTTGGTCAGCCCCGGCAAGGGCAGTTGTGGAAGTAAACAAAAACATTTCAACTTACTTGCAAATTTAATGAACACAAATGCAGAAGAGCATACAAAAAATGGAAATGGAAGAGCCTTCCACTCCGCTCCCCTTCGAAATAATGACACACAGAACGCATTCGGACGACGCTTAAGTAAACTTGTGGTGCCTGCCGCAACAGACACGCCACAATCTTGACTTGTGGGTCAGCCAAAAAATCCCCAAACCAATTCAATAAGAGCAATAGAACCGAAGGACAGGACGGTCGGATCTGGGGGCCTTGGACATCCCCTTCGACGAAAAAATCTACGAAATTCAATTAATTTAAATGCAGTTTTTTGTGAGCCTGCATCCATGTACTATATTGTGTGTATATAGTCGACGAGGCGAGGGGATCACTTTACAATGTAAATCTCAAGAGTGCGATGCCCCAACTGCCGCTTTTTATGCTTTGCATTTTTCTATTTAAGAGATGTTTCGTAGCCTCAAGCGGCGTCAACAAAAAATGCAAAATCTGCCAAAAAAGATAAAAGCCTTTGAAAGGCGGGATAGCAGAGCAAGATGGCATAAAAACTCGTCTAAGGCACCTAAAACTATGCGATAATGAACGACAAAGTTTGCTTGTGAAACTAAGGTCTCTTGGGTAGAATAAAAATTGTTTATGTGGACAACTTTAAGAATAAACTCTATTAATTTAGGCCAATGTTTAAAAAATATCGGCACAACGATCAGACCTTAAATAATTTATTGAATTGTTTTGTTTCAGTAAATTTGTAAGTTTATCTTTTCATGTTAAAACTTAATTAGTTAAATTTTAACATAAGATCTATGGTTTTTTATACGATATCAAATAGCCTTGTCTTTGGGGCGATCACGATATAAATTAAATATTTCTTTAAAAATAATTGTAATTGTAAAATTGTAAGCAACCTAAAGTATTTAGTTTTCAAATTTTTAAA